GGCAGTATCCGTCGAATTGTCAAATGCAATTGTCCTTCTTTTTTCATAGCTGTTACATGCAATATCCAGCATGATATTTTCCGCTTGTTTTGCAACTTGACTACAGCCATGGATCCTCTTCTTGATCATTTGGATCCTTCTCTCCAAAACACGGCAACTGTACTGAGGCATGGGGCCTATCTTTCGAATCACCATCGTGATATGCTCCAAATAATGTTCACTGATTGGAAAGAATTTTGCTGAGATGTGAAGACGAAGAAATTGGTGCCACTTGGTTATTAGTTCCTCCAACTTTTGTATCTCGCTCTCAGATATATCCTGCTGCAAGCATACTGAGCAAATCAGAGATATTGTACGTAGGGCTTCCTTGGCAGCTTCAGAGACAGTAGGATCCAAATGGCATAAATCAACGTGGTCGATAAGAACTGTGGGCACAAAGTACTTCAGGAACACCAACCAATCTACTCCTCGAGCTGTCCCTCCCTTGCTGAAGACATCCATGAAATTGCCTTCGAAGATCAAAGGTGATGTGCTTGCAAGTTGGTTCAAGCAAATGCTAATCTTCTCTATTTGTCGCGGCTTCAAGCGAAGAATCGATTCCTTGTCCGTAAACATTTTCTTGATTCTTGGTCCCATGTTTTGTCCAAACAAATGAAATTCATCCAAGCCCACAAACGTTGGATCAATGAATGATGGCAGGTTTCGAAACAAAGAAGGCCTCTCGATACCAAGTTCTGGTGCACTGGATTTGTATTCTTCAATTGTTAGCAATCGTAGTGGTCGATCTTCATCATTAGCTGCTAGTTGAAAAGAAATAACACCATTTTTGCTGATGCCAATGATCGTACAAAAACGGCAGCCTTGAAGCGACGTATGGGATGCGAGGAAATTGAGTTCGCTGACGCTGGGGATATCACCAAAGGATCCCATGAGGTGGACTTTGAGCGAGATATTTGTTGAGTTGTTTCTCTGCACTTGTAGTCCATCACGAGCCAATTTTTCCAATTCGCTGACAAGGTATTGAAGGTAACTGTCTAATCTCTTGGTGTTTGGGATAATGGCGAAATCAATCAGGAACTCCATTTTGTATCTATAGGCAGAAGGAAGGTTCAAGATTTGTAGCATGACCAAGTTCAACTTTGCACCGCCTTTTTTGTGTGATTGGAATCCATCTACGTACAGGGACAGGCCAATGTCGTATCTATTGTTGAATAGATGCTTGTTGTTCACTAAATTTTGCATTATATCGCCCTTGAACCTTGCTCTGATGGATGAATTCTCGTCATCAAGCACTCTGATAAAGTTTGGATTTTCGAACAACGTGGCAAGTTGTGGACCGATTGGCAGCATCTTGATGGTTCTTCTGGGGCTACCATCAATATCGAATCTCTTTTCAAAGCACACTGGACATTCGTCCCCATCCTCTGGTTGAAAGGCATAGCAATACCTGATGCACACATCGACTGTATAAGGTGCAAAAGAAGTTGCCCTTTTCCTAGCAGAGCTGGCCTTGAATGTTGAGACTATAGGCGTTGCAACTTATCATAGTAGATGTTAGCGCTTTGAAACAACCAACTTTGTTATGGTTACTTACAAGGATACGTTTGGTTGTGCCATTGAACAAGTCTTCGGATGCTTGAGTTTGTCAAGTTTTCTTCCCTGAAGATCTTGTGGATCTCAGTATTTTTAGCATCCAGTGGTGGTAATGCCTCGCAACTGTCAGACATCTGATTGTCACTATAGTTAGCGCCGAGTCCATCAGAGTCTCCAAAGTCATATCCGCCATCGCTACCAGGTTCACCATCGCTACCAGGTTCACCATCGCTGTTTTCTTGCTGACTATTTCTTTCAGTGTAAGGTCCAGCCTGAGTATCATGTTCAGTTCTTGCTTTCTTTCTTTGATACTGATTAGTCTCCAGGTTGTGCAAGTCTACAGTTGTTGTGTCATTTGAAGAGTGCCAAAGTTTATGCTGTTTTTCATGTCTATTGCGAATTCTTCGGCAACACTGGGCACAAAAAAATGGCATCGTAAATAATATTAGAAATAAAGGTTAAACACAAATCTGTCTGGATTGTCTTTTATGCTCCTTATATTGCATGCGTTTCAATCATACAGATTGAAACGCATGCAATATTGAACATAGAATACACTTTGATTGGTATTGAATAGCCATGTGAATATCTATAGTGAAATCTAATAGTTCACATTGCATGCGTTTCAATCTGCATGATTGAAACATCAATGTCTGTGATAGCGGGTGCTATTAATTATTGGAAACATTACTAGACCAGTTTTTCTCTGTCTTTCATAGATTGTTACGCATTTATCGCAATTGATACAACCATCTCAAAGCACTGCTCTATTTTACACTTTACACTAATCACTTATTCAAAAATGGATCAAGCACAACAACTATTCTTACAAAGATTGGAGAACATTGAACAGGAGTTGTCCAATCTTAGCAAACAGGTCAAGGAATGTAATGACAACCAGACCGAAGTAAAAGCTATGCTGCAGCATATTGTTCAACAATCTACCTCTTCGAGCACGGCCAATGTTGCGAGACTAGATGGAGTGATATGCCGTCCAAGCAAAGCAGATAGCAAACATCTGGAGGAGCTTTCTGTTGAGCTATGCATCAACGTCCTTGAAGAGCATCGATTAGGTGGGGAAAACCTTGATGGCAAGAAGGTCTGGGAGCTTGTCAAAGATGCAGCATACAACCAGGCAAAGAAAGCTGATAGACAGTTCCCAAATATCACTTTTAGCAAGCTGGACAACAGATTTCAAGCCTTGTTAATCAAGACCGTCATAGACGATGTAGCCAAAAAGGGCGTTGACATCTCTGGGTTCTTCAAAGATTGGTTGCCGCAGTTTGCTGTCTCCAAATCATTGTCTGGCATAATCGATTACAAATACAATGCCAGGCCAAGCAATGACACCGCAACTTACCAAACCCAATTCGATGAAGATGATCTGGTATTTTCTGAGGGATCCCAAGCGCAATCCGAAGAAGATTCTGTCGACGATGACGAAAATTCGATTGTAGACAAGATCAATTTTCATGTTTCTCGAAATACTGGATCACAAAAGTAAATGCTGCATAGAGAAAAGTACTCTTTGATACTAATCGTAATATTATAGAAGAATCAGCACGCAACATATGCCTCTAGTAGAACAAGTAATTAAGTTTTCATAGATATAGCGCAGTAACTCACATTTCTTTTCCATTTTATAATGTGCACTATCACTATAGCCAATGCAGCCATCTCCAGTATCAAAAAATGTATCTGCATCAAACAAATCAAAGGCAAAGGAATATGAAAAGCACAGAAGATATTCATCACCAGAAACGCAAGATTTGCAAAGACAGTAAGTTTCTCATCATCACCTGGAGTTAGCCATTTTATGCTGATATTCTCTCTATCTCTTAAATTGTAGAAACATAAAGGTAATCGTAAGGCATTGATATCATAGATGGAGCTACTTATCTTTGTGTATTAGGGACCCAACAATAAGAGAGTGCGCAAGTCGTAAGGAATTCTGATCTCTATGCTTATTCTGATTAGGCTACGCTTTGTTGTTACTGCCCGTAATGTAATATCATCATGTTTCTCTGTAGTAGTAGCGCAATTATTATATGTCAAGAAATAAACAATGGTTTCTATTATAATAGCACTAAATGCTATTATATTTCTGATTTATTTTTTTATGAATATTTTGCAAACCACCCTAAACTACATGAATTTTTCTGAATTTTCCAGAATGAATTTCTCTGAATTTTTCTGAATTAAGTGAGCACTTTTCCGAATTTCTAAGAATGCCATTCAGAAAAATTTCGACAAATTTTTCGTAAAGTGGCAGTTTTCCGAAAAATGGATTCAGAAATATTCAGCAATATTCAGATCTTTTTTAGTCACAGTGATATCTTGACATGTAGACCTTTTTGAGCCACTGGAATGACGCCAAACAATTGTACTTGAGTAGTAGTAACTTCTTGACACATTTACTCAACTTTTTGGGGACAAAAAAAACATTGCTAAAAATCGATCAAAAAGCATGAGGTGCCCCTCATGCTTTTCATCGAAAATCAAACGATCGCGTTTTTCACCTTGAAAATGAAGACTTTTACTATGGTATATATTAAATCAAAATGCTTCTCTCAATTCAAAGCAACTTCTGAAACCACTTTTATGAAGTCTTACTATGCAAAATTTTGACATTTTGGCCAAAACCCTTATTTCATATTTTCTAAAATTGCTCAAGAATTTCAATCAAAACATCTATCTTACTTGGCACCATTGGAAGCGCTTTGAAAAGTACTCCAAGAATGTATTAGGAAGCATCAGATGATAATCACAGTACATATAGTCGAATATAGCAAAACAGATTAAAGAAGTCGACAAAAGACGAAATTTGTCCAATCTTGAACAAAAAGGATAAGCTGAGTTTGAATGAATTTTGGCGGCGGCGGCAGACGACGCTGCTGCTGGCTGGAGCAAATGTCTTTCTGATGCTGACAATGATGATGATGATGATAATGTTAAATCCTGAAGAAACAAGCAAGCGCATTAAGATCGGGATTTTCAGTGGCGTCAAAATAGGTTAGTTGCACATCAAGAACAAGTAAACACAAAGCAAGCATATTCACATCCAATCTACTGTAGCTATGTTTGCCTTGGATGCCACTCTCGAAGCTCAAATTTGGCGTCGCATATGGCTTGAAGGACTGAGCTGGGAATATGATGTTTTTCATTCCATTACCATCACTATTTCACCTCTAAACCATACATCTACTGTTCAAATCAGTTTCTCCCATCTGAGTGACCTCTAAATGTATGAACTTTCTGGTTCTAGGCTGGTAGAAGTCAAGAGATTCGTCAATACCCACAAAAGACTCCACTTGAAAGCATCATCCCTAGATTGAATCCATTTAGATGGTATACAAAAATTGAGTAGCTTTATTTTTTTGATGTGAATCAAATACACTCTCATTCCACTAGGCAATGAAGGGGAACATGGAGGTTCTGTTGCGAGGATAGTCCTTGAACTCCTTCTTGTAGTTCTTGTGCTTCTTGACAGCCCAAATGTACATTTGGCCGGTGGCAACAATGTTGAAAAGAAAAGCTACATTGCGTATTAGTATCATTCCTTTATTAGACTCAATCCACTTACCACTCCAGCTAGTTGTGAGGAAGCATACAACAGTCCAGGCAAGGAATTCAAAAAAGTAGTTGGGACAAGAGACGAGATCAAAACCATAGCCATAAGGAATGGCACGAACACGGGTTCCAGGAGGACGCAAATTACGAAGAGTAATATGAGTAATCAAATTGGAGAGTTCAGCCCACTATATCATTTATCCATTAGCATCCATGCTCTCATAAAACACACACACACACAGCTACTTACAGCCCACACAGCGATAGAACCATAAATCCACACATCGTTACGAACAGCAGCAGCTCTACCTTGAGCAAACCAAGGACCGTAGACCCAGAAGGCCAAATTAGCACCAGACAACAACCAGTAATGAGCAGAGTTCTTGAATACGTTACGGAAAGGCATGGTACCATGAGAGAAACGGTGCACAAAGACAGTTTCCAACTCACGCTTAAAGAAATGAGCCATGACCATGTAATAGGTAACAGTTTGCATTGGTGAATGCGTGAAAGAGGAGCCATAGATGAGCTTTGACAAGTAGTAAAAGATGGGATGAATAAGGATAGGACCAGCATATTCAATCATAAACACAGTACGCCATCCAATTTGGGCACCGAGGTCCTTGAAATAAACGCTGGTTTGCTCATTGATACCTTGCTCTTCCAAAGTCTTGTCGAGGTCCAACACCTTTTTATCCTCGGTTGTTAAACGTTGACGATCAGGATAGTATTTGGGAAATTTGGCAGCCAAAGCCTTGTTGACATCGGATGTTTTGATTGTGTTGGCTGTACCTGCAAGCTCCAAAGTTACTGGAAACTTGGTAGACTTTGGGTTGCGTGAAACAACGGTGAGTTTCATGATGCTTCTGATATAAAGTAACAAGATGCGAAACGCCAAACTTTGGTTTTATAGTAAATTTTTTTGGGCGGCTTTTTGTAATATTGGGGCAAGTGTATCAGCCAATGGGCTTCCAATATGGTGGTCTTTCATGTTGAGATACAAGACAGGATCATATAAGAGCAGAGTAAATGGCAGTGCCAAACATCTCCAATGAATTCAGCAGAGATGCGCTAATCCAGCCGCTGCTTTTTGGTTGAGGTTTCATGCAAGAGCATTAGCTCATCTATCGCCCTTGTTTCAATTGATATCATCTATTTTCGTTTGCAAATCATGTGAAAGTAGTTGAGCTTCTCAACAAGTGTTCAAACCCCGTGTACCTGAATAACAAGATCTAAGTTTGCGATCCAATGTTGGTTACACTCTACCATCGCAATAGCTTTAGCGATTGATTTATACAAGTTCTTGTGCTGATTTTATACAGCCTTGGTATTTCAAGGAACTTTATTTTAATCCTCAGAGATCCTTCAAATGTTACATGAATGCAAGCCATCTCCAAAGATACATACTAGTAGCAATCATATAAATCTATGGTCCATAGACACTTTCAAAGCCTCGAAAAGGAAAGTTGATCTTACAAGTATTTTGTGGGACTGGTGTGATTAAATATAAGATTTCAAAGAAAAATAGCAAAGCTAAAGGTAGTACTATGTAATTCGCCACCTATTTTCCATTGGCTTCGAAAGTATTACCTTCATGGTTGGAAGGGCATTGGGTTTGCTAGCTGGCCCCACCCGGCAAAACTAGTCTAAACCTAGATTGTTAATCTGCTCCAGATTGGTCAAAACTCACAAACTTTCGACTTGATCGAACTATTTTGCCAGATTCGACTGTATAAAATATGATAATCATCCTCTGCTTCTTTAAGCTGTCTTGGAGTACTTTTCAAGGCGCATCCAATGGTACAATGTAAGTTATACGTTTTGAATAAACTTATTGAGCTATTTAGGAAAATATGAAAAGAGGTTTCTGGCCAAAAAATCGAGATTTTTCATATCAAGGTCACCCAAAGATGATTTCAGGGTTTACACTAGATCGATAGAAACATTTTGAATTAATATATGCCATAGTAAAAGTCTTCAATTTTGAGGTGAAAAACGCGATCATTTGATTTTCGATGAAAAGCATGAGGGGTACCTCATGCTGTTTGGTCGATTTTTGTCCATTTTTTTTTAGTCCCCAAAAAGTTGAGCAAAGGTGTTAGAAAGTAGCTGCCCGATGAGAGCAACTGTTTGATGCTATTCTGACGATCTAAAACGGCCTTGAACGCGAGAAAATACAGCCCAAAGGCAACCATGTTTTGCTGTATTAGGCACATTGTTGACTAAAAAGAGATAATATCTGTATACTATTTGCCGGTATATGAAGACTCTACGAGTATACAAATGTGGAACATCACATAAGAATCAGATTCACTGATAATATGAAGGGGTTTCATGTGTGAGTGGTGGGTCAAAACGAAAGTAGCAGTATTTTGAAAAGATACGCAAGGGCAATCGGTAGTGCGAGCAGCCGCTGTGCAGGCTGGCTCTCACCGAAGCAAAGGAAAGATAGAGAGCCATTCAAAATACAAACTTACTCGCATTACTTCCTAATGGTTTCACTGAAGAAATTCTTGATCTACCTAAACTATAGCATTCAGGTATTGAATGAGTGCTGCTACTCTAGACATTGGGTCGATTCTATTGTGGTACCGTAATGCCGTGTATCTGTTTGTACACACCAGGCGAATTCACGGTCATTACATATCCTGCGCTTTTCTAGAGCACTTTTACAGGGCTCAAAGCGAAAAGAAACCGAGTCAGCTTACTCAAACAGTGAAAGCAACTCAAATTTAAACATAGCCGCTGTCATTTGCCAAGACACTAGAGTATAATAGGGTTTAACCATTGTGGTGGAGATTACCTTAAAGTTTAAGACCATGATATGAATTTCTTAGGTCCCAAACATTATTATCAAGATTTACATCAAGGCTCGGCGTTCTCCTATCCTATCATGGTCATGCAAGAAGAAAAGTGGTGCGCTATCGAATCAAGGGAACAAGCAACATCTAAGGTTAGGACAATGGCAAAGCCTGGCAATTAAACAACATACAGATTGAAAAAGATGTAATCATTTGTCTTGTTAGGTTGTACCATGATATCAGCGATTTCATTAAAAAACCTGAGAACAGTGAAATGACAGCATTCGTCGTCGTTGTACATAGGGCTATGATGTCGTTTGTTACACAGATTCTGAATACGATCTTTTCATTTGTATAAAAGTGATTCGCAATTATGGGTCTTTTATGCTGTTTTGGTAATTAAACTGATAATCAATTTTTATGTACTCATGAGCTTATTTCCTGTCGCCTTGTGTTTGTGTATAATTATGATCATGGCCAGCATCATGATTGAATGTTGGATATAAACAGACATTGCACAATGAATCATTTCATGGGAGCTTGAATCAGCCAACAATTCCTTGTTGATTTCCAACAATTCTTGCTTTAAATACATGTGACATTGAGCACTGACAGAGTCCACAACTACTAGAATGCGGTTCCTTGTTCATCTCATCGCCTGCATGCCTTTTCCCATCACAGATTCCCATTCAATGGAATATTTCCATAATTACATCATGATGATGACGGGATTTCATTATTTTAAGGCTATTTTACTCGTTATGGGAGATCAGGAAATGTAAAAAAAAAAAAAAAAAAAGACTATAAATTCCCTGATGAGTTTGGTTAGTGCTCATCTTTTTTCTCTTTTCATATTTGAACCTTCATACTTATATCTGAAATCCCCCCCCCCCCTTTTTTTTAACACATATAAACAATTGAAATGTTTGCCAATTTGATTGGTAAATTCCGTCGATCCGATAGGCATGAGAAACAAGACGAAGAAAACAATCTCAACCAAAGCAGCAGTGCCTCACCACCAATTGCATCCGATAGAAATGCCCCGCTTACTGTGCCTGGAGACAGAGCAGCTGGCCGTCAAAATAATCAACTCACACCGCAAAATTCAACAGATGCTTCTGCTGTATCAGCACCCACCACATCAGAGCCGATCAAGGAAGAAGACCTTCGATTCTATCAGGGCGGTGTGCGTCAAAAACACAAGCGATTTGTAAAGTGGATTGGAAGAATTGGTTTCATTGCAAAAGGCATTGTTTACGGTTGTATTGGTGTATTGACCATTACCAATGTCAGCGGTGCCTGGACTCCCAACGGTAGCGAAGGCAACGAATCGCCTCAAGGTGCCTTTTTGCTGCTGGGTGGTATTCCGTCCGTTGGCCGATCCATCCTCATTGTGATGGCTGTCGGCTTGGTGTTGTACATTACCTGGCGCATGTGGGAAGCCATCACTGGTCAAGGAAGTGATGCCAGCTTTGGAAAAAAGAAGAACTTTTTCAGATATCGATTATCGCCATTTGTCAGTGGTCTTGTTTATACAGCTTATGCTTATTATGTCATTCAGATGATCTTTCAAACCTCAGAAGAGCAGCAACATGCTGCATCTAGTTCTACATTTCCTGCTTCTTGGACAAAATCAACACTGGGCAAAGCGGGTATTGGTATTCTAGGTGTCGCCTTCTTGATTGCATTTGCAACACAAATTATCAATGCTGTTACAGGCAATTTCATCAAAGATCTCAAGACAAGCGAGCCAGGCACCAACAAGTATCTGGCTTTCAGTTTGCATATGTTGGGCCGTATAGGCTTTGGTGGAAGAGCAGCTCTCTTTGGCACCATGTCTGGCTTCTTTTGGGACTCTCTGGCCCAAGCAAATGAATCTGGAGACAAGAACATGGTGGCTGCTGCTATAGGCAAGCTCGCCAACTCGGGTGGTGGCCGCTTCTTCATGGTGATTCTGGGTGTTAGTCTGGTGATCTATGCCTTGTTTGCTGTCCTAAATGCTTATTTCAAGTACTTCCCTACGCCGCCTCCCACTCGTCATGAATATTACACGCATGATGTGGTGGACCCAGACGAAAGCACTGCTTCTTCGTCCTCTGTCTCATCCAACTCGGATGCTGCGCAAGCCATTAGCTCTGAGATCGTTGCACACAAGGACGAGAATGCACTCTCCACGGCTACTGAGGTGAAGGACGCCTACGAAACAAAATCGCCCTGGTACGCTAGATTCATGAGAAGTCATTCAAAAACGACAAGAGAGGTTGATCCCGAAAAGCAATAATTCACCTGTATACTCTATCTATATAACTAATTGTAATCTAATACCTTCTACCATGTATAATATACCCTTTATGTGTAATAAACCCTTTCTGTTGGCACCTCTCCATATTGCAATCTAGACTTGGTGCTGCTGCTGCAGTGAGAGTGTATAAATAGTCTAATTGATTGGTGAAACAGTGATATTACAAGAAGTCTCGGCTGGTGAGGAGCGGGGCAATTCACTTGATATGGCCCCCGCACATTAGCTTCCTCCTTCTTTCTCTTCTTTTCAAATTCAAGTTACTATGGAACACAATGAACAGTTGGTCCATGACCATGCCGTCTTTATCAACTCGACAGTCAACTCAGTGTATGAGCTTATTGTTGCTATTCCTGGCTCTCATCTAGCCATCAACTATCTGAAAAACGCCTATCAAAATGATCCCTTCCGTATCGCTTTAGAACTCTTTCTCGTCTTTTTCGCTCTCAAGTATATGCTTTCCAAGAAATACAAGCCCAATGATAACAATGTTCAGCTCACAGTCAAGGTATGATAGAGTGAAAGTGCTATCAAACATGATATGAACATCTTTTGATAGGAAGTGGATGACCTTGTTGAAGAATGGCAACCCGAACCTTTAGCTCCCAAGCTCTCCTCTTACGATCGTTTCAATCTTGAAAAAGTACCTTTGATTGTAGGTGCTCAATCTGCCAAGACCAAGGTGGTTGGCCACACCAAGCCCTTGATGAACTTGGCTACTACCAATTACTTGAATTTAGTTGCTTCGGAACAGATCCGCCAAAAGGCAGTAGAGACATTGAGAAACTACGGTGTTGGTTCTTGTGGTCCTCCCGGTTTCTACGGCACTATTGACGTGCACATGGAGTTGGAGCGTGATATCTCTCGCTTTATTGGTACCGATGATGCCATCATCTATGCTCAAGGCTTCTCTACTATCTCTTCTGTGATTCCTGCTTTTGCCAAGCGTGGTGATTATTTGGTCGTTGATGAAGGTGTCAGTTTTGCTGTTCAAAAGGGCGTTCAAATCTCTCGATCCATTGTCAAGACCTTCAAGCACAATGATATGGAGGATTTGGAACGAGTATTGAACGATATCAACACGGAGCACACTGTGGTAAGTGTACCGCAACTTGATTGCACATAGTCTGATTCACTCACACATTGCTATAGCATAGAAAACGCTTGACTCGTCGCTTTATTGTCACTGAAGGTCTCTTTGCTAATCACGGTGACATTGCTCCCTTGGATAAATTGGTAATCCATAATGACATTGTTACACTTAATAGGGAAAAACTAAATGTCTAGTGGTTGATTAGGTTGAATTGAAGAAGAAGTTCAAGTACCGTCTTATTCTGGATGAATCTCAATCCATTGGTGTTCTAGGCCGTAAAGGTGCTGGCTTGACAGACTTGTTCAATATTGATGTAAGTGTGCTTGTGCACTGTAGAGGGAAGAGACCGCGATTGTTAAATACCACTTGAATAGGCCAAAGAAATCGACATGATCACTGGTCAATTGTCCAATGCCATCTGCGGCTCTGGAGGGTTCTGTGCTGGTAGCATTGAAGTCATTGACCATCAACGTCTATCTGGTCTTGCCTACTGTTTTTCTGCTTCTATGCCTGCCATGCTTGCTGTTTCTGCATCCGAGGCATTCCGTATTCTTGAGCAACAACCCACCTTGTTGAAAGAGTTGGCTGAGCGTATTTTGTCTTTCCGTCAAGTATTGAGCCACAAATCATTGGAACCTTTCGTCTACCTTGAATCCTCCAACTTGAACTCTCCCTCTCCCTTCTTCCATATCAGAGCTCAAAAAGCATACCTTGATGCTCACACCCAAGACAGTGAAGACAAAGTTTCTCGTGAGGCTGAGGAACGCTTATTGCAAGACGTAGTTGATGAGTGTGCTTATCAAGGCGTCTTGGTTACACGTGCCAAGTATGTGTACGATCAAGAGTTGCGTTGCCCTGCTCCAAGCATTAGAATCAGTGTCACCATTGGTCTTACCAAGAAGGAGAATGACAAGGCTGCCAATATTGTCAAGTCTGCTATTGTCAAGGTATTTAGCAAATGGAGAAAGTGATTCTCTTTGCATTTTTCTTTTTAACTATTTAATACTACTACCATTACTACCATCTAATATCTTTCTTTTAAAACAATAAACACTAATTCTAATCACAAAGCCTGGTGCTTGATCAATGATGAAAAGCACTGTTGCTGTTGTTTCAGTAAGAATACAGCATGTGAATAATCTCTTCTTGAAGCTCTATGTAAGACACATCTAATTGACATCAAACATCTACAACAAGCATATCTTGTAGGGATACATCATAAAAGCTGTGCAAACTTCGTTTATAAATGCTTTTATCAATTAGACATCCTCAAAAAGAGTATCAAAAGGTAATTATTAGACCCAATTTGGTGATTTCTTTTGAGATGGCATCCCGCAAGAATAGAACATGTCATTACAAAATCCTTCAAATATGAAATCTGCATGCTCCATCAGAAAATCTAGCTGTCGACTACTACCATCGCTTGAACAGGTTGAGCAATCTTCCAGCCTGTTGGTAATCAGCCTGTGTGTAATACAACATTTAGATCTACTGAGGTACGTCACATTGGAGGAGCACCGTGCTGCAATAGAAAATGATCAAGTCCCTTATTTTAACCTTTTTACTTTTCTTCACCACCTGAATAATTTAGCTTACGTATATAGTCACCTTTGTATAAAATGTCCATGAAAAAGTTGCAAGGTAAGCAGGAAAGAGCCTAAAAGACTACCTACCAAACAAGCTATGGTCTAACATGTCCCTGTAGTCGAGATAGACAGACTGTTGAAGAAAGTGAGCGAGGGCGTAGAAACCTTTGAGAACATCTTTGACAAGATCAATTATACCAACAACGCCAACCAAAAGGAAAAATACGAGCAAGATTTGAAGAAGGAAATCAAAAAGCTGCAGCGACTTCGAGACCAAATCAAAACATGGCTATCATCCAACGACATTAAAGACAAACGTGCTCTTCTAGACAACAGAAAACTGATCGAAGCTCAAATGGAGCGATTCAAGCAGATTGAAAAGGAGATGAAGACAAAGGCCTACTCCAAGGAAGGTTTGTTGCAGAAGGAACGTTTGGATCCCAAGGACAAGGAGAAAGCAGATGCTTGCGAGTTTGTCACTAATGCTGTGGACGAGCTGTCAAGACAGATTGAGCATGAGGAATTCGAAATCGAACAACTGGAGGGCTCGAAGCGTGGCAATAAGAAATCAGACCACCAGCGTGTGGAGCGTGTGCTTGAAATGGAGCACTTGAACGAAAGAAGAAAATTTCACATCAACAGACTGGAGCTCATTTTGAGATTATTAGAGAATGATCACCTGGAGCCTGAGCGTGTCAATGATTTCAAGGATGCGATTCAGTATTATGTCGAGTGCAACCAGGAGCCGGATTTCGAGGAAGATGAAGGGTTGTATGACGAGTTGGATCTGGAAAAGGAGGAGGAATTGTACGCAATCCGAACAGACGAATTTCATAGTGAGTAGCGCAAGTGAAAGATGGTAGCAGGACAACCGTAGCTGATGTATGATGCAGATAAATCTGACTCTGAAGCAGAGGATGAAGGGGGTGATGGAAATGATCATGTAAGTGAGCACACGAACATAGGCTGCGGAACAGTCAACTGATTCAAGCCGATTTCAGGATCATTTTTCCTCGCTATCCACGCCGGTGCATAGCCCTAAAAAGTCTTCTAAATCAAGCCCTAAATCATGTAAGCTTCTGCCCTCTGTTATTGGATCAGTGATTGATGTTTGCTCATAGTACAAGGTGAGGTGGAGTCAAGTACCGCGAAAACAACAAGCAGAGATGCATCTTCTACGACATTCTCCTCTAACAACGCTCAAAGCATGTCACCCTCCACCAAATCATCGGACAAAGGTAACGTAGCAACCCATCTTGTCTCATCAAAGGCCATTGAACGAACTCGACTGCTTAGTGTCTGCTTGGAACGAACCACCCAAGATTGCTGATCAATCGAAATCGCCGTCATCCTCCATTACGTCTGACAAACGAGCTCTTATATCCAGCCCATATTCCGCAACAACATCCAGTACGAGCGAAAAGGACCTCAAATTGCCCGCATCACTCACTGATTTAGCACCATCGTTTGAGCTGATTAGAAACAAGAGCAAAGCTGATCTCCACTACACAAATCAGATGCTGGATGCTAGTTTTCAGCATGTGCCTGATTTGATTGACTCGGAACGACCAAAAGTATACCAACCTCGCAATCCATTCAGCAACCCCAGCTATTACCCACAACAACCGCTCATTATATTCGATAACCCAGCTCTTTACGAGAAGTTTGACATGAATACACTTTTTTACATTTTTTACTATCAACAAGGCACATATCAACAGTAAGTAATGGTGGCAGAGGGAGTAGAAGCTAGAAAAAGAGATGCTAAACAATTCTCTCGCTTGTTAGATATCTGGCAGCGAAAGAATTAAAGAAACAATCTTGGAGATTCCACAAAAAATATTTGACATGGTTCCAGCGACATGAAGAGCCAAAAATCATCACCGAGGATTATGAACAAGGAACCTACATCTATTTTGATTACGAAGGTGCTTGGTGTCAGCGAAAGAAAACAGAGTTTAGGTAATTGGAGTGATTTTGATCTAAAAAGAGAGAGAGTGTGTGTGTGCTAATATAAAGCATGTTGCAGATTTGAATATCGTTACCTGGAAGAAGCTTGAGGATATTAAGGATGAATAAAGCTTTTATAACTGGTGGTCGACAAAAAGTACCGTATGCACACCTTGATGACAGATACTATGAGTTGTATTGTAAGCCATTTTGAGGGGGGGATGGGGTGGAGGAGAAACGCATGATTTTCGCAAAGTTTTCTTTGGTCCTCGAACAAAAGCGCTAGCAAGTAACTACTAGTCAAGGGCAACTGCTTGATGCTTTTTCGATAGCCCAAATAGACCTAATCACTAAGAACCACGACTCAGATGCGCTATATTTTGCCTGATTTTGAACACAGAGAGGAATTGCAACCATAATGTCTACATGTATATAACTCTCTCTCTCTCTCTCTTGGTAATGCAGACATGGAGCATTGCAGTAGAACCTTATCATCAATAGCAATAGGAGAACCTTTTATGCGGAATGCTGTAAAAGTGTTTCCAGTTTCTGAAAGGCGTGTTATTGATTACGGTCGTTGCGATTAGTTATTTGCGTTTTTGGGCATTTAAGTACTAATAATAATAACGAGTAAAAGTAGATATGCTATATAAGTACGTGACTAAAAATTGAGACGAAGCACGCTCTAGTTGCGTCTAAGAAATACTTCAAGTGCGAGTGCTTGATAAGGAGTACTTTTGCTGGATCGATTTGTAAAAACGCGTAAAGGTTGTACATCTTGGCTTCATTCAAAGGAACTCTAATGGTGTGTCCAAGTATTGCTCTCTCCACAGAGTCGCTCCAAGTTCCACATACCAGTCTACACTCTACTAAATCGGCGAGCTTGTCGAAATTGTTGAATATTATAACTTAATAAATTTATAGTCCCTAGACACTTTCAAAGCCTCACAAAGGAAAGAAGTTGATCTAACAAGTATGTTGATAGACTGCCATTATTAAATAGCAAGGCTAGCGATAGGGTTATGTAATGTGCCACCTACTTTCCATACGCTTCAAAAAAAAGCATCTATTACTGTATTGCCTTCATGGCTAGAGGGGCATTGAATTTGCCAGCTGGCCCCACTAGCCGCCAAAATTAATTTCGATTCCGACTTTAGTATACTCTGGATTGGCCAAATTTTGATACTTTTCGACTCAATTGAACTATTTTGCCAGATTCGATTATATAAAATATGATGATCATCCTCTGCTTCTTTAAGCTGCCTTGGAGTACTTTTCAAGGCGCATCCAATGGTACAAAGTAAGGCATATGTTTTGAATAATCTTTTTGAGCAATTTATAAAAATATGAAAAGAGGTTTCTGGCCAAAAAATCGAGATTTTCCATATCAAGGTCACCCAAAGATGATTTCAGGGTTTACGTTAGATCGATAGAAACATTTTGAATTAATATATGCCATAGTAAAAGTCTTCAGTTTTGAGGTGAAAAACGCGATCATTTGATTTTCGCTGAAAAGCATGAGGGGTACCTCATGCTTTTTGGTCGATTTTTGGCCACGATTTTCTGGTCCCCAAAAAGTTGAACAAAGGTGACAGAAAGTAAATGCTAGATGAGAGGAACTGTTTGGCGTTGTTCCAGCAGTCTAAAACGATTTTTAACGCGAGAAAACACAGCTTAAATGCATCCAAATTGTGCTGCGTTTAGCACGCTTTTGGAGATTAGGAAGTAATGCAAGTATGCTGCCTGCATGTATATGACATATTTCCATGTATACAGACGCGAAGCGTCGCAGAAAGCCAGACGCACAATTACAGGTCATCTATAGAGGCCATAACATGCGTGTTCGATGTTAAAAAATGGAATGTTAGTCTATAGTAATGTTTGTTATGTTTAGAAACCCAAATTGGAACAATGTAATAGATTGAAGTTTAGCTTTCATTCTTCATCCAGATAACGGGATATGTCAAAATTCCCGCAAATGGCAATAAACAGAAACTCGCAAAACATTTCGAATACTACATCATTTGGGGTATGCGGCATTTGTTCTCATACCAATGAGGTGGCATTCACAAGTATGGTATCGAAACGAATGATCGTTCATAATCCAATGAGGGAGGTTTTCTTTCATATTAGCTTTTGAAATAGAAACACATGAAGCTTCTTATATGTATATTAGCTGTGCTGTTGGTACAAGAAACGGTAGCATGGGGTTATCGAGGAGGGAAGCAGGATACCACTCCAGCCAGGCACCATAAGCACCCCAAGCACCATCGGCATCATCATCATCGTCCGCAAACATGCAGTCCAATAACAAAGCCGTCAGCAACGACACCAATCTATGAAAGCGAGCCCGAGACTTTAGAGATAGTTGCTAATGATCCACTTTTTCCAAACAACATTGGAGGAAAGCTCACTGATCCAGGCGCTACCTGCAGTAACCTTTTATCAACTCAAGTGGTAAATTCTACCGCATTTAAAAGCGGCATCACCTTGACTCATACTATTGTTCACAATTTGCTAGATTCAATGCAGTCTTTTTTGGCAACTTTATCACCTCTGAAGCGCAAGATATCTTTGGCCTACTTGCTGTCGGAGGCGATTTCAATGCACATGCTTGCACTGTCAATACGCAGCATGGCGCAGACTGCTCGGATGTAGTCAATCGTTTCGATGGCTATGGCTTAATTGTGGGTAGAGAAGACCCTAACTTCAAGTACAGCGACGTACATGTACATGGCGCTGTCTTTTTACCAGACGCCAGCGAGCGGATGGATGTGGAGGAACTGGATAATGCGTGCTCTGTATACAATGACAGAGGCACTGGCCTTATGAACTTTACTCAGGTCCAACTGAGTTCTGTTGCTATCTCTCAACAGTTCTCTTTGCTGCCGCCTACGCTGCATCTCAGCGCCGATGGTACCTTGACAAGAGTTGGCACAAACACATATGATTATGATGTTATCACGTTTGGCTCATGTGGCAGTTGCAGTTATGGCGAAACTTTCTCGTCTCCAGACGCCATTCACTACGGTATAGGAGACTGGAATGGCCCTATGGGCATGTCCTGGCCTTCTCGCCTGATAATCAATGTAAGATGGTTAAGTCGTGTGCAAAGACACTTATCTAACCATTCTTTGTGGTTCTCATAGATAGCCGTCCTTGGAGGCACGACAATAGCCGTGCAAGGAAACCAGCCAAGTTTAGGAATGAACGTCTGCAACACTGTCCTAAACTTCTACCCTTCGGATAACGTGGGATCCTATGCGTCAGGAACATTTCAACTGGACAGAGCCACGGGTGGACAACTGGGAGGTTTTATACTTTTGCCAGAAGGTAATTCGCTTTTATGAGAGCCTCAACATATTACAATGCCTGTTGTTTACATACTATATTATCAGGTGGTATTATTGATGAAAACCATGGTGAATTCGCTGGACAGATTGTAGCAAACAATTATCGCTGGATTTGCAATGGCATTGATATACATGATTACCAAGCAATTGGGGGCAACTGTCGCACGACAGATGTGTGCTTACCTGTCTTTATAGACGACACTGTTGATAATAGGCCCATCAAGATAGACCCTCCCTCCCTTGCCCACAATAGCGACTACAATCCTAATGTATTGTGTAGCAATACCAATAATGGAAATGTCCATAGCTCTGAATCCAGTTCAGAGAGTAACAGCAGTTCAGAGAGTAGCAACAATAGTTCAGAAAGCAGCAGCGAGAGTAGTAGCACCGCAAACCCCCTATTAAGCAGCAATGATCAAACCCCTACATCTACATACTGCCCAACAGAAACCAGTAAGCTATGTCACCTGCGTATATTTATACCTGTAAGACTAACGCCTATTTTCAGGTACTGAATGCCATGTGCATCAACATCATGTAACAAGAACGCAATACCAATGCGAGCAAGGGTTTTATCATGATGAAGAGGTGCTCGTATGCGAAGATGACGGTCATCATCACCACCGAAAAGATGACTACGTTGGCGATGATGATGATAACTTTGAAGATGATCCAGAATTCGGATTATATAACCTTTATGAATTCGATGAAGAATGCGATGTTGATCACGGTGTTGTTAATGATGACGATCAAGGCGACTACAGATATTACCAATACATGAGCAAAACACACTATTCTGATGATGAAGAAGACGAAGATGATGATGACGAAGAAGAAGACGAAGATGAAGATGATAATGAAGAAAACGAAGATGATGATGAAGAAGACGAAGATGATGATGAAGAAGACGAAGACGAAGATGAAGACGAATACGAATACGAATACGAAGAAGACGAGGAAGACGATAAAGACGATGATACCTACTAAATACCATTAGACAGAACAAATGGTAATATATCAAATAAAACTATTTTTTTTTCATCATGAGAACTCTCTGTATACAAATCAATTTTACTGCTGCAAACTACATAATTTATTCAAAGTCTTCATCAAAAACAGGAACTCCCCATGCAGGCTTCACGAAACGCTTGGTGGTGGTTTTGGAAATGTCATTGATGGCCTTGATCTCCTCCTCGGTCAAGTCGACAGTTTCAATATTGGCAGCAATACGCTATATTAGCAGACAGATTAGTTGATGCCTTTTTTAATTAATTTATATCATGCGTAACCTACCTCAGGGTTCACACTCTTGGGCAATACGCTAGTCCTAGTGATACCCCAAGAAATCAAAATTTGAGGAATGGATTTTCCATGAGCCTCAGCAATCTTGGCAAGTGTTTGATCTTGAAGCAGAGTGGATTGACTTGAGCCCAAAGGAGAGTAAGCAGAGCAATGGATGCCCTTGGAAGCGCAGAACTCAACCAGCTTGGTTTGAGGCAAGTAAGCTTTTGTATGGATACACAAGGATTAGCACATGCATTTAGCCCCATCATTGCAATCAACAAAAGCTGTACTTACGATGAAGTTCGACTTGATTCACAGCAGGAACGACCTTGGCTGTCTTCAAGAGACGCTCAAGGTTGGGGATAGCAAAGTTGGCGACACCAATGTTCTTGACTTTGCCAGTGTCCAATAACTTTTCCATAGCACCCCAAGTGAGCTCGAATTTACCATCCAATTCCTCATCAATATCACGGCTACCATCAGGCTTGAGTGGTACCAATTGACCGGTAGCAGGGTTCATGGCAACAGGCCAGTGCATCATGTAAAGATCAATGTACTCGATATCCAACTTGGCAAGAGAATCCTCAAAGGCCTTGGGGACGTGAGAGGGACGAGCATGAATAGTAGCCAGCTTGGTGGTAACAAAGATGTCGCTACGCTTCAATCCACTTTCCTTGAGCCCATCACGAATACCTCTACCCACTTCAGCTTCATTACCATACTAGATACATAGATGTAGGTCAGCATGATGTGTATCTAAACGCGCGCAATGCATTTCATCCTATTACCATCATGGCAGTGTCAATGTGACGGTAGCCATCAGCAATAGCAGCCTTGACAGCTCTATAAACAGTGTCGTTTTCTTCGCCTGATTGCCTAACGCAACAGGTTAGCTACGCATGTATATGGCTGCTAGTTACAAGGCTTCACTTACCATGTTCCCAAACCAACAGCGGGAATCTTGTTACCATTGTTTCTATCAAACGAGATTAATCAACTGCATTCATGCATATATCAGATGTAGCTATCAACGTACAATGTAAACGTCTTTTGGCAGACCATGTTATAGTAGATAGATAGATGTCTTAATGAATAAGTACAAGGAGGAGAAGAAAAGAAAAAAGGTATCATCTCGAGAGTTGCATTTTTATAGCCCCAAGGCAAGATTTATGCGATTAAACTCAATTCCAGTAAGACTTCAAGCACGGAAGGTTTATATTCTCCGTGTTGGTTTGTAATTCTACATTAATCCGAAAGGGTTCAGCGCTCTCCTGGTGCTAGCTTTCGCGTTGTACTATGACTTTTGTTTTAAAATGTGTGCTAAAGAATCAGGTGAATCCAGCTTTGGAGCCTCGAATCAGATTACCTAATGATGGCATTTTGGTGGCGATACACATCCCGGTGCGAAATGAGGAGTAATCTTTTTCCCCTTTGTTCCTTTATCAAATAGCAGCCATCAGCTAGTCGTGTAATGTGGGAAAACAGACACGTACGCTTGGACAAGACTACACCATGATCTCGTCAACAAGGTATACCCATGAATGCTTCCTCTCGACTGACTTCTACCGAGGCTTTCAGACCATTCATCCCATTCTCCATGCAATCTGAACCGTCACAGTGAGAAACGGAAAGACGAGTGCAATTTTTTCATGGATAGTATCCATCTTTTTCCTCTCGCTTCTATCCACTCATTTTGAAACTATGGTGCGATTCAAGAATCGCTGGGTTCTATTCCAAATTGTGCAGGATCCCGTCATTGAAAATGGACAGGTTATACACCCAAGAACAGCATTTGAAGCAACAGATTCCATGATTGCCAAAGCCATCTTTCAATCTGTCGAACTCAATTATGGACATTTCGGTAAAGGGCAGGGCAGTGTAGCAGGTATTTACAGCGCTGGATAGCTTGCACAAGGGCGTATGCTGACTGACTGATGGACAGTTAAATGGTACAATGCCACCACACGCATTGGCATCTTGCGAATTCCACGAGATTTCACCGACATGTATTTATCCTCCATGTTCTTTATCAAGCAAATTGCAACCATGCCGTGCAATTTCAGTATTCTGCATGTATCTGGCACAGTCATCTTTATACAACAAGCAGCGATTGATTGGGACCGACGATTCTATCTAAAGGAGCAGGAGGAGGCCGATAAAAAAGGTTTGTTGGGGGGGGGGGGGAGGACGTGTTGGTGGCTGCTTGACTGCAATGCTGACCTGTTGATCTGTTAGGCGAGATCTACAACTCTATGGAAAAGATTGAGAAATCCAAAAAGACACTTGCAGCATTACAATAGTAGAGAAACAGGACAGCACACTAGATACCAAATGTAAATAAAATCGAGTAAATCACTGACATGCAGTATTGTTCATTGCCGCCATGTTGCAACTCTGTACAGCCATCTGGAAGAATCTGTCTTGTCCATTTGACAGGTAGTGGGTCATGAGTACCACTGTATATTTCGTTTGGATGTTTCGTCTATGATTTGAGCCAAAAGTGAAATGGAATATTGGGAACAAACAAAGTGCCAATGTGAATGGACTTGAAAAATGTCATTTATGATGCTTTGATGAAAATACAAGATACGCACGCGGTTAGACATGTCGCTGGATCATGAAAGTAGTGTTGGATATTGGCGTTAGATTGCCTATTTTTAGGGTTTTTTTTTTTTTTTTTTTTTTTTTTTTTTTTTGGCTATATGTATGTGTGAATAACAATGTTGCTGTCCAGCATGCTCTGAAAGATCTGAATCGTCTAAACTATTTTTCATCACATCATGGTTACTATCCATCTTTTGTCAGCTGCATTGCTTAACAGTGCATTGACAAGTGATTGTACATTTTCATGTGCCAACAGCAGATGGACATGTGCCTGGTTCAACAAGGTAAATGATCTCCAGTTTCATTCATGCATCCTATCATTTACGCAACCGTCCCTCCAGTGTGACTGAATGATCCTGTGCGCTCTTGAACCACCACCACCACCACCACCATTTGTTGTCCTGTACCATGTACATTGAACAAAATGGGTGATTTTCCTGCTGGTTGGTTCTATATCGAATGCCCAAACCGCCAAGGCCAAGTCTTGACAGTGTCAGACATGTCGATGCAGGTTGTTATTTCTTGTGGATATAATGTGAGATACTGACACACGCACACGCACATACAACAGCCCTCCGTTAGAGTTGAATTACGCCCAAAAAAGATAGGAGGTCATCCTCATCAACTGTGGTGTTACCATCAAGGATTTCTAGTAAATAAACACTCAGGCTGTGGTACTAACAGAACACATTTACAAGACATGCCTCGTATTGATTGTTTCTCCATACAGTGCTAGGTGTTGAAAAGGACAAGACCAAGGATCAGTGTGTATTTCAATCCAAACGCCTTGATCAAGGCGAAAAGAAGCAAACATGGCATTATGACAATTCCAAATTAGTGTTGAGACATGGGGACGCTGGCTATGCTCTTGTAAGTGTATGTACATGATCTAATCATAGTGTGTTGCTCATTGTTGAATATGCTGTAGAATGATTTGCAAGTACCCAAAATGACTACAGAGGATGAAGGATGTGTCTATTTGCTAAACACTCCGTATTAAGTTATTCACCAGGTCTACATAAATTGGTTGTAAAAGAAAACGTTTGCATTTATCTCTCATTTTCACGTTTGTTGTTGCTGAAATATCTGGTGATTTGTGTATGTGTGTGTGTATCTTGTTTGCTAATGATATGTTTGTAAAAGCTGTGTGATTTATAAACCCCTTTCCTAAGCTTTTTTTTTTTTCTTTCTTTTCTTTTTTTTTTTTTTTTTTTTTTTTTTTTTTTTTTTTTCTTTTTCTTTTTCTTTTTTTCTCTTCTCTCTGTCTCTCTTTCTTTCTGTTGCATACCAAAGCATGAAAATAATGTACTATAAAAGCCTGTTTTCGTTTTTCCTATTCTTATTTGCAATTCATTCGTGTCAAGCAACCATCACCATTCTTGTAAGTAAATGTATCCATGGAACCCAGCGGAATCATGACTCACAGCTGCAACACTCATGCATTAGGAATCAAATGACACTCTTGTGGATCGTATAGCAGCATTTGGACCTAGAATTGATGGCGAGATAGGTATTACAGGCCATCTATTGCCACCGCTTGCTGCCAATGATTCCTATGGCTGCATAACTATCCCAAATCCAAACATTAAAAACTGGATCGCACTGGTAGAAAGAGGCCAATGCTCATTCCTACAAAAGGTCAAGAACATGCAAGACAGTGGCGCTATTGCTGTCATTGTAGGTGATAGACATTTCAATGGCTGGGTGACAATGTATGCTCCAGGTAGGTTTCTTTTAGCTGTGATTTTGAAAAATAAGGGGAGGGGGGGGGGGGGGGAGAGCGGTTTCTCTAATCTACTGTATATTGAAACCAGGTGATACTTCTGATGTACATATTCCAAGTGTTTTCGTAGCACAACATCAATATAAGACACTGCTGCAATTATTCAATAGTAAAGATACAAGCGCACCAGTTGCTGTGCGATTGTCAGGAGATGATTTATTGACATGGTAAAATTCAATGTTAAATACAACACACACGGAACCGACTAAACCGTACATTCTCTTTTTAGGCCACTTTTAGATATGCTGCTAGTGGTTGTATTATCACCTGCTGTAATGATGTTATTTATTTATCTTACATGGCAGCTAAGACAAAGACAACGCAGAAAGAATGACATTGCTCCTACCAACTTTGTTGCTAAATTACCCACCTATGTCTTTCGTCGTGAAAAAATTGTAGATATTGAACACACCGAGTGTGCCATCTGTCTGGAAGATTATGTAGATGGTGATCAATTAAGGACGCTGCCCTGCAAACATGAATTTCATGCTAAATGTGTGGATGCGTGGTTGACGTCGCACAAGAAATTTGTAAGTAATGGATGCTTGTCTCTAGATCAAAAAAGCTTAATACTCTTTCTCTCTCTCTCTCCTTTTTTTTTTACCAGTGTCCTATTTGTAAATTTGATATTTGCCAAAAGACAGAGTCATCAAAATCAAACAATTCATCAATACCCCCAAGTGAACGTACCCCGCTTTTGAACGCATAAACCACTTTTATTTCTTTTTATCAGCAAATACATTTCATTTTTTTTTCTACATGTCCTCAAATCCAATGCTTTGTTGCTTCTTTGTATGTGTGTGTGTGTGTGTGGTAGATGAATGGAAAGACCGTTTTATATGTCGAGAAAAAGGAAAGGCATGCTTGACTGTGCTTATTTACCGGGAAAGCAATTTTGTGCTATTATTATTGTTTAATGTTGTCGTTGCTGCTGTAGCTGCTACCACTGTCGCCGGAACAGATGCTGATGAGAGAAAAGACTTCTGAGCAGACATCAGAATCAAAGGTCTCGATGACATGTGCATTGTATTACCTTCATGTACAAGTATTCATTCTCCAATTCCTCCTCTTCTAATGACGATATGGTATGTATATTCGGAAGTGCACTTGGTCGTACTAAAAAAAAAAAAAAAAACATCATTTAAGCTTTTTTTTTCCTACTCCTACACACACACACATGGAGGGAGCTTACCCGATTTTCTCTTGGATGATGGCTCTGCTGTTTTTGCATTGGCTGATTCAGCAGCATTTCTCTTTCTGAGATTGCGTTTCGCTCTTGTCTGGCTACTGGAAGATTCTTCTTCGTTATTCTCTTCGCGGTCATCTCGCATTTGCTTTCGTTTGTCCTCAATCGAAGAAATTAGCGTTTCCTGTAGTTGCTTGCGTTCATTCTGCATTCTGTACGTGAGCAAACAAAGACATGTCACTAAACCCGCTACTACACAACAAACCTCATATTCGTCCTCCAATGCGTTCAAATCCTGGTCGTAGAATGCATCTATGAAAGCAATTTGGTACTTCATGAACGATTCAGCGTCATGGATGGATTTCTCTCTTTTTGTTTCATAGTCAGAAATGATTTCCCTGAATGCCGAATGAGTGCCTACATGGTGCGATAAAAATTTTACATGAGACCCTATACTCTCCTTGCAGTTCTCCGTCAAAATGACCGATACACATGTACACACCTTTTTGGATTTGTATTAACTCTTGCTTTAATTGCGATATCTTGTCTTGGTAGATTCTATCAAATTTGTGTACATGTAAGCTACAGCAATGCAGTGGACGCACGTGCCATATGATACGACTTACTCGTCTGCTTGCTCCCAAAATTCATTGTCCATCCAAGTCATCAGATCATTGTATTCCTTTCTAGCGCCTACTTTGCTGGCATTGGCTTTATCTAGAAAACGTCCATGAGCGGGCTGCTTTTAAAGAAAGGATGACCAAAATACTATACCTTGCCATGTTGTGATGGAATGGCTGACGGGTTGCACATTGCGATCGTCATCTACAGCCGGACGTTCATAAAAAGGAGAAGCAGCACGTTGAGGCGGCGAATTAGGCTTGATGTGATATAGCGAATGGCTGCCATGATGATGTTGTAGTTGCTGATGAGTGGTCAGAGAAGAAGAAGAAGAAGAAGAAGGAGGAGGAGGAGGGGGTGGTGGTAACGACTGAGGTGCCTGATGTGGATGATGGTGGTGATAATGATGCGTAGAGGCTGGAATATTGCCTGAATGAGGAACAACATTCGCAGTAGCAGCAGTAGCAGATGGTAGTGGTGCTGGTGGCAGAGGCGAATACCATGATGTCTCTTTCTTCTTCTCCAGAGTGGGTAAAGCATTGGGCTGCTGGAATCCTGCTTTAGGTATAATGTCTTTGCTTGCCATATGAACAGTAGCAGAGGCAGCATTAGAGTATAGAAACGATGGAGGAGGTAGAAGGGGAATATTGCTTGAGCTAGGCGATGGAGAGGGTTGTCGCGAATAGTAAGGAGGCGTGTTATAATTACCATTTGAAGGATTCGAACTATAATAGTTATCACTTGATGATGGTGTGGAGGTGGATGACGGTAAGGTGCCGCTGCTTCCACTGCTAAAACCAAATGGCTTGTTGTTTAACAAAGGAGCTAATGCTGGAATGCTACCATTGCCCTGCTGTTTTGGTGGTTGTTGCTGCTGCTGTTGATGTGATTGTGATGGCTGTTGCGGCTGTTGTGTCACAGCAGATCCTGAAGATGTTTGTGATACTGTTGCCGAGGATGGAGGCGGTGGGGATCTTGGCAATGAATAGTAGTCTGCGCCTGCTTGGGCAACAATGTATCCAAACTGAGGTAGCATATGTAAAAAGAGAGGTATATCTTGGACAAGAACAGCAAGCAAAAAGAAAGGGGGGGGGTGTTAAATCCAGCCAACCGGAGTTATGTGGGATCAAACAAGAAAGGTAAAAAGGGAAAGAGAGAAGGAAAAAGAAAAAAAAAGGCAGCAAGGATCAACATTTATTCAAGCATCTGGGCGGTCACATTCACTTTACTATCCACTCTTTCATCTGTTTAAATTGCTTGAATGTCGCCAACTGAGGGGCCTTGTGGTGCCCAGTGCGGCAGATGCATTGTAATCTGGCGTGGTAAGGTAGACTACACTGGCACGGCTATTGAGCTGCTGTTGCTGTTGCTCGACTAATTGAGAGGTAGACGTCGTATCCTCCTGCTGCATCATTTGATACTTTTTGAAAAACTCATCATTGTCGCCAAAGAATTTGGCCGCCTTTTCATGCTCTTTTCTGGATTGATATCGATGCAATATCCATAGAAATCCCAGTATAACAATCACAAATACGAGCACTGAAACACCCAATACGGCCCATAGCCAGCCGGCAATGCTGTGAAAGACATCAGGGCCATTGATGCATATGCCGTCATCTGTGCAATAGCCAGTGATACATTCTCGGTCTTGCCAGCAGTTGGCTCCTAAAGCATGCGATGATGTACAAATGTGATTGTCACACCAAGTGCCTTCGGTGCAGTTATCTCGAATGATTGTTTGCTGAACTGCTAGTCCTTTGGCATCATAAGATACATAGTCTGTCCTAAATATCAACATGTCACTATGTCTGTTGTTTGAACTTGCGCTTGTATTCCCTATTCGTTTACCTATCTGAGCCACAATTACCACCTAAAGGTGCTCCTTTGATGAAGCATGTAGAGTTCAAGCAGATGGATTCTTTTCCTGCACATTCATCGTCTCTTTGCTGTCTGATGGTGAACATCCGATCGAGCTATTTATATAAAGAAGCTTACCAGTTCGCAATGCCCACCCACTGGCACAAGTGGAGTGCACTGTGATCCGCTGTCAGGGCAATACATTTGATTGCTGCATCGAGCGGGAAACTTGAAGGCTATTTCATTCCATCTGGAAGCAAAAGTGAGTGGTGCAATCAAGAGCTGATAGCAATGTCTGCTTTACCCTTGAATATAATCCGTATTGGAGCAGCCTTTGTAGTTGCAAGTGTTGTTGCGAGATGCGTCGCAGAACAAGTAAACATTGGCACATGAATCGTCGTATTGCCATGTTGCCCTGTATACATGTTGATTATGATCAGTGATGGGATTGCTTCCATGACACATCCAGGCAAATGATACTTACGAATAGATGGGGCTTGAATCACAAATTTCTCCATACTGAAGACCAGATGTTGCTGAAATAGCTATAGACAAAGCAACCAGCGAAATACACTTCACCATCATCTACACTAGCGTTTTGAAAACGAAAAATGTTGAAAAAAAAAGGAAGAAAAAAAAAAAGGAAAAAGAGAGATCGATAAATAGGAGACAGGGACACAGTTTCTTTTTATACGATGGTTGATTGAAGCGAGAAGATTCACTTTGCTTGCTTTCTTGCTTGTTATCTATCTTTCCATGCACATGTACATGCCATTTAACTTTGTAGTGCACTGAGGTATGGATAGATGCTCACAGTACAAAGACTCGGGCAAGAAAAAAAAAAAAAACCAGAGCAAGACGTTCATATGTAGGTATCTTATATTCATTTGTTGAATATTCACAAGAGATACACATAACAACAATGTGTTGAAACAAAGACCTGGGCCTTATTTAGCATGTGTAATAAGGCAATCAATTTCATTGGCCTACAGTAGACATGGAAAAGGGAGAGCTCTCCAACGTTTGTTTATTTATATAATACTGTTGTTGATCCTGCATGATAAGTGGATTGAAGCAGATCTATTTCTGTATAATTTGCTGTGTACAGTGACAGCTACGTACCACCTTTTTGTTATATAATTTTGCAATATGAGTAACGCTACCCTACCTGATATGTGTGTGTGTGTGTGTCAGTGTAACCTACGAATGATGAAGGTGCTGGGTGATCCCATTGATCCAAGTACGCAAACTTATGACTATATATTGCAGGAAGAAGCTTCCCTTTTTAACCTCTTTTTGACCTGATCTTGTTCCTGAAATTTTGAATGGCCTTCATTAAAGTAGATGATGCAAAATGATTTCATATAGCGAAGCTTTCACATGCTCCAAGACATAAGACGATTCAACCTATCAGCTTATACGCATAATACAAATGTGGCTTGACATCATGCAACGGTAGTTGATATATGTTTCGGTTCTGCCACTATCTGAAGCACCATAGCAAGTCCCTCAGTATAATCCGTACATGCCCTCAACATACCACCATAGATGAACGGGGTATCCAAATTTAGCTGGTGTCAACATTGAAAGAACTGATCTTGCAGACAATGAAGCACTGCGAAGAGACCTGTCAGTTTTGTGCTGAGACGACTTTACTATAAAAGCTATGGAATAAAAGCCAGGATAATTATATGGTTTATTGAATACAAATTAGATAGGTTTATTAAAAGAGTCTTTTTTTTTATCAAAAGAGAAGAAATGAAAAAATATATAAAAAGAGAGGGGAAGGAAACTACTATGGATGATCGATAATGAAGATTTGATTTAAACCGGCTGAATAAATAACAAATTGCTGCAAACTTAACGCAGACAACCTAAGATCAGGAACGAAAGCTTCGTTTGGGCCAATGGCTATGTATCTACCATTATGGAGTCGGAAGCCTCTTGCGTTCGTACCTGTATTGACTTGAATTGTTTGGGGAGGGGGGCGTATATTGGTTATATCCAATTCAAAGCTTTGCAAGTTCCAGGCACCGGCGTTGAGACTACCGCCGCCACGCATGCCACAATTATGCAAACGCAATCGAGTAACTCTTGAAAAGATGCGGTGTACATGTTGTAAATACAGGTTGACATGTAGGTTATCTTCAAAGGTGAGGCTGGCGAGACTTGTGTTGAGAACAGTACATTCGGTGAGCAGATTCTGATCCGGATTGATTCGATGCTTGGCGAGTGCTCGTTCATGGTCGCGTACAATTCGCCCTGTTTCTCTTGCAAATTGGTGAAGTGTTGAGGAACCATGGATGGTGATGGATTGCAGCTGTCTTAGTTCCAGTTGGATAGAGTCCATTAAAGTTGCAGTCAAGTCGCGGATGTGGATTCGCAGGACTTGAAGTGGGAAGCCTCTTAGATCGGGACGAAGCAAGGCAGCGTTGAAAAAAGCTCTTCGTCGGTTGTCTCTTGTCATATTGTGCAAATCCAGCCTTTGTAGATGAGGCAAGGCGTCCATTACTCGATACAAACTGAGTCGTCTTCCCATACTGAAGTGCAGAGTAAGTTGTGTAATATGCTGAAAATCTGCTCGCAATAAACGTGGCAAATCGCCAAAAAAAAAATACACCACGCCCTTATAAATCGCATCCGTTAATCCTCGAATATCAAGCTCTTGCAAAGTGTCGTTGTAGTAGCAACAAAGCCTCATGAAATGGATTTTCGATGCAGCATCAGTGTTCCGGGTGTCCATGGTAAAACTGATAGGGTTACCGACTCTTCCAAGTACATTGTCGAAGATATCCTGAGGAAACAGTTGAAGTAGATCGACTCGTGAAAAGTGGACTCTAAGTGCTGGTAGTCGTCGCAGGAGTTGAAAGAAGATTGGGGTAATGAGTTCTGGGCGTGCAGGTCTAACAGAATGCAATTCCACGGGTCTTTGGCTAATATCGCAAAATTAATATAGCTAAAATGTTAGAAGAAGAACCCTGATTGTTGATTGATATATAATCATTAATCAAATGAGTGTTTATGTTTCAGATGGTTCTCTACTTTCGCTTCGCTTTGGTGAGAGCCAACCTGCACAACGACAGCTCGCGCTACCGATTTCCCTTGCGTATCTTATCAACATACTGCTACTTTCATTTTGATCCTCCATTTACACATGAAAACTCTTCGTATTATCTGTGGATCTGATTCTTATGCGATGCTCTACATCCATATACACGTAGTTACTTCATATACGGGCAAGCAGCGTGCTGATATTGCCCCTTTTTAGTCAAGAGTGTGCCTAATACAACAAAAACTGAGTGCATTTGAGCCGCGTTTTCTCGCGTTCCAGGCCGTTTTAGATTGTCAGAATAGCTCCAGATGGTTGCTCTCATCTGGCAGTTACTTTCTGACACTTTTGCTCGACTTTTTGGGGAGCAAAAAAACATGGTCAAAAATCGACCAAAAAGCATGAGGTACCCCTCATGGTTTTCATCGAAAATCAAACGATCGCATTTTTCACCTTGATAATGAAGACTTTTAATATGGTATATCTTGAATCAAAATGTTTCTCTCGATCCAACGTAGCCTCTGAAATCATCTTTGTAGAACTTTGATATGGAAAATCTCGACTTTTTGGCCAGAAACCTCTTTTCATATTTTTGTAAATTACTCAATAAGTTTATTCAAGACATCTATCTTACATGGTACCATTGGAAGCGCCTTGAAAAGCACTCCAAGAAAGCTTAAAGAAGCATTTTTTTTTTTTTTTTTTGTAGGGGAGTCGAGCTCCAGGTTTTATTTAAAGTCCTTTAAATGTCATGCTGAGGGATAGAAAAGACTGTTGGTGGACCCAATGTCTGCAATGAAGGGGAATAAGATATTTTTTGAACTAAGTTGGGAAAGAAATCTACTACTAATAAGGTGCGACACCTAGAGCCAATACAGTCTTGCGGAAATCGTCAAATATAGATAATGGATAGAGTACAAAAACACCAAACGAGGACATCAGTACTACGTCAAAAAAATCAAAACAACTTGCGTTCACCAGGATTTGAACCGGGATCCTCCCGTTGGCATACGGGAGTTCTACCACTTCGCCCTACCACCAGGGACTAGCTTAAAGAAGCAGAGGATGATCATCATATTTTATACAGTCGAATCTGCTAAAATAGTTCAATCGAGTCGAAAACCATCAAGATTTGGCCAATCTGGAACAGACTATGAGTCTGGGTTTGAATTAGTTTTGGCTGGTGGCACATGTAGCCCCTGTGTTGCTTGGTTGTTGATATGGTGATTCAAGAACGTCAGGCATGGTTCTATAGAGCTTGAATAATAACAAGCTGGTAAGTTGTTGAGCTATCTACCGCCTATCTAAGTATAGTGGTGGAAGAAATACCAATTCATCTTGTAAATCATCACAACTCGACGATTATAACAATATTTCGCACTTGATGAGGAGGACTATTTGGCCTCAATGGCGCCACTTCAATCAAGTTTAAATTGATGTGTAAGCACTGGATATACTCTTCCGCATAGACTACATATACATAGACACCACGATCTATCCAGTATGATATAATGCGTCGGAAGCAGATATATGGCCATGCATTTTCTCGAAATAGCTCGACTTGAAAATCAAGCTTACAGTCGACTTTCTTAATGAGGCAGTGCTATTTAGCAAGCCCAATGTTCGCAACTGTTTCAATTGTATACTTCAGTGAGCGTTTCAAATGCTAACTTTTGTTATGATGTTTTAATAGCACTGAGGTGTTTGTGTAGTTACAAGCAAGGAAGTCATTTGGCCAAAAGCTCAGGCGAAAATGCATCAAATCAAAGGCTTGATCTCATGAGGAATAGGACAAGCAAACTGCCTATCGTTGCTCACATACAACACCCCAACCATACGACTATTTGGAGCCATATCGTCAAGCCTATACGATTGCATTTGTTTGCTTTTTCTGCGCTTCAGACATTTGCGAAAGAGTGCTCTTCGCATAGTTTTCGCTACGATCATGGCAGCAGTGATTGGGCAGTAAGCTGGCCTCAGTGACCGTTGGGTGGAAGCAGGACCATCACTGAAACTCAAAATTTTTCATGAATATACTTTTGACATTTTTTTTTTTTTTTTTTTTTTTTTAGAGTCGAAAAATCTTTTCTCTTTTATAAATCACACAACATACCAAACACAAGCCATGGATACAAACACCAAGAAGAGATCAAGAGCTGATGATATGAGTGAATCTCAAGCAACAAAGAAACAAATTTTGGAGAAAGTGAGCTCATCATCCAGCGGCTCATCCTTGTTACCCACCAATGCTTTACTCGATATCGAGGAAGATTTCCGTATCGTCGTTGGTACCTATGAACGCCTTTTGTTTGGCATTAATGCACTCTGGAACGAAGAGGTAATAAACATGTGGATACATTGGCGAGAGAGAGAGAGAGAGAGAGAGAGAGAGAGTAGGTACTGATCCATACAACAGAAAACTCAAGTCAAATTGGAACCTGTATTTATTATTCCTGCTCACACTGGTTGCATCCGTACTGTAGCCATTGGTGGTCATTTCTTGGCTTCTGGAAGCACCGACGAGATTATTCGTTTATATGATGTCAAGAAACGCAAGGAATACGGTTCTTTGGGTGGCCATCATTCTGGCGATATCACTGATATTCAATTCCATGGCAAGTACATGTTGTCTGCTTCGGACGATCATTCAATCAATCTGTGGAGAACCAAGGATTGGGAATTCCTCAAGACACTCAAAGCACACAAGTAAGTTGGGAGATCAGCAAAGATAGATTTCATACTTACGGGACGCTGTAGGGGAAAGGTAAATTCAATTGCCATTCATCCTACCGGTAAAATTGCATTGTCTGTTGGTATCGACAGAGCTGCTATTGTTTGGAATCTGATGACAGGCCGCAAAGCTAGTGTAAATAAGCTGGGCAAAGGTATGAGGGATGAGAATGATAAGTGATATGCAGTGTACTAAAGTGTATCTGTAGAGGAGCCCATGTTGGTTTTATGGAATCCAGCCGGTGACCAATATGCTATCATGTTTGATAGAACTATCAACATTTATAATGTCTCGGTAAGTATAAAGGGGGGGGGGCTGATGAACTAGTAGTTGAGATGCTTACATCACGTACATAGGATGCCAAAATTGCCACCACCATCACTCAGTCATCTCGATTCCACAGCATGAAATATTTCCACTCCAAAAAGCACGACAAGGACTACATTGTCACTGGCAGCGAAGACAAAACTATTCGTATCTACGATGTCACATCCGGCGAGTGCGTGAAAGAGATCAAAGGACACAAACTGCGTGTCAAATCAGTGACCGTAGTTGAATCTGATGACAGAATCGTTCTTGTATCAGTATCATCTGATGGCATTGTCAAGTGTTGGGATTTAGAGGAAGCATTGGACGGCGATGTGGAGCCTTTGGGAGAATACAACACCAAATGCCGTGCAACTTGCATCACATCTCATGTTGGCTTCCACAAGACAGAAGCAATGGCCGCTGAAGAGGCTGCTGCTGATGCAGAGGCTGCCAAAGAAGCTAAAGCTGCAAAAGTGGAGAAGAAGAAGAAGCAGCAGCAGCAGGAGTCGGTGCCAGCAAAAAAGACAGCTCCCACCACAAAAACAGCAACACCATCCACAGCAAAGGCTCAACCAGCAGCAAAAAAGAATCACAACAAAAAGAAGGCAGCCTCTAAAAAGTAAAAATGTATCAATATAATAAAAAGAGAGATAGAGCTAATTCACATTGAATGTGTGTGCGTTGCACAAAGATATTTGTATTTGTGTGTGTGTGTGTGTGTGTGTGTGTGTGTGTGTGCGAGTGCGTGCGTGCGTGCGTGCGTGCGTGCAAGTGTGCGTGCAAGTGTTTGTGCTTTTGAGAATGGTTTATTTACTTTTTCTTTCTCTCTCTCTCTCTCTCTCTTTCGCCATTAATTCTGACTAAACAGAACACGGCATGCTCTTATGGATTCCAACTTGAAAAACAAATCAACCGCAAAGAAGAAAGCAAACGACAATAACACCATCAAGAAGAAATCATCTCGAGCATGTGCACCTTGCCGGAAAAGAAAGGTTTTTTTTTTAAAAAAAAAAAATAGCTGAAAAGAAAAAAGCAGTAAGATCTAAAACTAACACATTTCCAAGGTGAAATGCAATGGGCAATTACCATGCGATCGGTGTTCTCGAACGAATTCAACATGTGTATACGACAAACCACAGCAAAAGAAGGATACACCAAAGCCTGCAATAGAAAATCACGAACCAAGATTAAGGGCCCTGGAAAAATTTCTAAGGCAAATATCAAATCTACTTGAAGTCTCGGATCCTGATCCCCCTCTTTATTCCAATCCTAATCAAATCAGTATACCGCCATCGGGTAAGAGCGCACTGCGACTAAGGGCAACTTTGTATACAGGCACTTACTGATATGATAGAGCCACATACATTATCCATCCATACATCAGGTCGAGGGTGCTATGTGCCTGATAATCCACTTCGAACTGATTCCGCCATCAAACAATCGATCCCAGCACACTTGCCTGCCGATTCATCCTATCCTCAGCAACAGCAGCAGTCCACAACAACTACAGTCAAAGAGAATCTACTATCCATCTATTTCCAGTTTGTAGATCCACTCATACCCATCTTACACAGGCCGTCATTTCTGCAGCAGCTTCGAAACAAAACCATCAGCAATCTGTTGTTGAATGCGATTTATTGCGTGTCGTCGAGATGGGATTTAGCAATGCCTTCAGTGGGGGAGGAGCCTCGAGGATGGGTTTATTATCAGAAGGCGATATATTTGCTGGATCAACAGGGCGAGCCCAAATTATCCACCATTCAGGCTATATTTTTAATGCTGAAATACAACGAGCATGTGCGTCGACCTGGATTTGCATGGAGAACTCGGTACTACTTCCAAATGATTGTTCGGATGGCAAAGGATTTGGGGTTGTCTCGCAATATCACAGTGGCAGCAGAGGAACTCGTACCCATGGAGAGGAGAAAAAGGACGTTTTGGGCTGTCTATTGCTACGATGTCATGATGAGGTTTGTAGTTGGGTTTTACATTGTAGTGAGAGCTTCTATTGTTAAGTGTTTCTATCCATAGTGTGGAGAATGGCACTATGCCTCATTTCAGCAATACCGATTGTTCAGTTGATATTCCACACGTGTTGCAAGACGAAGCCCAAGAAGGCGACAAAATCATCCACTTCATACTACTCACCAAGATTATGCGCAACCAGTCTGATATCGTACAATTCCTACATACAAAATACCACCAAAAAATGGCATTTGACTGGGATCAGGACAAGCAATTCAACAAGGTATCAAATGATCTAGGCACGACGATCTCGCTCATCACATCCACAACCAAATTTCCTCAAAAAGAAACCATGTGCTACACCATTTGCTTTCTATATTTAGCGTCTTGCTTTGCCACTATCCTACTGTATCGACACTCAAACGGCCACAAGAAGCAGTGTTTGGAGGCAGCACTGAATATCAAGCTGATTACAGAGCTGGTGCTAGAGTGCGATGCGTTTGAGGACATGTATTGCTCCATGCGAGGTATACAGCAGATTGTACATTTCCTGTCAGCGGCAATCACCGTCTTTAGAGATCAAGAAGCGACAATACCGTACAAGAGCACTCTGCAACTAGCACAGAAGTTGGCATCCATTTCACCAGCAACCGAAGTTATTGGCCATAATAATAATAATAAATTAAAGCGTAAAAGTCTTCATCTACCCAATGAAACCATCGTGCAAGATCTTTGCATCCCACTGCAGCAGCAACAGCAACAGCAGCAACCACCGCCACACTATTCACCCAATGCTAATATATCACTACAATACCAGCCGTATCAACAGCCTTATGTCAATCAGCAATACCAGCCTATGCAACCACCCGTTATGAATATACCTAATCAACAACAACAGCAGCAGCAGCAGCAGCAATCCTTACTAGGCTTACTGTATAATGAAGATGATTTATAACTGTTTATTAAAGGCTTGCATATAGGCATGAATCAGGTCTCTTTGAATTTCAATAGGTGTGTTGATCTTGCTCATTTTGACTCTGTATTTTGCACGTTTCCGTTTATCTTGATGTTGATTTGATTCTTGATGCTGCCTCTTTCTTTTCGATCTCTGATCTTGATGGACAATGTCATCTAATTGGGATGTTTGTTTGTTTATGGGGTGGCGGTGATGATATAGTTGCCGTAGCTGATTAGATCGATGTATTATTTGATCGTATGCTTGACGTTTATCTTGTGGCTGCTGATTGATTTGAAGGATATCATCGGTAATGTGGTTAGTGTTGCTTGAATCGCTCACGGATGGCTCCACGAACGATATTACAGAAGAAGAGTCTTTATAGAAGAAGAGGGATGACAATGGTATCTAATCATGACTAGAGATGAGCCATATATCCAATCATGTAGAGTAGGATGACATACTTGTTTGCTTGAGGAGGCAGTCTTGGCAGAACTGCGTTTATTTGGTCTAGTCGAGTCTTGCTTTTTTGTTTGCCATTGCGTCAATTCTGACCTTGTCCAACCTAAAGTTGAGAGAATTTCATTTATTTTATCATTTGCTGATTCAACTTTTTTGGATATCAGGACGAGTTGATTGTGCCGAGTGTCCATTTAGTGATTAGAGGGAGCTTACGTTGAGCGAAAAGGAAAGAGGAGCAAGAAAAAGAGTGTGTCTGGAAAAGCCGTGTTTTGAATTCTTCTTACATCATTGGTGGATAACCCGCTTCGATATAGGAACAAACGTAGATTTACACCACGCACAGTAAGATGCATAGCTTTGGGACATGACTGTAGAGTTTCAAAGTACTATTGATATATTGCTTTAACCAACAATAAATGCATCTGCCTCCAGTATTCGTTGGTATCCGCAGCTGTTCGCATACATGCTGATTTTTTTTCGAAATTAAAGTTGTAGAACACAAGGCAGTTTCAAGGTGTATCCAATGCCAATGTGCTACAATCATCACAGGCATATCCTATTGGGAGACTTTGATCGCCGTATGCCATTCGCTCGATTGCTATCTGAATGGCACTCAACGATCTCTTAGAAATCTAAATGGCATTGAAAAATCTAGAGCACATTCAATATGAGATGTATCATACATTGCACATCATTTAGAGTTGCGTCCCTTTTGATGAAATACACCTTGATCAATGAGCGACTGTATATATATATATATATATATATATATCAAACTGTCGTCATCGCCATAAACAGATTGTAAATCAAAGAGTATAATGAACGTTGATGTTATCGTCATTTTTCCCTCTCTACAGACTGCAATTCCATTTTTATGCAATTGTGTTCATTCGATGTAATGGTCCCAAAAATAGCCATCGATACCCTTTTCACATTTGGAAGGAGAGTTGCCTGGAAAGGGTTTAGTTAAATTGTGCATGTTGTCATTGGCCTAACAAAAGGAAGCAAAACACACAACACAAAGCGCACAAAATAGAGTTTCAACAGCCGAAGTGCGACAAATAAGGTCAAGCTGAACTTTGCTGTCTGTTTGTCTCGTCATCTATACATCACATCATTGACCCATTGCAAAGAGATATCCGCAAGGTATATAAAGGCAATGTATTTTGTCTTGGCTCAGGTTTTTCTTCACTACTCTACCCATAATCTAAAAAATACACACAAAATGAAGTTCATTCTCACCCAAATCTCTGCTGCTGTCTTGGCCGCCTCTGCTGCTTCTGCTGCCTACCTTACCTCTCGACAAGAAGCTACCCCTGATAATGGTAACCAACAACAAAACCAAACCATTCAACAATATGGTGGCAACTTTGATGCTGGTGTTCTCAATGGCACTTGTAAGTAGTGGCAAAAGTAAAATTGCATAAAAAATGGTGATAAATGCTGACATTTTATCAATGAAATAGGGTATTTGACCGGTGTGACTCAAAACATCTGGAGCATGTATGAACTTTTGTCTCAAAAGATGAACTTGGACGTCAACTGCTTGCAATTGAATGTCACTAGCAGCTCCAACACGACCTTGGATGTGTTTGCCTCTGCTTTCTTGAGCAAGAACGGCACTGAGGCCGGTGTCAATGCCACTGCTGCTGGCGCCTTCATCTTGCAAAATCCTGACAACAAGACCAACGTCTCTAACCACGAGTTCTACTGGGATGCTTATGTTTCTCAAATCTTTGTCAACAAGGCTCAATGGGAGAACTTTACTTCTAATGGTCAAAGCAATGCCAATGCTTCTGATAGTGGTAGCGCTGTCATTCCCGGCTCTAAGCCCGCTCAAGCTAACATCTACACTCAACTCATTGATTCCAATGCTCAACCTGGCTCCAATGATTCCACCAACTACGATACCGTCTTTATCTGGGGTTCTCAAATGAAGACTTTTGATAATTATCAAAAGAGAGCCGATGACCTCTACGGTATTGTTCTCTCCAAGACCTCCAATGTCGCTGATGACACCTTCAACAAGACCATTGCTCTCTTGCCTCAAGCTGTTGCTGCTAACAATGTCTCTGTTGTCAAGTTGAACGATACTTGCACTCTCCACAACAACAGCCAACAACAACAATAAGCCGTTTAATCTCTTATTTTCTTTAATCAATCCTGTTAAATAACAATCTCATAGCTTGAGATGGATCTCATCTTTATGCTACACCTTATATATGCTTTACAATATCTAATAAATATACACTTTCATTCAGTCATCATCATTGCTACATTACCAAATCCATGTATCTTAGCCCAGATAACCTTAAATTCTATACCAATTGCATGAAAGGCTAAAAATACATGGTTCCAGAGGGCCTAGCACTTTCTCTTAAGATCATGATGAAAGGGGATATTTATTTCCAAAAAAGAACACAACGGCTGCAATCACTAGACCAACCTTGTATTAAGAGCAATTGCATCGACCAGCCGTAGAATAGATCGCCGATGATACAAACCCAGGGTTTTATCAATCAAAACAAGGACATGTATCGTTTCACACAACATTAGGCTTTACCGAAAGGGCCATTACGGATGCTGATGAAATTTCATGTCATTGTAAAAGTGTACATTTTGTATCAAAAGTAAATGTCGTTTAAGAGCTTAATACAACAAGAAATAGTCTTAGGAGAAAAAGAACATTATAGAATATCAGAAGATGATGTATTATTTACTCAACTACACAAACGCACAGAATGGTTACATCCCGAGAATTCAAGGCTTGATGTATGTCGGCAATCGACCCCTTCCCATACATGGAAATCCTTGACACCCAAACGTGCGTAGTACAAACCAGCCGTTTAGCCAAGGTCGATTGGATCAGCTACGCACCTAGAACTCTAAATCCGAGATACAACATCATCGCATGCTAGAGTCAATAAAACGTCCATGATGCAAGATATAGTAGCATGCATTCAAAACCTCGGGGCCATTTAATTTCAATGTGCGGTATGGCAGTTGCCGTACAGTTTGGGAAGCGACGAAGAAATCCCAGCTATCACCTTGTTGCTATAATACCTGACCTCTGTGTGTGCTATGGTGTAGGTAAACGCATACTATTTGAACGATATAAAATCGTTTCAACTGCTTTGAAAGCTGCTCTTCCTAGCAAAAGGGTGTTGCAATTCCATATATTTGGTGGTGAGCCAGATTGACTGGCGTTGTCAGATATATATAAAAAAAAAAAAAAGCACAAAAAAAGGCAAAAGGTATTCACACCGAGCCATGGTCCTTTCAAATTCATATTTCCCATTTAATCAATATCCCAATCATCATTGTTATTATCATCAACAGGTAGAAAAACATTTTGGTCGGCCAGCAGCACTGCTGCTGCTAAAATACGTTCAAACCCAGGTTGTTTTTTTTTCTGTTCAAGATTGGCCAACTTTTGTCTATTTTCGACTTCTTTAGACTATTCTAAAAGATTCGACTATATAAGTTGTAATGATCAGCCCGTACTTCTTAATGCATCCTTGGAGTACTTTTCAAGGCGCTTCCAATGGTACCAAGTAAAATAGATATTTTGACTGAGCTCACTGAGCAATTTGATAAAATATGAAATGAGGTTTTTTTGCGAAAATAGACATATTTTGCATATGAAAACTTCATAAAAGTGGTTTTAGAGGTTGCTTTGGATCGAGAGAAACATTTTGATTCAAGATATACCATAGTAAAAGCCTTCATTTTCAAGGTGAAAAATGCGATCGTTTGATTTTCGATGAAAACCATGAGGGGTACCTCATGCTTTTTGGTCGATCTTTGTCTATATTTTTTGGTCCCCAAAAAGTTGAGCAAAGGTGTCAGCAAGTAACTGCCAGATGAGAGCAATCGTTTGGTACTATTCTGAGCACCTAAAACAATCTTTAACGCAAGAAAACGCGGCTTAAATGCACTCAGGGTTTGCTGTATTAGGCACACTCTTGACTAAAAAGGGGCAATATCAGCACGCTGCTTGCCCGTATATGAAGTAACTACGTGTATATGGATGTAGAGCATCGCATAAGAATCAGATCCACAGATAATACGAAGAGTTTTCATGTGTAAATGGAGGATCAAAATGAAAGTAGCAGTATGTTGATAAGATACGCAAGGGAAATCGGTAGCGCGAGCTGTCGTTGTGCAGGTTGGTTCTCACCAAAGCGAAGCGAAGGTAGAGAGCCATCCGAAGCATAAACACCCTTATAAATTAATAAAAGACAATGTTTATAAATTTTGACAGTTTAAAATACCACTTATAAACCTAACTCTAAATCAGACTCCTGTTCAGTTCCTCGTATTTCACAGATTTGTCTAATAACCGCTAGGATGACCAAATGAAATTGACTTACATTGCCTTCACAATCTATGGCATTATCTCCCTGCTAGTCGGCAGCCTTTCCTTGTCTATCTTCTTTGTAAAGCAACTGATGTTCAATGACAAATCAAGCACAAATGCTATGACAGCCCCTCCCAGCCTAATTTGCTAAGACAAAAGCGACACCACCTCTTCTTTGAGTCGCAAACGTTCAGCAGGTTTAGTAGTTGCATTGGATTCGGGGAAAACATGTGTTTGGCCACCGGTAAAGCGAGGAGTGACATGCAATGTGGCTAGATCAACCATATCATCCAAAACAAACATATCGGCACACACCTAAATTTTTGTAGATTTGGCAGCAAACTTCTTGTAAGATGGAACAGATCGTGATTTTGAAAGTAATAGCATACTGTATGTTTGTATGGGATAGATTACTTGAGGCAATCATGGGGAATCAGGGCGAATGGGGGAACTCGAAATATAAATGTCAGATGCTTGTGAAACACGCGATGAAAGCTTAACTTCAGCGTTTTCAACCAAATAATGTTCTAGTTTTGGCAAACCATCAACATGGCCATCACGGTAGGCTGCTTCATTTTTGGCATGAGATGCTTCGATTTCATTAAGAGAGGATTTAGCACCGTCAAGTAACATCTATTTAAAGGCATTATCATTAGTTGCTATTGAACAAATACTTCTTACTTCTGGAGTCTTTACGAACCTTCAATTTCCAAAAAAGATTGGTTACATGCATGAACTGGTTCTGAAAATCTTCAGAGTGCGATACGGGGAGAACAGCGCTGTCTACTCGATTCAGCACATATAGCTCTTTGTCAAGGAGGCAGAATGTCCAGAGCCTGATGCGGTCTTGCGCAGCGTGTAGGAAACAGATCTTCAGCTTTTGGAACGTTTGAATGTCAGCGTGAACGAATTGATGGGCGATAGTATGCAGCATTGATAACAGACCATATGCAGCTTTGACTTGATCCGTGGTTTCTCGAGAGACATTGATTAAACCGAATGGGCCAGATGTTTCAAGCAAGCATAACTCCAATCCACTATCACTGTCCGAAATAATACCATCAGCATTATAGTAGCTCTTTGTAGACATATTTTGACGTTCAAGCTCTTTATAAATAGCCTGTAGACGAGTTTCTCCCGGAATGAATACACAAGAGGGAATAGCAGACACAACAGCGTCAAGAAATCGAAAGATTGCACGATAGTTGTAGACGGTCTCTTGCTTCGTCAGGACACCCGGTTTCTTGAGAATTTGCGTGATGCTACAAAGTACAAAAAAAAAACTAAATGACTAAGGAACAACCATAGAATTGTATAAACTTACAAGATCATAAAAAAGTCGAAGGTAAACTGCAAATTAGGATCAGCAGTAATCTTGACTTTTAAGCTATTCTTCAACAACAAAGTATGACATTCATCAAGTGATACAATCTATTTAGAAGGATTTGAGTCACTTGATCTTTGAATGAAGTTGTAAGGCAACCTACCAGAGATTCGAAAAAAGGAGGGTAGAATGAAACAAACTTTTGAAAGACATCGACAGCAGGCACTTGTAGGATCTTGTTTGTTTTTGACACAAGCTTTTTAGGATACAGTTGTCTACTTTGCTTGTTTCCGATGTGCTCTCCCATAATTATAATTCCCAGGTACTCCAAACTATCAAGACAACATTAGTCTCTTTTGAAGGATGTGAGGTTAATCTTGTCATACCTGTATCGATTTATGTCTGTGTCATTGTGGTCATCAGTTAACATTTCATATAGAATACTGCTCCAAATGCTCCAGATATTTTCCAGTGAAGATTCTGTTTCTACTGATGAAGCAGGCGAAAGTGATCTAGTTTCAGCAATAACACGCTGAACACTCTGGCAGAAATAGAGAGGTTATAATAAAGTGATTTCGTGAAATGTTCGCATGCATACTTACCAGTAGTGTCTGGTTTATCATACTAGAAGAGACTCCATGATATAGTTGCAATTGTTCATGAGAACTGGTCAAAAGAGCGGCCATACTTTTCTTTTCCTTCCAGTACAAATCAGCATCAGGATTAGATAAGCATTTCAAGCCATCGACTAACAAACACGAAACAAAGTTTTTGACTTCATCTTTTACATTCTTGATATTGAAAATAGCATTCATTTGGTTTTCTGCTTCCTTTTTGGCTGTTTCGGGTGTATCACAGTTCAACAAACGAAGCAAGTCTTTGCTGTTAAAAGTTTGGTACGTATAATGGGTTTTGAAATAGTGCAAGATTGATGAAGATGAAGCCATTTGAGTTCGCTTGCTGCTAGATGACTCTGGATCATCCGAATGCCGTTTGTTGTTCATTTTTAGCCTATGAATTAAAGGAGATCACGTACAAAGAGCATTTTATAAATGAATGTCATTTCCAAAAGGAAAAAAAAAATGCTGATGTCACGCAGTTTACTTCAATCACCCCACTTTAATAGTGAGTGATGTGAATACATTTATTGCTTTTTTTCATCGCTTTTTGTCTGTGGTTTAGGATACCTACCTTGTTCTGCTTATCAAGTAGTACTTTTCTCTGTAAAAGTGGACTGATGCAGCTCATCGAGCTAGACTAGCAAGGTGATTCTTGTTTAGCGATTCAGCGGTCGGGTTCGCTTTCATGGACCAAGGGAATATATGTTTTCTTGGCCCTAAGATTGCGCATTGGTACCCTAAAGTTAAAGACTAGCCTATTCCTATTCATTAAAGATAAAGGTCAATACGTGTAGAAATAGACAGTTCTGCGTTACTGCAAAGATATATTAATTATCACTCTCTCTCTCTTCGCGTTTTATAGAAAACTCTTTTTGTTCACCGTCTGCGGCTTGGGATACCTACCTTGTTCTGCTTATCAAGTAGTACTTTTCTCTGTAAAAGTGGACTGATGCAGCTCATCGAGCTAGACTAGCAAGGTGATTCTTGTTTAGCGATTCAGCGGTCGGGTTCGCTTTCATGGACCAAGGGAATATATGTTTTCTTGGCCCTAAGATTGCGCATTGGTGTCCTAAAGTTAAAGACTAGCCTATTCCTATTCATTAAAGATAAAGGTCAATACGTGTAGAAATAGACAGTTTTGCGTTACTGCAAATATATATTAATTATCACTCTCTCTCTCTCTCCGCGTTTTATAGAAAACTCTTTTTGTTCACCGTCTGCGGCTTGGGATACCTACCTTGTTCTGCTTATCAAGTAGTACTTTTCTCTGTAAAAGTGGACTGATGCAGCTCATCGAGCTAGACTAGCAAGGTGATTCTTGTTTAGCGATTCAGCGGTCGGGTTCGCTTTCATGGACCAAGGGAATATATGTTTTCTTGGCCCTAAGATTGCGCATTGGTATCCTGCGTTGAGTCCTTAGGACTTTATGTCAGCTGCATTCGGATCATGATGTCAAGTATGAGCAAGATGTTTGGGAACTTTCGATAAATTTGGAATAATGACTGTATGTTTGGGACAACATCAGTACTAATTCGACGTGTTCCTGAAAATGTAAGATTTGTTGATAGGTGTAGCTCATATCATGATTTAGTATAAATACGATTTCTATTTACGATTAAATATTACTCTTCGTACTATCAATTAATGCTTTCTATTACCTATCTAGCCATTTTTCAGAATCATTGTGCAACTAAGCGCTGCCTCATAACAAATTATTCCATCAGTTTGAGCTACAAAACGCCAATAAAACACTTTTACATGCCAATGATATATTTTGAATTTAGTTTGCTTAGAATAAGCCAAGTTGCCTCAAGGTTTGGTTCTCAATCTTAGATATCTATAAGCAATGCTTCTTGTAGTGATCAATGTATTGACCCACTACTCCTTCTTATTCGCAATTGGCATATGGCGCTTTGAAAGGGTCCTTCCTTGTACCTTTTACTGTAATAGTTGAGAAAGCTCGACAGCTATCAGGGAATGAATGCAATCTTGGCCCATGTTTCTAGCCAGAAAAGGCCACCTGTTGTTAATGCTAGTATTAATGGCGGTCCTTGACACCATATAGCATCCGTATAGAGCCATCCATTGGAAACATCAAACAGCGTGGCATTGTAATATACATAAAACTATCTGTCTAGCTTCGCTGATTCTCAGCAAGAACCTTACTATAGACCTTTATAACAGTGAAGAAATAGCGTTTAATGCGACTTTGAATGAGGCTTTAAATGGGACATCAGACATCAGGCGTCGCCTTTGATTGGCAATTTTACAACGATTAAATACCAACATTTGAAAATTGTATCAGAATCAAAATCAAGTAGATAGGCTAAGCTACAGTATTTCCCAACTCGCAGTTCCCTTCTTATTAGCTTCAAAAGCATTGATTGTTTTCATGAGAAAAGTATCTGGCCAGCCAAAAATACTTGAGTCGTCGACTATTTTTCTTGGACATAGATTGGCCAAATTGTAATGATTATCCTGTGCTTTTCAAGGCGCATCCAATGGTGCCAAGTAATATAGATGTTTTGATTAAACTTATTGAGTAATTTATGAAAATATAAAAAGAGGTTTCTGGCCAAAAAATCAAAATTTTGCGTATGAAAACCTCATTTAAGTGGTTCCAGAAGTTGCTTTGAATCAAGGGAAACATTTTGACTCAAAATACATCATAGTAAAAGTCTTCATTTTCAAGGTGAACAATGCGATCGTTTGATTTTCGATGAAAACCATGAGGGGTACCTCATGCTCATGGCTCTTTCCGCTAAAAAACAGAAAACAGGTTCAACGACCGAAAGTAGCACCTCCAAGGCTACAAATACCGTTGTTGACGCATCATGGGCAAAGGTAACGAAGGGCATCAAGCATACAACGATGACCTTCAATCCAACGATCGTAAAGACACCCATCACACCTTCCACCGCCACCAGTGAATCGAATCAGTCTCTGATGACCGAGGACGCCACCGTCAGCAAAAGTGTGGAAATGGTTCGACCCTTCCTCAAGGGCATTGAAGACAACTCGGTGCTCATCGACATTACTGGTTTGCCTAATCAACAGCTCTTACGAGAGGCTCTACAAGCATTCAACAAAGATGCTCATCTCAGAAAAGGCTACAACGATTATATCGGCAAAGTATCTCGCACTCGCAAGTATATGAATCGAGAGATCATGGAAACATGTTGGATCCACGACAGTCCTGGCCACATCGCAATCCTGCAGGGCTTCAATCTGACGGATGGGACCTTTGTCAAGGGTTTCCCCTCTCTTCCAGCTAATGATACTATAGTTAATGTTCGTTTAGACAGACTACCCATGGAGCCAGTTCCTGTCCTGAAATCTTTGATAAAGGATAGACTGTCACATTTTGGAGAAGTCTTGGACTATGGCATCTCCTTCACTCAGGGCGACTACGTCGGACAAGGCTATGCCACTCTGAACATCACCCCCAAGCCAGACGAACCGGCGTATGAAATCTTGGATCGAATTATCTACTTCAGATTGGATAATGGCACCAACCGTCAGGTCCTTCTCAAATGGCAAGATATGCCAGATTTTTGTCGTCTCTGTCAAAAACCGGATCATTGCAAAGCCGATTGTCCTGATGCCAAGAGGTACACGCAATGCTACAACTGCAATCAACATGGACATGTCAGTCGCAACTGCCCTAGACAGGATAACACTGACACCCCCAACAAGAAGCCCACTACGATCCCCAGGAAAGATCGCAAGGTACCTACTCCGATCATTCCCCGAGAGCCCAACCCTCCCATTGGCCCTAGAGTGGTAGTAGCCAAGACCCAGGAAACCACAGACACTGAGTCAGCCAAGAAGCAACAGCAACAGAACAAGCCTGAACCCACCAAGGAGGAGGAAGAGGGTACTGATGAGGACAACATGAATATTGATTCTCCCACTCCTCAACCCAAAAGTAACAATTATGACGTTACACCAAATGCAGATGCTGCGAGCGCACAGACATCTGCCAACAACACGCAAACATTGACATCATTCAATGCAGCTGAATCAACTCTGAATGGACAAGAGCTGATCAAGCAATTTATGCCTGATGACAGTATGAAGGAGCCTCTCATTCAGGAACGACCAGATCTGGAAGATGGCAGAGATGGCAAAAAGCTCAGAACGGAGCAGGAACAGCGCGCCAATCTCACCAGGCGCTTCACCAGAGGCAGTGCAGCCAGCAAATTCAACACTGACACCGACAAGGGTGGCAAAGGAGCTTCAGACGACTCCCAAGGGCAGGAAACATCAGAAACTGCTCAGTCCAACCCTCAACACTTAGAATAATATGATGATTAGAGCACCTAACCATCGATTGCGGATTGCGACTCTCAACTGTCGTGGTCTGACACACAAAAACATAAAAAACGCAGAAAAAAAATTCATAAAATACCTCAAAACATCAGACATTGATATTCTTGCCATCCAGGAATCTCATGCTGACAAAAAAGATACTCAAGACACTTTAGATATGCAGTTTTCCAGCAAGTCCAGCACCTACACCAAACATTGCGGAATCATATCACTTAACAACAGATACATTATTACACCCATTGACACTGGCATCGATGGTAGATTTATACTAGCACACGTACATTATGCGACGGAAGAGGAACCAAACTCCTCCAACTCCATAGCCACAATACTCAACATATACGGAAAAGCAGCATCAAGAAAAGACAACGTGGAATTCTACACGGAATTGATGCAACACAGATTTTTGATACACAAGATTACAACTATTCAGAACAACATGATTATTTTGGGAGATTTCAACTACAAATATGAGTCTCGCCGATCTAATGGAACAGTCGAAGCAACTACAGTCGAATGGATAGCCTTATTGGAGGAACATTTCATCGATTGTTTCTGGGAAAACAAGAGCGCCACTTTTCATGGATCCAACAATCTCCATTACATCTTAGACTACATCTTCTGCAACAACACTTCCTATGGAACAGTTACAGAGTGTACCCAGGAGTTTATGAACTCGACATGGACAGATCATGAAATGCTGGTCATTACTTTACAACTGCAAAAGGATGCTACACAGGGGCCTGGCGCCTACAAATGCAATCCCTTTTTGGCCAACAACCACAAGTTTCGTCGTGAACTGGTGATCTTCTTGCAAGGTCTACAGCCGCAAGTTGAGCTCAAGACAGCCACCCAATCTCCTCAAGAGATCTGGGACTGGATCAAAGACGAGTTTAAGGAGCATGTCCGACAATTCCAACTGGAAGAAGTCAACTGGCGTAGAAAGGCACTGAAGACGTTACAAGCAAAACGGAATCGGTGTATGCGAGCAAAGAAGAACCGGGGACTGATATTTCAAGGGCTAGACACCATCAACCAACAAATTGGTGCGTTACAAGACTCTATCGCCGAAATTGAAGTCCTCAAATTAGGGAAGTATTGGAGAGAAAATGGAGAGAAAAATGCTGGGTTCTTGAAGAAACTCAACGTATCTAGACAGAACCAACGTCAATTGAAACAACTGAGGCATCCAGTTACTCAAGAATTGCATTCTGATCAAGGTACTATGAGCGAGATCGCTGGCAGCTTTTACACGAATTTGTACACACCAACTCCACCCGATGCCAGATCAATGCGGCTATTGTTGGATCAAATCACACCTGACATGCAACTTGACGGTGAACAGCAATCACTCCTCGAACTACCAGTAGAGCTAGATGATTTGTTGTTTGAATGTAAAAGATCGCCTAAATTTGCGTCTCCCGGCAGCGATGGCATCCCTTACCAACTCCTCCGGCTGATTCTCAAGTTCCCACCCCTCCACTCTCTCATCACCACGGTCTACAATGATGCCCTCACCAAAGGCATATTTCCTGCGTCTTGGAACGTCTCCCTCATGACAATCCTCTACAAGAAAAATGACCCCAATGACATGGCAAATTATAGACCTATCTCCCTCTGCAACACTGACTACAAACTCTTGACATGTTTGCTTAATCATCGAATGATGGAAGTCGCTAAGCAACTGATCAACGAGAACCAAGCGGGCTTCGTACCTGGGCGGTTCATTGCCCAAAACGCTCTGCGGTGTCAGGTCATAATGGAAGATGCTGAACGAACCATGAACTTGGCCAAGAAGAACAATGTGATACACCAAATGCCCAAAGCAATTGGCCTTAGTCTTGATCAGGAAAAAGCGTACGATCGAGTTAACCTCTCGTACCTTCAAACTGCACTCATTACTTATGGCTTCCCTGCTAATCTTGTCCGCTGCATCATCAACATGATGGGCCAAAATCTCTTGCGCATCAATGTGAATGGTTACTTTACCGAAGATGTTCCCAAGCTGCGAGGCTTAAAGCAAGGTGACCCCATTTCCTCTATTTTGTACAATTTGGCTATTGAACCCTTTCTGCGGTCTATTCTCAATGATCCATTATACCACGGCTATCAAATGCAGTATGCAACTGACTATCCCAACTATAATGCTAATGACCCTTTAGTTCATGTGTCAAAAATCCTATGTTACGCTGACGATGCTTTTGTATTTGTTCAAGACCTTCCTGATCTGGCAAGACTCGAGTACCACTTAGATGTCTATTGCAATGCAACCAATGCCAAGATTAACTACAACAAGGTCGAAGCTATCTCGCTCTCTGGTCAAAACACATGGTCATATTGGCAAGCACGACTCTCAGAAATGAATATCACAAAATTCACATCCAACAAGGATTCCAATCCAGTGATCTATCTCGGGTTTCCTCTGCTGCAATCGGTTCAACAACGTGAAGTATTTATCGGTGGTCTTGTCGACAATCTCCGGACAGCTACCAAAATCCACAGTGTAAGAAGTCTCTCCGTCGTTGGCAAAGCTACAGTGCTCAACAGTTTGATTTTGTCCAAATGCTGGTATGTACTACGAGTAACTCCGTTTGCTCAAAGTAATGTTCAAGCTATCCAGTCCATTTGCACCAAGTTTCTACGAAAAGGCATCTTTCCTGTTATCCCCTGGGCCACATGGACCAAGCCGAAGCCATTAGGTGGATTAGGTGTTCTGGATGTTGCTCTGCAACAATCAGCCCTATACTTTCGTTGGGTTCAACCGCTCCTCCATCCCTCTGACTCGCCCCACATCCTAGATCTCATGCTGGTCATGCTAGTGAATAAGCAAAATCAGAGTGCGCATGTGCAGGTTCCGTTGCTCTTTCCCCTCACACGAGCCACTGGTCTCACTAAACAACGCACCAACACGGTAACAATGATCTACAAATCAGTTGACCGCCTCAAACGCATCAATGAACCAGTTCACCTCAATATTGCTACCGTCTCAATCCTACCTGTCAAAGCCATTCTGCAGCCGTCTGCCACTGTCTCCAAAATGCCGATTAGGGCCACTCAGTTGCAAGTAAAGGATCTCTATCAACCCAATCCTGACCAACCTCTGCAACTAGAAGCACGAAAAGCACCAACCATCCCAGCTGACATTCGACGCGCTTGCAAGAAAATCCTGAAGCAAATCAACGAGAACAAAGTACATATCCAACCGTACTTTCACCTCATGCTACAACCCCCTCAGGATGGCACCAATCGCACAACTGACATCTCCTTTAAGCCGTTCATTGACTCCTATGACTTCAACAGCCAGCAAGGACTCACACGACAGATTTCAACCAGAACATTCCGCACAGCATGCATCGAGGCTCACACCTTCAGCATCGCCAGGTCCAACTGGAATTTCTTCTGGTCTCTGTCCCTGAACCTTGTCCACCGTAATGTCATCTATCGCTTCCTCACCCACACCATCCCGACCAAACGCCTGCTACACTACTTTGAGATAGCTGAGTCACCTCTCTGCCCGATCTGTGGTAACGAAGAAAATGTTGTACACTTGCTTTTCCTCTGTTCCAGTAAGGTATCCATCTGGAAAGCTATCATCTTTGAATTCCTGTGGCCAACCGTTTCGATTGGTGATGTTATCCAAGCCTGTTCCTCTCTTGACTTTGTAAACATCAAATATGTCTCCAAATCGTACACCACTGCTCACATGGTCGTGCTGGTAACACTTGGCAACATTTGGCGAGCTCAAGTTCGTATGATCTTTCATTCGACTCCATTTATATGGATCGATGTGGTCCAGCAGATCAAGAACGAGCTCCTTCAACTACATGCCCAAACTGAAATTCACAAGCAATTGTAAGTCTCTAATCACAATTGTCATCTATCATCTGTTCCTGTCATCTATCGCTTTATCATAAATACAATTGAATATCATATCAATTGCGCCCGCCTCTTGGTAGTGCCCTAGGGACCTACTTACACGGAGCAATCAATAAAAACAATTTAAAAAAAAATAAAAAAAAAAAAGTACCTCATGCTTTTTGGTCGATCTTTGTCTATATTTTTTGGTCCCCAAAAAGTTGAGCAAAGGTGTCAGCAAGTAACTGCCAGATGAGAGCAATCGTTTGGTACTATTCTGAGCACCTAAAACAATCTTTAACGCAAGAAAACGCGGCTTAAATGCACTCAGGGTTTGCTGTATCAGGGACACTAAGGAATAAAAAGGGGAAATACCAGTATGCTGCTTGTCCGTATACGAAGTAGCTATGTGTATATGGATGTAGAACATCACATAAGAATCAGATCCGCAAATAATATGAAGTGTTTTCATGTGTAAGTAGAAGGTCAACATGAAAGTAGTAGTATTTTGATAAGATACGTAAGGGCAATCGGTAGCGCGAGCTGCCGCTGCGCAGGTTGGCTCTCACCAAATCGTAAACATTCGTATCTAATAAAAAAAACAAGCGTTTGAGCACTAGTATTGGTACAATTGCCAATTCAATCAGGTTCCTTTTCTATTAAAACTAGATTTTGCACCCATGTGTTTGCTCCACAAAGTAAAATATCAAACAATAGATGATTCTTGATTAGTGCAATTACAAGCCTGATTAGCAACGCACTCAATTCTTGTTTGAACAGCAAGGCTATAGGATACACTTATTGTTTGAGATAGCATCAGTGAAAGCATTGCTATTTTCGTACATTATCACGAATAATTGGGCTGGCTTTGCTCCCGCTAATGATAAAAGAGATATACATAGGAGATGATCCAGAATTTAGGGCCAGTAAGCAGCCTCATTTTGTTTGGAAACACCAATCTATTCTGCTTGCATGATGAAACCTCTGGATATTAGATTTGATAGGCGCATTATCGTCCAATCTCTTCTCTAGTCATGCGTCTGCATGTCAGAGAGCAATAAGAAATGATAAAATTCGCATTAAATTGGCATACATTATGGAACAACACGAGAAAACAGTGCCTATTTGAATGCAATTACAGCGCAGCATGATGCAAAAGCAGGTTCAATGGTAAGCATCAAGCGCAACACCTGGAATACGGATGGTTTCAATCATTTCCACATCAGGATGTTTGTGTTCTAGCAACTCCGATGTGCCACAGTCGATGCAAGTCTATTGTTTTCTGCTCTTGCAAAGAGTTTTTTTTTTCGCTATTCTTTTGCATCCAATATCAGATATGAGCCCTATTGGTGTAAGTGATTCATCCATCCGTCCATCCATCCAAGCATCCTCGCTGTCCTTTCACGCATCCATATTAACTGCCTGTTTATAGACTATTAAGACTTATCCTAGCAATCCTCGTGTTGCCAAGGCCCAAATCGCTGCTGCCTACAATGGTTTAGAATTCAACGTTGAGACTTTTGACCTCCAAAAGGACAGAACTCCTGAATTCTTGGCCAAGTTCCCTATGGGTAAGGTCCCCGTCTTTGAATCCGATAAAGTCAACCTCGCTGAATCTTCTGCTATCGGCTACTATGCTGCCGCTCTCAAGGAGGATTCTCCTCTTTTGGGCAAGAACGCTGTTGATCAAGCTTTGATCTTCCAATGGGTTCTTTTCTCCGAGACCGAGATTGCTGCCAACACCTCTGCATGGTTGTCCCCTCTCCGTGGTTTCTCTCCCTACTTGAAGCCCAATGTTGATGCCGCTGCCAACAACCTCAAGCGTGCTTTGGGCGCCTTGAACAAGGTCTTGCTGACCAAGACTTACCTCGTTGGACACCAAATTACATATGCTGATATTGCCGTTGTCACTTCTCTCATTCCTTCTTTCACTCTTGTTCTCGATAAGGCTGCTCGTGCTGAATTCAAGAACGTTACTCGTTATGTCACAACCGTTGCTGCTCAACCCAACTTCAAAAAGTTCCTTGGTGATGTTCAACTCTGCGAGACTCCTCTCAAGTACACTCCTCCCAAGAAGGAGAAGAAGCCTGCTGCTCCTGCCAAGGAAGCCCCCAAGAAGAAGGAAGCTGCTCCCAAGGCTGCTGAAGCTGATGCCGAAGAGCCCGCTAAGCCTGCTCCCAAGCCCAAGTCCAAATTGGATTTGTTGCCCCCCTCCAAGTTCATCATGGATGCCTGGAAGCGTGAATACTCCAACAACGACACCAAGGATGCTATCAAGTGGTTCTGGGATAACTTTGATCCTGAGGGTTATTCTATCTGGAAGGTTGATTACAAGTACAATGATGAGTTGACCTTGACTTTCATGTCCAACAACTTGATTGGTGGTTTCTATGCTCGTCTTGAGCGTGCTCACAAGTATGCTTTCGGTTCCATGATTGTTCGTGGCGAGAACAACAACAACACTATCTCTGGTTACTTTGTCATCCGTGGCCAAGAAGTTCCTTTCGAGATCTACGATGCTGCTGATTATGGATCTTACGATTTCCAAAAGATTGAGCCTGCTCAATACGAGGAGAAGAAGGAAGAGTTCTACAAGTACCTCGCTTGGGAATTCGATGATTGTGTCGATGGTAAGGTCTTCAAATAAATATTGTGCCTTGCCATATCATCTACCAAACCAGTGTTGTAACGAATCAATAAAACACATTTATACTATTATCTGTGTCCTTTTTTTTTTTTTTTTTTTTTTTTTTTTTTTTTTTTGCATGTGAATATTGGGTATCCCGGCCAAGGATGATTGCTCATAGTTGCAATTGTCTTGCCTGCCGAGAGGTAAAAACGAAATGTTTGGAACCTAGATTAAAACAACAAAGATCTCATATAGACTCGATGTTTTTTAGTGAATAGCATTCGAGACAGATACGTGATCTACATGTGTCCTATTTAAAGCCAGTGAGCTGGATTCTATGTACAATTCATGTTTCCCTTTTTTTTTTTCTCTTCTTTCATCCTACCCTTGTATTTTTTTTACTTGAAATAAACCATGGACAACAACAATGCCAATCTTCAGTTTTTACCATTGTTGGCGCCCGACCAGAATCAAGGTCGCATCATCCATGTCACCCATCAGATTCCCTACCAAGTGACCCATGACATCAAAGAGGACGAAAGACTGCATTGGACTTTTACGTCTCGGCAGGGGCATGCTGCCATGTATGCTGGTATGCAATCGCTGATTGACGAATGGGAGACAGTGTGCATTGGATGGACTGGAAATATGTATGAAAGGTCAATGAGCTCATCCAAAGACGTCAATCGGCTCGAAATCGATGAATCTACACTATCCGAAAAAGAGAAGCTTGCCATGACCACTCAGTTGCAGCAGGAACACAATTGTATCCCCTTGTTTTTAGACAGCGAGAGTATCGCTGGACACTACCACGGTTATTGCAAAACATGTATGTGTGTTGGATTCTGCTTGATATGTCATATACTGACTCCCCCAATGCGACTAGTATTGTGGCCCTTGTTCAACTATATTATTTGGAATGACGCTACGGATGGTCGCATCGAGAAAACGCAATGGAATTTCTACGAAGCAGTGAATCAGAAATACGCAGATCTGATTGTGGAACAATATCAGACGGGCGACACTATCTGGATCCACGATTACCATTTACTGCTGGTGCCAGATATGGTGCGCACCAAATTACCAAAAGCACGGATTGGATTGTTTGTGCATTCGCCATTTCCTAGTTCAGAAATCTTTCGATGTTTACCGAGTAAAGTAATACAAACATTGGCAGGGCCTCGCAATGTGTATACTGACTGGATCCACACATAGAGCGACAGGAGATCCTCAAAGGCATGTTGGGTGCCAACCTAGTTGGATTTCAAACGTATGCGAATGCAAGACATTTCATCTCAACCTCCACCCGAGTTTTAGGATACGAGAGTTCCCCTGACGGTGTGGAGAATGACGGCCATTTCTGTCATGTGGGCACATTTCCCATCGGAATTGATGTGGATGCTGTGGACTCGATACGTAAAAGCTCAGATGTGGTACCCAAGATCAAGGCCATTACTGAAATGTACTCGGATAAGAAGATCCTTGTCGGAAGAGACAAGATTGATCTGGTACAAGGTGTATTACAGAAACTGGCTGCATTTGAAAAGTTTCTCTTGGATTATCCAGAGTGGCAGAACAAGGTGGTGTTGATCCAAGTGACTGATGCCAACTCAACAGACAGCCTCAAGAATGAGAACAAGGTGTCAGAGATGGTAGCTCATATCAATGGCAACATTGGCAGTTTGGAATGGAGTCCAGTGTATCACTATCACCATCAAATCCAGACAGATGAATACTATGCGTTACTGTCAACGGCAGATGCAGCACTGATCACAGCAGTAAGAGATGGCATGAACACAACCTGTTCAGAGTATGTCATGTGTCAGCAAGAAAAGCACGGATCATTGATAGTGTCCGAATTGACGGGTACTGCAGGCTCCATGGGCTCTGCATTACTGGTCAATCCATGGGATTACGCGGGTGTTGCCAAAGCAATCAATGATGCATTGCTCATGTCCGAAGAAGAGAAGTTGGCGAGACACATGGTGAGTGAATTTCTGCAGTGTGGTCAATGTTTGCTAATCCGCGATGGAATAGCAATTGCTGGCTCATGTCAAGTCAAACACAACCTCTTTCTGGGCACACTCATTTGTCAGAATGCTACTCCACACATGTCTCCTATCAGAACAAAGCAAAAATACGCCCAAATTGAAGCTAGAATACCTTCGTGATCAGTATCGCCACTCGAAAAAGAGGCTGATTTGCTTTGACTACGATGCAAGTATATCAGTCATGCGTAAATACAATACACACGCACACTAACCCATCGTTTCATTAGGGCACATTGACTCCCATCAAAAAGACACCCATGGCTGCAGTTCCTCCTAAAGATATGCTCCAATACCTGGCTGCCTTGTGTCAAGACCCACGCAACGAAGTGTGGATTATCTCTGGCAGAGATGAAAATGCACTCAACACCTGGCTGGGCCACATTAGCCATCTCGGCATGAGTGCAGAACATGGCTCCTTCATGCGCTATCCCAACAGTAAAAAATGGGTCAACTTGACGGAGCACTTGGATATGAGTTGGAAGAATGATGTGCTGGAGATCTTTACCTATTATACCGAGCGCACCACTGGCAGTTTTATAGAGCATAAACGATGCGCACTCACATGGCATTATCGACTGGCCGATCCAGAATACGGTGCTTTCCAAGCCAAAGAGTGTCAAAACCATTTAGAACAAGCCATTTTAAGTAAATTGCCTGTGGAAGTTTTGGTTGGCAAGAAGAATCTCGAAGTGCGACCTACGTCTGTTAACAAGGGTGAAATTTTGAAAAAATTGCTTGCATCTTCCAATACCCCCTTCGACTTTGTCATGTGCTGTGGAGATGATCGTACAGACGAAGACATGTTCAAAACCCTCAAAAAAACTGATCTGTACGAGCATCAAAAGTTTGCCGTATTGGTGGGCAATGAGGATCAAAAGACGCAAGCAAATTGGCTGCTGCCCAATGTACAACAGGTCATTGAGAGCATCCGCATCATGGCTGAGAGCACATAGATTGTTGTAGCAATAAAAAAAAAAAATTCCAGTTACGAGAAACCTGTTTATGTTGGTGTTACTATATTACTCCTTGAATTCCATAGATCAAATAGTATAGAGTATGTGTATCGTTTTAGCATGAGTTAATTACGGTTTCTTCACTTGCTTCAACTTCCAGAATAGCCCGTTTGACGAAATTTCTTGACACTGTACATATCAATAAGTAATAACTGCTGCATTTATTCATTTCTATACTTCAAGGATGCACTTGACATCATACACCATCTTGCTGATTCTTTCTACGTGGTTGCTCGTGTTGCGCTGCGTGGAATCAAGCTTATTTTCCTACTCTGAAACATCCATTACGCAAGGCAAGCAGCTCTTCATAGCGCACGATACAATTGACTAACCATGCCTTCAACAGATATTATCTGGGTGTACTCCAATTCATCCACGTTAGCTCACACAGACAATAATTTCACTCCTGTATTCTACAATACCAACATCGTATCAGCCTCTAATCTGACACAGCCGAACGAGGTGGGCCTCAAGGGCGTTTTATACAACCAAGATAATACCAATTGCGGCAGTGAACCACTGCAAGACCCTTCGTTACCAAGTGCGCTACCTCGAATCGCACTCGTCAATCAAAGAAACGACAATCATTGCAATGCCACTCTCATTGACAGCATTATAAAGGCGCAAGCACAAGGCGCTATTGGAGCAGTGGTATATGGGCCTGACGTTTTTCAAAATAATACAAACCAACCTCCCATGGTAAAGTGTTTTCATACCTTATATAGTCTCTCCTGAAAGCAGCGTTATATACAAGAGACTACTTGATTGTTCATGGAACCTCAGGAGAGGCTTACAAAAGGGGGAAAGACGCCATTATAATACAGAATTTAACCTTGATCTGCATGCTTTTTTTTTAGGTGCCTTCTGGAACCAATATAACCATTACGGTCTACTTTGTTGGAGAACATGTGGGAGATGAGCTATTTCATAAGATTGTGCTATACAAAAACGTCCCCCCTTCTTCTCTGGGAACAGTGCTTAGCGTTAAACCTTATGTGCGCTTGTTGTTGTTACCACCCAGTGCAGGTGGGATCAACGCCTGGGAGATCACTCTACTCATTGTGTCGATATTGCTAGTAACAAGCTTCTTGGCGTCAGGTAAGATACACACAATTGCAGAATGCCCAATAGCCTTACTTGGTATCATAGTTATCATGCATTGGCACATTTGGCGAAAGAGAAAGCGACAGCAATATCTGATAGAGCAAGGCTTGATACCTATTCCCGTTGAAATGCTACCCATGGGCAAGCACATCTTTGAGGAAGCTCAATTAGAGGCAACCTTTCCCAAGCAAACAATGACGGACAATGATAGCAGCAATCGAGCATCCAGTGAAGACCAGCCTGTATGTGTCATTTGCTTGGATAACATTCAAATAGGCGCTCTGATTCGACGTCTTCCCTGTGAGCATGAATACCATTGCAAGTGCATAGGTTTGTAGATTTCACACATGTCATTTCAAGCGCACCTTATTGATGAATGCATTGTAGATCCATGGCTAACCACCAAATGCGCTGAATGCCCTCTTTGCAAATACGACTGCAGCCAGATACCCAAACAAAGCACAACAAATGATCAGGCACCACAAGAGTCTACTTCTACATCAACTGCTGCTCCTGAACAAACGAGAGGATGGAGACGATTCCTATTTTTTATTAAATGATTACATGCTTAATACCTAGTGTATTTTCGAAAGATGCTGAAATTTTATCCTTGTTTAAATTCTTTCCAATCAACACAATTTTGCTGGTTGTATCGTCTTGGTTGATATCGTCGCCTGCAAATCCCTCTTGAATGTCATATAAATCCTGAACGCCTTGAATCACCATTCTCTTTCTCTGACTCGTTCCGTCTACTAGCTTATCCTTGGGAGGGTATAAGATGCCTTTTAGTCTGAGAACAGTAACTGGATCTTGATCTTGATCTTCAGTAGTGCCTGAGATCTTCTTTTCCCATAATAACTCTTGGATCCAATTTTCCAGGTGTTCAATGGTATCGAGTTGTTGGCCAAATTGAATACACACTGTTTGAATGTCCTGTTTGGGTAAGAGTTAGTCTTTGTAATTGCGCTTAATTTGAAAGAGCCTTCTTACATGGCTGATTTGATGAGCATGATGGCTGCCGTGTTCTTGGATCTTTTCTGTTTGGTGAACAAGAGCATCCGCATTGTTGACATCGTATGCGTTGATGTCGAGGACATAGTCCAAAGGAATTCTACAACTTCAATCAGTAAAATGCTGGCTGGTAGATGCTGATTACATACTGGGATCTCTCGGTCACAATCATATCAGCTACGGTGTTGATGTCTAACAAATCTTCTTTCAAAGACTCCAGTTCCCCTTCCTTTAGTAAATCCTTCTTGTTGATGACAATTCGATCAGCAATGGCCACTTGCCTAGCACACATCATGAGTATGAGACCGCTTCCCAACTCGCCGTGAAAACTTACTTGAGAGCCTCATTAATCATGACATCCTCCTTCTTTTCATTCATATAGTCTCTAATATTCTTTGCGTCTACCAAGGTAACAATACCGTCCAAGTAAATTTCACTTCCTAGACCATCATCTAGCCAAAACATGGATGCAATGGGTCCAGGATCAGCTAAACCACTGGTTTCCAGCAAAATGTAGTCAAACTTTCCCTTTTTTTCCATCAGATTTTCAATTGCCTTGACACCAACATCCCTGGGAAAAAAAAAAAGTACTCGTTTAGCATTGATTCGATCAAAACATGTCATGTAGTGTACTTTGTGGAACAACATAAGCAGCCATTACGAAGCTCCAACCACTCTTCGTACAGATTGCCGTCTTGGTTTACGGACAGACTCTTTTCAATATCACTGCCTAATGTCATAAATGAGTACACTCTTCTCGCTATAGGTGCTGCCATGCTGCTCACTCTCTCCAAACTCGTTCAAAATCACTGCAATCTTCTTGTCGTGTTTCTCTGTCAAGATGTAGTTAAGCAGTGTGGTTTTTCCACTGCCCAAGAAGCCTGTATCATTGAAATGAGTCGCTTAATATGTGCATTCCATACGTTGGATTTTTACCTGTAACAATAGTAACAGGGATTTTTTTGTGGGGCTCCTCTTCACCTGTGGAAGTGGATTGTTCACTGTGGGCATTGGTTCATTAGACGTGCATATCTTGTCAAGAATCCAATACGTTACGTTGGAGTAGCTGCTGGTACAAGCTCTGGAATCTCGTCAAAATCGTCAGACATAGTGTAATTGCAAGAGAGAAAGAAGTGCACTAGGAAATGCACTGCCATGCTAAACTATTTAAATGCTAGTAGCTTGTCAGTCTCCGGACCGGATGAGCTATCCCTTGTTACACTCTACATTTACTGTTGGCTGCGCTACACGGTTCACATGATAGCATTGATTTGTATATGCAAATCTGACTGGTTTAATGGGTGTTCATATAAATCATCATCATTATAATATCATTTAGTTGTCTTTTCTCTTCTGTTTTTATTTCTTTACACATTATGATCAAACTTCTCATATTGCCACTGTTGCTTTTCATTCATGTAGTGGTAGCCTACAAAACCATCATCGATGTGTTATCAGAAGACGAAAAGTTCTCAACACTCTTGAATCATATTCAGCACTTTGAATTGGTCAAATTTGTCAACAGCCTTGAATCCGGAACTCTGTTTGCTCCAGACAACGAAGCATTTAGCAAATGTCAGTTTGAACTCGATCGCTCAGCTTTGTTATATCATTTGTTAAAGAGGGGTTTACTGATGGACGATACCTATCATGGACAACTAAAAGAGACGCTGTACATCAGACCAGGTTATCTGGGACCAGACAGCAAAGCAGGTCAGCGCATCAAGATAACAAAAGATGGCAAAAAGACTTTTGTAAACCAAGCCAAGATCATTGAAAAGGATGTTCAAGTCAACAACCAAACCTATATCCAAGTCATTGATCGAGTCTTGGAGCCACCTATGTCCTTGGGTATGTTGGCAGGAAAAAAAAAAAAAGCTCCTTTATGTAATCATACCTTGGTTTAACACATGAACGAAAATATAGGGGATGCCATCATCGACAGAAACAAGGCCGTTTTCGACCTCATGAACTCCACCGACATGATTGATTTGCTAAAGGAAAACAAGCCATTTACAGTCATCTTGTCGAAGCGAGAGGATCCCTTGGAAAAGTTCAATGGCATTGAAAGCTCATATCTGAGATCAACTTATGGAAAGGAGGATTTATCTCTGTATTTCAAGTATGCCATCATTGACAAGCCAATTTATATCGACGAATTCAATTCAGGAAAGACCACATGTAAGCTATTATTGTCAAGCAATGACACACAGCGGCTGATGTGCCCATTATCATAGACAAATCGTTATCGGGAGATTCCTTGGTCATTGCAGCTGACAAGGACAAGAAATCCATCACGGTCAACGATATTCCTCTTGCACAAACCGACGTCATTGCTGCGAACGGAGTGATCCATGAGATGGACGACACATTCAAGTTTGATGGCATTGATTTCACTACCAGAAAGTACATGTACGGCGCAAATGGCACGCACATGGCGGAATTGTTTGATAAATACGACGTGGGCCACTATATTGACCAAAAGGAACGCAGCTACACCTTCTTGATCCCTCCTCCTGACAAATTGAATCAATCGCTTGTATCAAAATCTTGGCTTAGTTACCACGTAGTTCAGGGTTCTTGGCCCCAAGAAAATTTGCTGAATAATATGCTGCTCCAGTCTGAATTCAAGTCAAATGACCTCGCCAACAACTACCAGCGATTACCTGTCTATGTCGAAACAGAAAACGTAGTATCTACTAGCAGTCAGTCTGTTCAGTTTGACAAAGCCAGAGTGATAGGAGAGAACAGTGAGTATTGAGACCCATGAGTGTAATAAACTACTCACCGTGTCTTGTCCTTCCCTACAGTCCATATCCATGACGATGTGATCTATCAGATATCCGAGCCCCTTATTCTACCAGGAGACATTCTTGGAAAGCTTGTCGCTGATCTTGACTTATCGACGTTTATCGCAACACTCTACGTCTCTGAAGTAGTCGATGAAATCAAGAATACCCAAGGACTGACGTTGTTTGTGCCCACGAATGAGGCATTTCAGAATCTTGGTCTCGTTGCAAAATACCTCGTTCACTCATCTGCGAAATCGGAATTGCAGGCTGTTTTGAGATATCACGCTGCCAAATCATTATTGTATTACGACGATATGACATCTAAAGTGCATGAAGTAGCCACATTGGCTAACTCCACCCTACGCATCAGTCAGGACGAATCGGGCTCTGTGATGATCGGCAGACCTGAAGGCTCAAGTGGAAACACCGCTACTATCACACACGCCAATATGTTGGTCTCCAATGGTGTGGTTCATAAAATCTCCCAGGTGCAAATACCAAATCAAGTAAAGATCTCTAACCAGCACTTGCTGGTAGGCATTGAGGCAAGCATTATGATTCAAATATTGAAAAAGGCAAATCTATTGGACAAGATCAACCAAGATAACATGGTCGTATTGGCACCTTCTGACAAGGCATTTGCTCACATCGATTTGGACGCTCTGTTCGCTGATCAGTGTCAGTTGGAGAGACTCGCCAAGTTACACGTTGTGCCTACCGCTTGGCAGGAGAGATGGATCACGACGTTGGATAGCAACAAAAACCGACACGATAAGAGCGAATACCCAACATTGCTGTCAGATGATGATAAAGTAGCCATCAGAGAAAACGAAAAGGGAGAGTTGTCTGTCGAGGTCAAGAACGGCGGTGAGAGTGACAGGGCTCATGTCATTGGTCTGGGGCGTGTCTCTGCTGGTGGAGGTGTCATTGCCATTGACACGGTGCTGCTGCCCATCCGAAGAGGCCTCTTTGGCCTTCCTATTGTGTGGTCTATTGTTGTCACATTGACCATCATTATTATTACAGGTGGCATTCTTAGCATCATTGGTTTCTTTGGCTACAAGGTCTACAACCGAAGAAGATTGGGCTACAGACCCATCTTTGATTAAATGTACATACTGCACACATATATCCCTTATTATTATAGTCATTTTTATTCAAATAAAGCCTTTCTTTCTATCCCTCATCATCAGATGTAATGAAGCCGCCTGTTTAATCCTCATCCTCATCATCATCTTTGTCGTCTTTGTCGTCTTTGTCGTCTTTGTCGTCTTTATCGTCTTTGTCGTCTTTGTCGTCTTTGTCGTCTTTGTCGTCTTTATCGTCTTTGTCATCTTTGTCATCTTTGTCATCTTTGTCATCTTTGTCATCTTTGTCGTCTTTGTCGTCTTTGTCATCATCATCATCCTTGTCATCTTTGTCATCCTTATCATCCTTATCATCGTCATCATCCTTGTCATCTTCAGCATTGGCTCTATCAGTCAGCATCTTCACTGCATCTTGGTTGTAGATGCGAGAAACCATAAAGACTTCATTGGTAGAATCACTACTGACAAACAAGCGACCGTACTTGTCAACAGTCAAGCCAAAGGGAGAGATACAGTCCTCCTCATCACAAGGTTCAGCTTCTTCCAAGATCACCTCAGGTTCTTTATCCCAGCGAGGCTTATGTCCAAGATCATCAAAATGAAGACGCACCACATTGTGTCCAGCAGAGTTCCCAGTAGTACCATGATTGGCCAAGATTGGAGTATCAGTCCAATTACATGGAAGACCGACAGAAGAGCCTTGAGTGGTCAAATCACCCACAGAGCAGAACTCGCCCATGTAAAAGTGAACGGAGGTAGCAATGGAGTTAGGTGTAAGGGGCACAGACGGACGGATATTGTAGGACTCGACTTGACAGTAGTCATCCAAAGAAACAGAGTCGTTCATAAAGGCAGGATGAGCCCATTGAGCACCCAATCCTTTGGAAGAAGCGGAAACATCCTTGAGATCAAACTCTGTCATACAGTAAGGAAAGCCATAGTTGGCTCCAGGATTTTCATACAGGTTGAGTTCTTCAGCGAGTCCAGTGGCGGCAAGATCTGATCACAATGCATGAATACTACGATACTGCGCAACACACTGAGTACTTACCATGATCAGCACTGATATCAGAACGTCTGATCTCAGAGTGGGGAGCACTGTTGATGCCCCAAAGACGGGCTTGAGCATCGAAACCCATGGAACCATGCGTATTTGTACCGTAAGCCTGCACCTCGCCATGCGTATTGTAATCAAAACCGCTCTCGGGAATAAGTTTAAAGTTGAATTTTTTGATAATGGCTTGTGAGGGATCCACGTTATCGTTGATATCAGCGACGGAGCGAGGCACAAAGGCATAACCAAAGGGGTCGATAACCACATCAGGCATGGCGTCGTCGTTATCAGGATTGATGTTGGTTAAGATCTTAACACCGTTCCCGGTTGGAGAATGCTGGCCATCACTGTATGGGAATTTATACACGGAATTGGCGGTAGAGACAAACAAGTGGTGGTCAAAAAGAGCAATACCCTGAGCTGCGGGTTGATCCATTTGAGCGTTACTGACAATTAACTGCACGTTGGAGTTGCCACACTTGTCCATACGGATGGAATAGACACCGTTTTCAGGAGACACAACAAGCACATGGTTAGCTGGATCAATCATCATCTTGCGAGGATTGGTGATGGCATTTGTCAATACAAGCACTTCATAGCCTTCCATAACCTTGATAGAACGAGAGGGTTTGATTTCGACGTCTGGTTTACATAAGGGTTGATCTTCTGGATTAGAGATGATCAAGGGATGCTCTGCTGAAGCATCAGGCAAAAGTACATTGTCTGCACCAACACGTAATGCTCCTATCTTGAGTGCGTTGTTTGCAATTTTTTCTTCTTCAGTGGCTGCAATGTTCTCTTCTGATAAGACGCTTTCAGCATTCTTGGGCTTTTTAGCAAATGCCAATGATATACATAGTGTGGCTATCACCAGCAAGTACAAAAAGAGCCGACTCATTGTTTTATAATTTTCTGTGTGGTACAAGAAGGAATGAAAGAAACAAGCATGGTAGACATCAACAGTTTGCTTTATATATGAGTTGAAAGTGTAATTTCCGAATAACTCTTCGGAAATAATGTGACATATGTAGAAATTAAGCTTTTGTAGCTATTGCTTGAAGTTGTATGTGCTGGCTTGAGTGATCTCGATTTTTGCTGTAGTGGAGTATTAGGATATTCCCGGATTGCATTATTCGTTTGATCTGAGAGATAATTGACAGTGTCCAAATTAAAAGATGCAGTGGTGGCTCTTTTGCTGCCTATTGTATTCATTTCTGCGGGCATGGAGACCATTACAGCGACAAAGAATGCTAAGCGGCAAGTTTCTTTAAAAGACAAGTATCAGTGTCTATGATGACAAATTCAAGCGCTTTTTCTTACTTTATCTTCATACCTCTGTCAAATGTATATACAATGTTGTGCATGATAACTAACATGGTAGATTTGCCGATAAAAGTACCAAATCAACTATAATCAAGCTTCGAAGCTTGGTAATACGAAAAAGCGCTAAAGCGAACATGTTACTGCAGCTGCTGGCTCAAGAATTTGAGGGAATATTAGCTCCATTCTTAATTGAAAGGTAATATTGATATCCTCCTCTAAGCGCTTTCAGGTGCAAAAATGTGCATGGCACCAAAGCTTAATGCATGCTCTCTCTTTAAAGTATTCTAAAAATGATTAAAAATGACTATGATTACAAAAAAAACAACGCTTGGTTGTAGTCTATAGTATGAGCTCTATTTTGGTACTATTCACTATGCAATTCGCTTCTATTATCTTTCAATTTATTGATTCGCTTCATGGATTGAAGCATGAAATTTCTCAGAGCTACTTCTAAAAATGGTTTCAAGTGCCGACATTTTGTTTTCGGGTATAAACGATGAATCTGCCATCAATTTGCCAAAAAAAATCTTTCTATCAAGGATTGCATTCCAAATGCTATACAAAAGTGAAGTAGCACATTAATAGGTTTAAGTACTTCTTCTAATGCTCTATCGAATAGTACTAAGAGCTTCTATATCTCTCAGCAAAAAAAGGTTCTTAATCGGAAAAAACCAAAAATGCTTTTTTAGTCGAAAAGTCGAAATTGGTACTAAAGAATACCCAAATAAGCAATATTATATGCTCGATTGGACTTTTAGCTTTCGTTTTTACTAATACATGCCATGATAAAAATCTCGTTTTTGGGGTGAAAATCGCGATTGTTTGATGTTCAAGAAAATCCATGAGGTATCACTCATGAAAATGAAGAGGTTTTTGACCACTCAAAAAAAATTAAGATAAAGTATCAGGAAGTAAGCAGAAGTCGAGAGCAGCCATTTGGTACCACTCTGACAATCTAAAACGGTCTATGAATGGAAATATAGGCATCTCAATTTCATCAAGCTTTGCTCTGTTTTGGTCTATTTGCGGCTCTAGGGTGATGAATTTGACGTGATCCATAGATTAAGTATGCTGCATTCATTGGTCCAGATGGTTATGCGTTGTGTAATGCTGATTATGTGATCTATGGTTTGGTTTTGAGGTGCAGTATTAGGCTAAATAGCACTAAATGTCGCTGATAGAGCAGTATACCATCGCTCATGAAAGTAATTCTGGCTGCTCTGTGTCTGGTTTCAGAAAACCTATGATCATACATCTCTCAAATTGCCAAGTGTTATGATTTACATACAACAGGCCATTGAAACATGAGATGGAGGTTTATATAAAGTGTTCCTCCTGCTTCTCTTCAACAACCATAACTACCACTAAAACGTGCAAAGACCCATTTGGCAATCGGTTACTGTATTTGCACCGCATCAAGGGCTTGAATGTTACTGTAAGGGTCTAATCCATTTATTCAGATATCTAATAAATGGTCAGCAGTTATATGAAGCCTTTGCAAAGCTACAGTCTAACGACATGCACCAAAGAGAGGTCTATCAGATGGAATAAAGCACCAAAGTACAAGCATGACAGCGGACATGACAATACAAGCAGCAGGCATGATGAGAATGCCAAATTTGCCTGCAACTTGGCCAGTCAAGAAAGGGAATAGAGCAGCACCGCCAGCACCCAAACTGAATGTCATTTGTTAGCTTGTTATATTACAAAATTTCAAAACAGTCAACTTACGCAGCGACGAAGCCGATGGATGTTGCATGATAGCTTCTAGGAAGTGCTTTGGAGGCTAATGAAATGGTAGTAGGAAACATGGGACCCAATAATAAGCCCATGGCGATAAATGCTAATACATGTGTGTCAATGCATGAGGTACACACAAACTGATCGCGACAGTCTTACCGGTAGAATCAAGAACAACATTGGTGGATACCATCATGATCACCAAGCCAGCAATAATCATCATAGTGAATAATGCAATCATCAGCTTTTCACCAAATCTACTAGACAAGTAACCCAGCAAAATACGACCACTGGCCAAACCAGCCCAATAGCCAGAAACGACATTGGCCATGGCAATGCTATCACCATGTCTGCCTTCCTTCAACCAGGTATAACCCCAGCCACCTAGAGTGACCTCCACACCAACATACACTAAAATATAGGCTGCACTGACCATGGTCACCTTGTTGAAAATAGCCATTTTGGTCAATTCCTTGTGGTTCACCTTGACATTATCTTGCTGTTGGTCCTCGTCTGATTCATCGTGCACCTCTTCGAAATCCACTTTCCAGAAGCCAAAAGAGATCATGGCGATGTTGAGGGCAGCCACAGAGGTCAAGAAGATATACATGCCCTTCCAACTGATGTCATGCTTCAACAGGAAGGAGGCAACTAGCGGGGAAATCATTGCACCTACACCATACAAGGCTAGATGAAGCACTATCAGCAACTGCAGATTTTAGATGAAGATCCTCATATCTTACCATGCAATACATTCAACATTAAGGTTGCAAGGGGTACATTTGCAGTATAGACATTCATACCAGCATCCAGCACAGCCATACCAGCGCCTACAAATGGCATCGTGCAGGCCATGACTGGGAAGGGGAATCCCATCGACAAGACTATGAAGGAGACCAACATGAGCGACGAGCCAAAGAAGAGCGTGTTCAATTGACCAATCTTGTGCACAATGTAACCATTCAAACCAGCACTGATAAAGAAGCCCAATGCAGAGCACAGGAACAAGAGTGAGATGGTTTCGTTGGAGATGTCATAGTAGTCCTTGAGTCGAGGAATGATTGTGCCAATGCTGCCATCATTCAATCCTGCCACAATACTGATGAAAAACGCAGCTGCCAGTGGTTTCACATGCGGCTTTAAATCGTTTAAACTCTCTTGCTTTGTTGTTTGTTTATTTTGCAATAAAGGTTGATGTTCTTCATTTGAGAATGCTGGATTGGACGACGATGAATCTGCCATTTCCTTTGCTTGCTAGAAAGTGAATGAAAGCGTGAGCAAGACTGCAGACTTTTTATAAGCTATTTATACCTTTTAGACTGGACGAAGAAGAAGAGGAGTTAAAGAAACGAAGAAAAAGAGCGAACAAATGAAAAGTGAACAGATGCTTCATCCACAACCATCAAAAGGCCGCACATTTCATGGCAGCCACATATGCAAAGGGATAAAGTGGGTAAATATGAGGTGCAATCTACAGCCGAAGACGCGGATTTCTCATACCTTGATATCTTGAGACCCGATCATTTGTCCAGCACTACAAGATCTAAAAAATCTTAATGCTGTTTGTGGCCATCACAAGGTCTTTTATCCATATCGCACTGCATACATCAATGTTACATTTAGATTTGGGCATAATCAAGATATCAATAGTGTCTTTATACGTCATGTTGATACTCTGTAGCTGCTAAAAAATACACTAATTTGAACTCGATGTGGCAGTGTTCATAGGCGAGTCTTCTCTTGCTATGACCTTTTTCAAACAAAACTAGGCTTACATAAACCAAATAGGTCAAGTAACACAATCCAAGGGCAAACAAACCACTGCAAATTGCCCTTTTGTCCAAAAACTGGACTACAAATAGAAATATACCCCTGAACTGAGTTGATCTGTCAAGTGATGCTCATTACCATCTCTTTATCAACAAATACAGATGTGTAACAGTCATCAAAGCCAAGTAAAAGGGTTCTTCAGGGTGGTTGTCTAGACGATATCAGATAGCTTCGTTCTAAAACGACTCTTCATTCCATATAATCACACTCGTCTCATTCTCTTTATCCTTTACAATGATTTTTTTTTATTTAATTACAAACTTGGCCTATACATCAAAGAACTACAGAAAACAAGCAAGCACCTTAATACACGCTCTACGCAAACGACATTGCAACTTACCTCTGTGGTGTCCGCAGCAGCCTTCTTTTCCTTTGCTCTAGCAACTCTATCGGCCATAACAGGATCATCCATGAAATCATTTCTAGTAAGAGTTCTATTACAACCGGGAATGGGGCATGTAATCATATGAGACATTGACGGAAATAGTGAAAAGATGGCCGTTTTCGAGTATGTGTGTTTACATTTGGTGCTGGGTAGATAACATAAGCAACTGTCTACAAGCACCATATCATCCACTCACCTTGTAACGGGCTTATCAAGCCATGTCATTGAGACGGGACATTTGAGAGAGATCTTGGTAGGACCCATCACAACATCATCGTCGTCGTTACCCACTCCCAGACTAGGCATCTCTTCATCAGGATGGTTGATATTCTAGTGCCAAGGTGTCAATCACTAGAGCTGACCATAACATCCAATCCAGTGTCTTACCCAGAGATGTTGCTTGAACGACTGATATCTTGGATTTGCATTGATTCGAGTGGCATCATCTGGACTTTCTGCGTTTAAGGTTTGAGTCAAATTGTCATAGTAAGCGATGGGATCAGTCTAAACGTGTATCACTGAGTAGTCAGCAACAATGCTCATAACAGACGCAACAACCAAAGCTTACAATCTTCTCGCCTGCATTGATACGTTGTTTCAGGGTTTCAAATGCCTTCTTTTGCATGTTCAATTTATGCTCCAGAGTAACAAACTCTTTGAATGTCTCATCTAATGCGTCTACCTAGAGCAGGTAGAATGCGTCAGTTGTATATTTGTCGGATTGAAGTCTATCTACGCTTACCTTCTCCTTATTGTTGCTTTCTTCGTGGCCTTGAGCTGCCAAAGTAAGAGAATTTTGTGCGTTTTGAATGAGATAATAGATGTCGGTGATGTCGTTTGCTAAGGATGGCTTAAAGTTGTTTCTTCCGGTTAAAGCAAAGCCATCTCTAATTTCTTGTAGTGTTTGTCCTGCTTGCATTTTTTATATGTTTGATATCAAAGGTGTAAAAGCAGTTGATCAAATTGCTCTCTTTCTCGTTTCTCATCCACATGATCGCGCTTTGTTTTCAACGCCAAAACATCTGACTGTTTATACTTGCCGAATCAAGGCATGCTCAACAAAAATGGCAGTGATTTATGGATAAATCTCAAGATTCAAGACATATAACAGTAGCTTTCAAATGTGCAGCAAGCAAGAGAAATAGAATTTGCATCAAGCGTAAGAGCATTGAGTCAGAATTTGCCACAGAAATGTATGAGAAGCCTTTGCTTTTGCCTCAACATTGCTTGATTTACTCGATGATTGAGCCTGTGAATGGTATGCTGTAATTCCTTTCTTTTAAAGCGATAGGAATGCCATTCAAATGCAATTGATTCCGTTTAGCATGGTCTAGGGAGCCACTCTAATTTTAGCTACATGTAGAGGCCTTAATAGCACATCAAAGTTCTGTGCGTTTTATGGCTTCGCCTTCGTCAATGCTTGCATATTTAACCAATCATTCGAACATGGGCGAGTTCGTCCTTAAGCAGACGACATTATTAAAGTAGATGCTAGACATTGGCATACGCTGAATAGATACATATTACCTCTGTGTCCATCAAAGAAGCACGGGTACACAAATTAAATTCGCGGCGTGAGAGAGAAGAGAGATCTGATGGCATCACATTGAGCCTTTCATATCTAAAAGTCTTGTGTGCTTTGAAAAATTGTGCTGGCCATCATTAATGACTCGTGTAAGACTAAGAGCCTAATGACAGCAATGTGGCGGATACTTTATGAGCTTGCATCGAGCTTTGTTATGCTAGGCATTTGGCATAAATGAAATACAGCATTTGGCCTACATATGAGACTCATACACGAGCTCCGATAATGCTAAAACATGGCCCATCGTCTGATACACAAGCGGTTCCCGTGCTCTATTCGATGAGGCAAAAGGAGATTTTGTAAGGTAGAAATGTAAAAAATAAAAGGAGCACATGTAGCATCAAATGAACAGAAAGTGTTCAGCATATCATTGATGTATCCAAAGTGTATGAATACCTTGTTCTTCTTATTGTTAACGGTTGTTTTACTCAAGCTTAAAGTGCACTGGGCCGAAATTATTTAAAGTCCCAACTTTTGTGCCATTCTCCTCTCTCTCTCACTCACTCTCTCTCTCTCTTCTTCCCCATATTCCATCTGTTCTTTCTTTACTTATTTTCCTCTTTCTCTCTCTCTTTCATTCTGCTTTAACGGCCTTCCTAGATAGAGACATTAGATAAACATGCCCTTACGGCTAATATCCAACTTTGTAACTTCATTTTTGAAGAGAAACAATCAGAATAACGACAATGAAGCACCCAAGGAAGTCTTAGCAACATCTGGCTCACAGAAATCCAGCAGTTTAACGTCCATTTCATTCAGTCCAACGATTACAATTCAAGGTCTGTGGAGCAAGAAAGATGATCAAAGCGATGTTACAACAATCAAATCTACAGCAGAGACAGAGAAATGGATTGCACACCAGGAACAACTTGAATTTTGGAAACAGCAGCCTTCTATATTTGACCCTTATCCCTCATTTGGTATCCAAGACTACGAATTAATAGAGACGCTTGGTAGGTACACACACATGAAATTGAATTTGGAGCACATCTAAAAAAAGAAATTTACAGGTACAGGCACCTTTGGCAGAGTGTGGTTGACAAAGCAGAAAAAGACCAAGAAGTACTATGCCATCAAAGTACTGAAGAAAGCAGACATTGTCAAATTAAAGCAGGTGGAGCACATCAATTCTGAACGACTGGTGTTATCAGAAATCAACTTTCCATTCATTGTTCAATTGTAAGGTCTTTCGGATTGGCATGTGATTATGAACAAACTGACCAATTCTGCATCCAGGTATTGTACATTTCAAGATTGCGAGAATCTGTTCATGTTGCAGGAATACGTTATTGGAGGAGAGCTGTTTAGGCATTTGCGGAAGTCTGGCCGATTCTCCAACGACACAGCTCGATTCTATGCTGCTGAAATTGTACTTGCATTAGAGTACTTGCACTCAAAAGACATCATTTACCGTGATTTGAAGCCTGAAAATATATTGCTGGATCATAGAGGATACATAAAGATCACAGATTTTGGATTTGCGAAAAAGGTGGTTGATAGAACATGGACACTGTGTGGTACCCCTGAATACCTGGCTCCCGAGATCATTCAGAGCAAAGGACACAGTAAATCAGTGGATTGGTGGTCTCTGGGTATTCTGATATTTGAAATGATGGCAGGCTATCCGCCGTTTTACGACGACAACCATTTTGGCATCTACGAGCATATTTTAGGCGGAAAAGTGCAATATCCCAGCTATTTCGAGAATGCGGCCAAAGACTTGCTGAAAAGGCTCCTCGTCATTGATCGTACAAAAAGACTGGGAAATCTAAAGGGTGGTGCAGAAGATGTAAAGAAACACAAATGGTTTCGTGGTACAGATTGGCATGGACTATTGACCAAGACAGTGCGAGTAAGTGATTCTCATAACGGGCCATTCTGTGTGACTAAAAACAACCATCTTTCCACGCAGGCGCCTTTAATACCAGCTCATGCCAATGATTATGATACCAGCAATTTTGAAAAATATCCAGATGAGATCTATCGCGAACAACCCAAAGATGACCCTTTTCGTGAACTGTTCTCTGACTTTTGAATGTGTATTGTGGCACCAACATCTTTTAGGCTTTATAATTCCCTTGCACCACCTAGAAATAATTTTCCTTCTTTCCTTCTTCTATTTCTCTTGTATATATTCTTCACGCAATTTATCTTTATATACGTCTCTATATAATCATAATACATAATCACAATGCCTCCTCATTTTCCGGTGGAGGATACATCGTATGAAACAAAACAATGGGCTTCTGCAACAATTGATTCGCTGTTTTCAGATAATGTGCCTGTATCATTTGAGCCATGTCGACCTTCTCTCAGTCTAATTCAGCCAGATATCCCCGCCACTGTAAGAAAGAAGAGCATTAAGGGGCTTCAATCGAAGAACCCTGCGCGTAGATCAGTTTCTGTGCTCGAGTCAAGCTTGTTTCATCGAAATGATAGAGTGAGAGTGCTGCAATCAGACAGTGCATCATTGTGCTATTCAGACTCTGCGCCATCACTCTTAATTACACCTCAGCAGCAGCAGCAGCAGCAGCAGCAGCAGCAGCAGTCTAGGTCATTGTCTTTTCGATTCAAGCGACCTTCAACACCGCCCGGAAAGAAGCAAATGCTATCTTTGAAAGAAAGAGAAGGGATCGATATATGGAGAAATACCCTGCATCTGTACCTATCTGATTCGAAAATGGTTAGTACAAAATGTAATGAAGAAAATATTACGATATATTCACACTGGAAAAAAAAACACTGCAATACTCTAGTCTCCTCATGGTCAATCGCCTCATTTACTCCACTTTATACTGAACGAACTGATAACTACCGAGACGACGTATTTAGAGCATTTGTCTATTATAAAGCAGGTTTGTAGTATAGATTTAATAACTTTTCCCTGATTTAACTGGTAAGTTTTTATCTCAGATGTTTATGGATCCCTTGGTGCTGGCTGCTACAACATATCCTCGTCCATTAGTCAATATCAGGGACATTTCAACCATTTTCGCCTTCATCCCCGAACTGATCCAACTATCTTCTATATTGGTCAATCGTTTAAACGAAGCCATTTGTACTACCGAAAATGGAGAAACACAAGGTTGTTTAGGCAAGGTCTTTTGCGACCTAGAGGATCAGTTTGACGTCTACATTAGTTACGCTGCTAATTTCTCGAGACAGCAGCGATGCATTGTCAAGGCTGATCGAAGCATTGTTTATAGACAGTTGGTTCAGGTATGTTGAATTAAAAATTTTTACAACGTTTTCCTTTGTCCAACGTACTGCATTAGGACTCGTTGCGCAAAAAGGAAACACATCGGATGGGATTGTCAGACTATATGATTGCTCCCATTCAAAGAATCACTCGGTATGGTCTTTTGCTCAAAGGTGAGTTTGAGAGCGTTGCATCGATCAGCCCGGGTACTTACGTTTTTTTATACATATAGATCTCACAAAGCATTCGGATCCAAACAGCCCAGATTTCCCATTCCTACAGAGATCCCTCAAATGTCATTTAGCATTAGCTTATGCAATGAACGAAATTCAATAACTTGTATTATAGTCATCATTCATACCCTCCACTATTTCACTTTTCCTCTTTACCTCATTCAATATCGTAATTTAGCATTTCCAAGCAGTAATCAGATCATATCAATCTGAGTTACTACATCTCCAACAACCATTAAACTCTTTGTCTCTCTTTCCCCTAGTCACATGAAATGTTCTTGGTTTTTTTTTGTGGTCAACAAGGGTTCTCAACCACTTTTCTTTTCTTGCATAGCACTCTACAACAATGAGTATAATTCGAGCCATCAGTTGCTCATCAAAACGGTTATTGTCAACATGTACTAGGCCAATCAAAGTACTCGGCATTGAAACTTCGTGCGATGATACATCAGCTGCGATTGTTACTTCAGATAGAAAGATTCTAGCAGAAGTCGTTCGAGGACAGCAAGAATTGCATGAACCAATGGGTGGTATTGTACCTACTTTAGCGAGCAAGGGACATTCTCGCAATTTACCAGGAGTCATTTGCGAAACATTGGACCGTGCTGGATTATCGGTGCAAGATTTGGATGCAATTGCAGTTACCAGAGGTCCTGGATTACCACCTTGTTTGCCCGTAGGACTAAATGCTGCAAAGACATTAGCTGCCGTATCCAGAAAGCCTTTGATCGGTGTCCATCACATGGTATGAAACATACTTGGAAATGTCTCAATTCATGCTAACATGACATGCATTGATAGGAGGCACATGCATTGACAGCAAGATTGACTACCGATAATGACCTGAATCAGCCTGCACCAGCATTTCCATTCATGACGTTACTTATATCAGGTGGTCATACACTGTTATTGACTTGCAACAACATTGGCAATTATAATCAATTAGGAACGACATTGGATAACGCGGTAGGAGAGGCAATTGACAAGACAGCAAGGTTGCTTGATCTGGAATGGATCAAGGGCAGAAGAGGAGGACCCGGTGCTGCACTTGAAAGAGCTGCCTTACAGGGTGATCCAGAACGATTCTTATCTCGCTTACCGACACCAATGCTTCAGAGGAACAAATCAGTGATTGGGTTCAGTTTTTCTGGTTTAAAGACGGCAGTAGCTAGATTGATTGAAATGGATAAATTGGTCGATTTGAAGAAACCTCAAGATGTCTCAGACATGGCCGCTGCTTTTCAGATAGCTTGTATACGCCATTTGGAGCAAAAGATCACTCTTGCTTTGGAGCGAGAAGTGGTTGAATTAAAGAAGCCTCTGACAGCACTAGTAGTAAGCGGAGGTGTGGCAAGTAATACCCTTTTTAGAAGCAGGTAAGCCTTCCAAGAAAGGTCATTTAACCTTTTGGTAACACATTGAATACAGATTAGAAGCTTTAGCACATGCTTACGACTTGCCATTAATATGTCCTCCTCCGCAACTGTGTACTGACAATGGTGTCATGATTGCTTGGGCAGGACTCGAGAGATTGCAAGCTGGCCTTATCGATGATTATACCATTACAACATTACCGAAGTGGCCATTAGAAGAACTCAAGATCCGAAATGAATAAATTTTGTTATTTATCTAATCAAACGAAATTCGTTACACCATGAGACAATAATATACTCCAATAAAACGTTCATGTTTAGATGACATGCATAAATTGTCTAGGAAACATTTACAAGCTAATTCTAGAAAAGCCAGGAGAAAGACGTGCCATATACAACCGAAATCGTAGAATGTCATGATTTTGTCTTGATTTGCAGAATAATAAACATTTCTCCAACATAAATGTAACAAGCATCGAAATATGCTTATTTCCTAAAATGTACTACCTCCAAGGCTTGGGCTTTTCGATGTCTTGATACTATATTGTTGTCAGAGGTAAATGCAATCTCCCGATGATTCGCTTTGGTGTAACAAAATATCATCTGTAGCACAAGAAAAGTCTATTTAATTTACTTACTGATTACCTGCATGACACTAGGCATTTATGTCTTCAGATCATCTCTGATCGCCATATTTGCGGTAGTAGTTATTCTAGAGCAATGAGTTTGTTGCCGATAAGAATTGAGCCACTCGAACAATAGCGTTCAATAGATTCCATGCATAATAATAGGCCTTTGCTCAAAACTGTCCTATTTCGAAAATCATCCATTTCTAAACAGTAACCCACCATACAATCTAAAGTTCGGTTACACTATCGTTTTCTTCACAAGATTTTGCTACAGGATTATGCTGTTTTCAGAGCCACTCTAGCGTCAATCTTTCAAAGCTTGATTTTGCATCATGATCCAGACCTTGAAATGGGAAATACTTTTATCCAAATCTGATACGCGGTAAAAAATAGCAATTCATGAAATTAAAACGTACATGTGGAATACATCCACTATGATCTGCATTCCGACAGTTCATCCAGTTACCAGATTTAGATATAAACTGTATGTACACTGGATTAGATGTACGATATCGATTTATACTATGATCATGAGAAGATATGGACTTCAGATACGCTAGTACTATAAGATTCATACTATATAAGATATAGGCTATAGATGGCACCACGGACATGGATGGCACTATAGACTTATACTTGTATTCCGACATTGACTACGGATGTTTACCATATCTGGATAGGCACCAAGATTAATGCAATATGAGCTTGTTGCTTCAGATGTGCACTTCATGATCCACGCTATAAGACACATGCTTATATCCGTGATACTAGCTACAGATACTTTATGTACTACAGACTTGTACTATATATGAGACATGCTATAGACATGCATACGATATGCTATAGACATGCCATATATCCAGATACATGCTAAAGATGTATGCTTAGCGATATACACTCAGATATGTACTATTAATATAGACTAAGAAGACTGTACCTATCGGATACATGCTACTAAATCGATATTAATTATCCTTATGGAAAGGATAGATCAGGGTACTTCGGATGAGAGTCTAATTATTCATCCAGACAGAGCTAAATCATGATTAGCTTGCTGGAGTTGTCTTTTAGCATGATTAGACATTAGTTGATCTGAGTTGACTTATTTGTCAATCTAATTAATAGAACTTTTATCCATTGTTATAGTATATAAGAAGGATCATCTACCTGGCCAGTAGAGAGACTTCAGTTTACTTTACACCTGTCAGTTTGATAATAAAATATACCTTTATCAAGTTGACTTTACTGTTTTTTTATTCTTTTTTTTCCGTGAATTTTAGTCTATCAAGCCTCAAATTCCACAGTACATGTTGCGAATCAATCATTATAAACGAGGCATGCTTGGCGAGGCATATTGCATTGGGAGTGCGGTAAAAAGGGGGGTTAAAAAAGCAGGTAGAATACTGTTAAAATCCTTCTTTATTCGAAATTAGGATAATGTGCAATAAAATGTGTATTCTACGTCTCTATTTATATTATTTGGTTTATATCTCTTATCTGGCAGCAGTTTAGTAGTTGCCAGTGATTCCATTACTTTATATATTTTTGTTGGATCAAGAACGGTATTTCAATATATGGTTTTTGAATCATGCGTAAAGAATAGCTCTATTGTTGAGCCTGTATCCTTTTTAGGTATATTTATGTTACAACACATTACAATACCCTTGACATTTACTTTAGTATCTGTCATCTCTTATTTTAGAGCATTTAACGCTTGCTATCATCATGCTAATACTATTATTATGCATGCCTATCTGCTGATAGTAGCATGGTTTGATTGAGATGACATTTATTTTGGGCTTTGTTTATGATGGGAATCTAGTCTAGTTCACTTCAGGGAGGACCTGGTACCTAACGTACTGCTATACCTATATGACTATTATCCTAACGTAATAGTGAATCTATCAAAGAATATTCATCATAGTAAACTGTGTAATAGATGTCAGATCAAGTAATTGCATTTAATCTTATTTTTATAAATAAAGAAGGCCTTAAACTTTATCCGTTTGGATACCCTTTCATTACAAATACAAAATAATAATAAATGACAGATCAATAACAGATCAACAACTAGTTGTAAGCCTCGATGTTTCAATCTCTGGACCAATCATATCGCTTGAAAACTCCGCTGACCTAAAAAAAATTTGCGAGGGTTTCCCCCTGTTTTGATGTGAGGCAAAATTTTAAGCTCCGCTATATATAGCAATATAGCCGTTACTATCATCAAACTTCCCTCAGGTGCTAGAGCATGCCTTACTTACATCACCTAGCTTTAGATTCTGGCGTTGAGACTCTCAATCATCACTAAAGTAAGTAGCGATAACCAAGTGGAGGCAGCCTATCTACCTCCTAGCCTCGGATAAAGTCTTGTTGAGCTTCAGGGATAGGCACATCCACACAACGTAAAAAAGGTATGCTTCAAAAGAAACATAATAATAATAAAAGAATGAAGAATTGAAAAGAACATACTACTATTAGAGTACAGTAATATGTAAACAAATAAAAAAAGAGACATTCACACGAAGCGAGTCAAAGAAAAGCATAACAAACACAACGTCAAAGATGTTAAAAAAAAAGCTCGTTGCTGTTGCAAGAAAAATGCATACATGAGCAACGAGCATGGTAGTAATAGTCGGTTGTAAAGCAACATGACACAAATACGCACAACTGCAAAAGCAACAGTGGTATTATAAGTTTGCAAGACAGCATAATGACTAACGTTGTTTCATGTGAAGCCACAGAGGAAACACCACCAACAAAAGAAAAAGAAGAAAGCGCAACAAGGCAAACATCATGAATGCATTATCACGAGAAAGGAAGTAATAATATAAGCGTCCAAAGAAGTTTTATATCTTTGCGACCAAAAGAAAGAAGATACTTACTACTCACCACAGCTGCAAATAGACCAGAAGATAATACGCAATCACCGGAGACAGACCACAGAACGAGCATGCACCAAAGACAGTAGACCAGAAAAGACCAAACTAGCAGCAGCAATACCAGAAGCAATACCAGAAGCAATACCAGAAACAACAACAGAAGCAGCACCAGAAGCAACAACAGAAGCAGCAGCAGCAGCAGCGTAGAAAACTCGAAGAACGAGTAACACCAGAGACCAGACAAAGACTAACGTAGCAACTGCCAGAGATGGAGACCAAAGAAGCAGCTACCAGACATAATAAACCATCGAAGCAAACAGCAGAGATAGCAAAGAAGTAATGGCAGCGGCACCCACGTCAAACAGACAAAGAAAAATTATCGAAACCTAATAAACAAATTCGGTTAGTGCTTGTTCTACGTCTTTCTGTGCTCGTTATCGAATGGTACTTACTATATTTCACTTCAAAAAAGCAACACCAAGTCCTTCTAACAGTACAAGACAGTGCTATCAGAAGATAGAGCGTTATTTTCATTCAAACGGTTTCCAAAACTACCATTGTTTGATACTAAACGCGTTTTGCAAAAAGGATAAAAAACGAGGGTATGGAAAAATGAGATGGCGCCTTACCCGACGTCACGATCAGTAAATTTAGCCTCAGTCTTCTGCCTTGGCAGACTCAGTAACTACTGCACTTTAATTTGAAATTGTGCAGTAAGAATTTTCGCCTTCAAACTTGACTTGATTTGACATCCTTTGAACGTTTTTGCCAAATTTAACTATGAAAACTGTCGTTGTCATAACCAACTTCCTAATACATTCTTGGAAACCTGAAAAAGCCACATCAAATGGTGCTAATTCTATTTAGTTTTTAGACCGAATATAATGAGAAAATTTCAAAAATATGAAAACAGATTTTCTGTGAATATGTCAAAATCTAGCATATACAAGTCTCTTGGAAACAGTTTCTAGTGTTGCGTTGCATCTTTACGATCTATTTGATTCGATATGTGTCATAAAAAAAGTCGTCATTTTTGGGATGAAAAACGCGATTGTTTGATTTTCAAGAATTTTCCCTTGCTAATACTCATGAGAAAATGATGATCTTCATGGATTTGCAATGGATTAAAAAAAATTGAGATAAGGCATCAGTAAGTAAGGCATATTAAGAGAGAGCCATTTGGTGCTTTTCCAGGCGCTCAAAACGTTTTGTGGCAAGAGTTATTCGTGTTTAGAATAACGAAATATAGACAGAGTAAATACAATTAGAACTGAATATATTCATTATGTTATTCCAAAATTGAATCGGGATCAAAACTAGTGTAGATATCAAAGGTATTTATAGTTATTTGACAGTGCCGCAGCAATAGGACCTTGATCTTGAATGCGGGATAATTGTATAAGCCTTGAACCAGTAACGAGGATGTGTTGCATCAGAACTCATGAACCACCAGTCAAGGATAAACAACAAAGATGATCCAGGATAGAATGTTCTTCCTAATAGCTTTGACGGAAGAACATTTGTCGGAATTGAAACCCACTTCCAGGGACGAAAGGCCATAGGCTACCACTCTCTAGGAACCAGGATATAAATTAGCCATTTGATGGCACTACTCATGTTCCTTTGTGCTGCTTGAATAAAGACCTCTCACTTCTACTACGCATCTCTGCTCATTCTCAGATCCACTTATGCAATATACAGCGCCTAATACATTTGCCTCTCAGAGATGATCTATATCCTAAACAATTCGTACTTCAAAATGGCTAAGTTTGAACAGAATTTGGCCTGAAAAAAACAAGGTGTTGCAGTAAAACTAGGTATAGGGGATTCCACAGAGTAAATAATGCAATAGAAAAGACAACAGAAATTAACTGTGCTTTATTTGTGTGTAAAATTAACTGAAGATTATTCTGGAATAATTGAGTAAAAAATGAAGAGTATTTATACATCTGCAACTAGTAGCTTGTGGAATTAGTAGTGTTGATAGAGAGCAATAGGTCCTACCATTGCGATATCTGGCAAATGTCGTTGATGTTTGATTTGAAGTGGTAATCAATGCAAGAGCACTGGCCATAAGGGTCGATTTGAGTAACCTTGATGGGCCCGGATGACCTATCGTTATTAGCATGGTTTCATGTAATCTTGACAGTTTAAGGTGTGATGTTTGTTATTGAAGTTTAGAACCCTTTATCTGGAACAATATTGTACAAATATGACAACAGGGCATGATGTGTGCACTGGATTAGATGTACGATACGGATTTAAACTATAAGAAGATGTGAACTTCAGGTTCGCCAGTACTATAAGATTCATGCTGTTTAAGATATAGTGATATATTCCACACCATAATCCATCATATTACACCTGATCCAGCACATCAACATCTCATCGGTTTCTACATACACTGCAAAGCACACATCAAACCATAGTCTACACGCACAACAGGACACATCAAATAGTCAACTAGTAGGATGACTATTACTGAAACAACACCACTCACTGCAATGACAAGAACGGACTACAACTACACCTATCTCTAGATTGTCTACACATATCATTTACGACAATCTACTGGATCATCACGCTTGACTTGACTTTACACCTCAGGATCTGACATTATTCATAAAGATATAAAAAGGACCATGCATTTCATTTAATAAAGGGTCATCTTGATTTTGCACACAGTGAAAAGCTGATACTTTATTGTAGATTTCATTTGTGTGATTTTAGCTATTCAACACCTTGTTGAATACATCATATAGGCTATAAATGCCACCGAGGGCATGAATGGCGTTATAGCCTTATACTTGTATTCCGAAACTGACTATGGATGTGTATCATATTTGAAAAAGCACCAAGGTCGATGCAATATGAACTTGCTGCTTCAGGTGTGCACTTCATGATTGATACTATAAGACACATGTGTTGTGCCAGAAGGGCTACAACTGTCTATAAAGATTAGGGTATTCTTGTTGATGGGTAGATATGTCTGTGTTGTGCAACTACATGGGCAAGCTATGATAATTGAAGTGCATCTCAGCTATCTAAATACTGAGGTTCACCAGATGTGATAAGCGCTGTACAAGATAAATTGCTACTTTGGCATTCAGAACTTAGTATAAATAGAATAACTCTTGTCTTCATCAATAAATCTTTAGTTTTTTATATCTGATCTTATTATTCAAATAAGTCTTTTCTTGTTTTTATAATATCGAACATTTTTTATAAGCTACAAATAATAATCCTGTTATTCTTTGTGCTTAACACTATTGATAACTTGAAACCAGCAAGTTAATATGGTCCTTTTTGTACGCTCCAATTTTTAAAATGCTCAGTCAAATTCATACTCATGTGGTGTACAAATGCGAAAGGCCAACGGAGGTTCAATTTCTATTGTTCTGAATAATGATCCATGGGATTATTCCGAAATCTATCGACCTTAAAGTTACGCGTTTCTTGATAGTAACCATTCCTTCAAACTTATACAAAACTTGAAGAGAACCCAAAGGAGAATACATTGGTATCCATATCAAGTCTCTGGTGTACATTGTTCACCTGATATTGAATGAGATAAATTTTGCAATTTTTTGACTGTTTTCAAAAGATTAATCAGTATCTGTCATCAAAACATTATGTTAAGCATTACTAAGCATTGTAGACTAAAGAATTTCCTATCGAATGAGCCTTTGCTTGAAGTTCTGGAATAAATCTATCATGCAATATTAACAATATTGTGCTGACCAAAAAAGCCAACTAGTTTTTTTCTTGCTATCACAGGCAGATTTTGCATGATACCCTTTTTTGGCCATATTTCGACAAATACTTACTGGACTCACACAAGACAAAAACAATTTGATAGCTTTACATTAGATCTAACATTTTATGAGAGCTTTAGGTATCAGATATATGTCCCTTATGAATGCAGAGCTATGATGTTTCATGATGATTTATAATGTAGCAGCACATATCGTGGAACCAACTACAACTCATTTTTGTTTATTGTAAAAAGGATAATCGGTGTAGCCATTAGCTTCATTAGTATAAAAAGTGTCTCTATCATAAGGGTTCAAGTCCCAACCATTGCGGAGACGTTCAGGTAAATCAGGATTAGCGATAAAGGCACGACCGTAAGCAATTAAATCACCAGTCTTTTCGGCAATCTCCTCAGCAAATTTTTGAGCATTAGATAAACCACCTGCTGTAATGAAAGGCCCTTTAAAGAGTTTACGATAGGGTTCAAGAGTGTCTGTTAAATCTGCCTGATTGTCAGCAAAAATATTGGAGCGAGATTCAGTCATGTGCAAGTAAGCCAAAGTAGGATACTTCTTTTGTAACTCTGAGGTCAAGTAACCCCAAGTTTTTTCAACATTATCGTCACTCATTCCATTAAACTCGCCTCCAGGAGAAAGACGAATAGCAGTGCGTTCTGCCCCAATTGCCTGGGCAACGGCATCCACAACTTCCTATGGCATCACGTTAGTCTATAATATTCAACAGGAATACTGCCCATATGTCACTTACCAAAGCAAATCGAGCTCTGTTCTCAGACGATCCACCATAAACATCGGTGCGTTGGTTGCTTGATGAACTGAGAAACTGATCAATCAGGTAGCCATTTGCACCATGGAGCTCTACTCCATCAAAACCAGCTTCAATAGCGTTTCTGGCAGCTTGAGTGTAATCATTGATAACAGCCTTGATTTCATCCAAGGTGAGAGCACGGGGTACTTCAGACTCATTACCTGCAAAGTCTTTCCCAGAAAAAGGAATGGCAGAAGGGCCTACTACTTGTTCTTGATTAGGATTGCGATTCTTTGATCCAAGTCTACCAATGTGCCACAACTGTGTGAAGATGACACCGCCTTTAGCATGAACAGCAGATGTCACCTTCTTCCATGCCTCAATTTGTTGCTGATTGTAAATGCCTGGAACTCGAGGATATGCGCCTGCAAGACGGGAGATGGCAGTGCCTTCAGTGATCAAGAGACCGCCATCAGAAGCACGCTGTTCGTAGTATTCAACCAAAAGATCAGTAGGGATGTGGTCAAGAGTGGCGCGGAAACGAGTCAATGGAGCGAGAACAACACGGTGCTTGAGTGTGTTGGTACCGACTTTGATAGGGGAGAATAATGCTTGAGAAGTCATTTAGGAATGAAGAGTTTGATTGATATCGTATTTGATGGAGCTTGAGAGTAAGCAGCTAGTATTTATACGATTTTGATCTTGCCAAAACGTGATCAGGCAGAATCTTATGAAACTGGCTTAATTTGAATGTTTATTAATCAAGTTGAATAACGTATGATCTGCGCCGAAAGAGGCTTCACTGAAAATCCCACCAAGCATGACAACCATTAGACAGAAGCGGCATATAGACGTATCAAGTGTATACTCTAGAACGAGCATACGCCCATCATCATTGATTTACAATCTACTGTGTTTTGCAACTACCAACGTTGGTAAACAACATTTGGTATCTACATAATAGCCAATGATCAGGGACGGATCAGTTTTCCAGAATTTTTCCGTTTGCATAAGCTGCTCGTATCACAATCTGCAGTAGGACTTGCCTTTGCTTACCAATTCAACTTGTAAGCACAGTCATTGTATACAGAACCACATACACAGCAAACTGCTACGTATTGGCTGCTGACAAACGCACGCCATATTGTTTGAAGTAGACATACAGCCTATGTCACTTGACCAACCTGAGCAGAATAGATAAGCTCTCAGATCAGCGGCTGATTATACGAAATGCCGAATTATTATTACTGGTAAATCTACCGTTTTAATGGACCTCTCACTTTGGAAATAAGATATAAAAAAAAGTATATGGAATTCATAATGAGCGATATCCGAGGCGCACTCATGATATTCACAAGAGTATTAACAATATTTGCGATTGTTACACACCACACTTCCAACAGATACTCAAGGTATTCTACCCTAGATCAAATCATTCACCAAGAACAGCACATTCTGCCCACGAAATGCCCTTTTATGAAAATTAAATTATTGCTCAATTAGACAGGCATGAGACGTATAAATTACTTGATGTGCAAGGTAATGTCTCAACGTGCGTTGTTCATGCCAAATCCCTATTAATATACACTAATGTTCACAATCCAACATCTCGCTCTTATGAGAACCCTTCATAAGCAGATTTTAGCTGTGGGTCTAGCTTTTCCTATGATGCTTTACATCGAAACAATTCATATATAGGTAGAAAGCATATATGTATCATCTCTTACTACCCAACAAAATGCAAAACACAGTGAGATCTGGGTGAATTGGAGCCGTGTTTTCTCGTGCTAGAGGCCGTTTCAGACATCCAAAATAGCACCAAGTAGTTTCTTTCATTGAGCAGTTACTTATGAACACGTTTGCTCGACTTTTTTTTAGATCGCCAAAAATCGCCTCCAAACCACGATGTACCCTTCATGGATTTCATCAAAAAGCAAACGATCGCGTTTTTGACCTTGATAATGAAGACTTTTACCATGGTATATATTAAATCAAAATAATTTTATCGATCTAACGTAACCCCTAAAATCATCTTTGTGGAACCTTGGTATGGAAAAGTTCGACTTTTTGGCAAGAAACCTCTTTTCATATTTTCATAGATTGCTCAATAAGTTTTTTCAAAACATTAATCGAATCTAACAAAATAGATGAATCAAGTCGAAATAAATCTAATTTTGACCAATCTGGAGTATTTATAGAACGGAAATTCAATCGATTTTGGCGGCTGTGGTTGGTGGCAAGATCAATGTCTCTCTTATTTAGAAGGTAATCAATGCTGTTGAATGCTCGTAAGAAAGGGGTTACGAATTGAAAAATGCCATAGATAAATCTGCTTTATTTTCCTTGGCGCATATTCATACATGAATATCCAATTGTTGCAAATTGCTCATTGAAATGCGAATTCAAAAGCGAGATGTCAAAATATCACCTTTTAAAGTGCGATGGCCATTGCTATTTACCAAACTCCTTAGCAATGAATGAAATACAGGGTGGAGCAATTTTGCTCACTGACCAGTAGTGAAGTTAGACAGGTAGCACTCTTATGCTAATACATTGTTGATTCAGAGCACTGGCCTCACTTTTACAGGTAAACGATTGCGCTAGCAGATCACATTCTTCTCTGAATGTAGCTCTTTTCCGCTGTATTACAGGGAAAAGTACTTGTGAATCAAACAACCAAAGATCTAGTCAGATGCAGGAACAGGTAGAGATTGTACCGCGTAAATGCTAGAAGCAAACTGCATGTAATTGACGCTACATTGCTCTGACGCCATTTTAAACGGTGATTAATGCTAATTTTGTGCAACGCTTATCAGGTTACTCCAAAAAGATTGCATTTTCTTATCGTCAATTTGGTTTGAACAAGTAGAGGTTTTTCTCCAAGATAGAAGGCTCTTTCAGCTGGCAGGTGCACGCAAATTCTAGCGATGATAAAATCATATTTATGTAAATGCGCCCATGTTTGGGTTGAGAGGGAAATGTCTTTTGATCGTATCGTACATGTCAATCAGGAGCACCCAAGCCGCAGCAGACCCAATGTGCTGAACAATTTACATGTTTTTTAAAAAAAAAAAGTGGCACTACATTGCAAATGCTGCAATACAGATGGATCATGCAATACCAGTGTATATCATCCCACATCATCTTCCAATGCCTGAAGGTCTCACTCATCTGTTCTTTTTTTTGCGTAGCGTGTTATCAAAGAGACGACTACAAACGGACACAGATCACATGGACGATAGAACTGATGACTTTTTTCCTGAGCGCGAGCCATCCCCTCCTTTGTATTACTGAAAGTAGAACAAAAAGGCTGGAGTTGGAGCATAGTACCATAACCAAGAAGATGACGTCGGGAACAGGCATTGGATGGTATGTATCTTTGTTGGTTGGTTCAAGCAAAAAGGGGATGTATCACACTCAGCGGTTATCGAATTGGAAATATTTGGATGGAAAATGCGCTTGCTGCTCATGATACTTGTGATGATAATTCATCCCCGGGTTCGTCCTTTGTGATTTCGCCATAAAACCATCTTTTTTTGGCCTTTTCTCTTTTTTTCTTTTTCTTTTTTATACTCGGAACATATATATGAATAGGCCTTTACATAATACCGAGCAAAGGGGAAACAAAGTACCCAACTATGCTCAAGCTGCCGCAAAATCACAGCAACCACAACAGCAACAACCAGCACCACAGCAACAGCAACCAACGCGAGGCCATCAACCGCAGCAGCAATCGGCACAGCATGAGATGGAGCAACCGCCTTTTGCTAAGAACGCTGGATCTACATACAAGAAATCCACAGGTGGTCATTCACAGTCGTCCTATCATGGACACAAAAACTCGTAAGTGAATAACAATGCAAAAAAAAAACAAAAACAAAAAAAACAGCCATATCAAACATGCTTGCTGAGGTGTTGTTATATAGGTACAATAACAACAACAGCAACAACAGAAAGGACAATACATACGTCAATAGAAAGGCTTCTGTACAATTGCCAATGCCACCACCTACAGATACTGGTAAGTTATTTCGGGTTGTGTGTCTCATGTTCATGAGCTAATGGATACTGTGATGATGTTGTTTATCAGCTCCTATTCAATTTGGATCTATTAACCAACCTTCGTCGTCGTCGCCAAATCCATCATTACCACCCACAGCAACGGCATCGGCACAGCAACAGATACCTGTGGTAAGAGCACCATCAGACGCTCAATTTGGTGGCTCACCAGCTGCAAATGATGTGCATGTAAGTAGAGGGGCTTGATTGTAGTAAGAGAGCGAGAGAGTGTGAGCATGTGAGTCTCATTCAGTGTGATATTTCATAGCATCGTCCTCCCCCTCCCACATCGAATCAGATAAGGCAATCACCTCAACAACAACAACAACAACAACAACAATTAAAAGAGATACCCAGATCACCTCGTACCACCAATGATGGACGATTATTCACTCAACCTTACGCGCCTCGTCGAGATTTCAATCAAGGGGATCACTACAACAGTAATAATCGCTATAATAATAACAATAACAACTATAATAACAACAGCTACAGAAATAATGGTTATGCCAGACCTCCACCACCTCAGCATTCCCCAAACCAGCCCTACCACCATCATCCTCACCCAGTACAGTACTCTCCCCAACAGATGCCACACCAACAAAACCTGCCTCCTTCGCCCATGAGTCACCGAGCTTCACCGAATATGAACACTTACACCAACACAAAGAAAAACAACACAAATATATCTCCTCATATTCCTCATTCATCCCCTCAGCAAAATATCCAAATGACTGCCGCAAGTTGGTCTCCTGCTGGTCAATATGTAAGGTTGCTTTTTTTTGGCAGTGTTTCTAGGGTTACTGATTATATTACCACTAGTTTTATCCCCAATATCCCGTCTCTGTTCCCTCCTACAACGTACCTACGACAGCCACCCGCCCGCCCATCGTCCCACCTCCTACGACTCGCAAAAGAATCGCCATCATTGATCCCAACACGGGCGTAGCCCTTAACACGAGCCCCATGAGCCTGACTTCATCGTCTACATCACTCTCCCATCATCATCCTTCACCCCACAAGGAGGAAAAGCATTTGGATTTCGTGAAACCACCTCATACATCGAAAGCTGTCTCTATCGTAGATCCAGCTATTCGTGATCGTGAATTGCGCGAAAAACGAGAACGTGAGGAAGCTGAACAGGAGGCGCTGAAAAAGGCAGAGGAGGAGAAGAAGGAAGCCGAACGAAAAGCAGCTGAGGAAAAGGAACGTCTGGAAAAGGAGCGTTTGGAAGCAGAGCGGTTAGAGGCTGAGCGGTTAGAGGCTGAGCGGTTAGAGGCTGAGCGAATCAAAGAAGAAGAGCGAAAGAAGGAAGCGGATCGTTTGGAGGCAGAACGCTTAGAAGAAGAGCGACAAAAGGAGGCAGAACGAGTTCGTTTGGCAGAAGAAGCATCCGCCATCGCAGCTGCTGCACTGGAAAAGAAGAAACAAGAGGAGGAATCACGTCGTAAAGCTGAAGAGGAAAAGGAATCCAAGCGAGTGATCAGCGAGTTGGAAGCGGAAAAGAAGAGACAGGGAGAAGCGCCTGCTCAAAAGGCAGGCCGTGTGCCATCCAAGCTGGAGATGCCTGCCAATCCCTTGACACAATCTCCTACAGCTTCCCCCATCCACAGCGATCCTAAAAAGCAACAGCAGTCTATCAAGATGATTGATGATTTCAGTGCTGTTCATTATCCTGCTGGCATCAAGCCTCCTGGAGCGCAAGACAGCAAAAAGCATGTGTACAGCATTGATTTCTTGCTTCAGTTCCAGCAATTATGCCTCGACACCAATGAAGATTTATCCGCCATCAACTTTAAGGAAATGGACACTCATTCTCGCTCTGGATCCATGCGCCAGCCTTCAGATCGTGGTGGCGGAGGAAGAGGAGTCCCCCGTACACCAGGCGCATCTAATCTGACAGGCGACAACATGTTTAGAATGAATTCCCGTGATGGCCGTATGGAAATGGGCAAGTTCAACATGGGCCGACCATTGACCGGTCGCAACAACAGCTCGCACATGGAGCGACAAGGATCCCATGGTGGCAGCCGTGGCGGTGGATCTATGCGTGGTGGCAGAGGAGGCAGCAGCGGTATGAAGGTGATTCGTAACCCAGCCATCTTGAATCAGCAGCAAGGAGCGCCTACTATCCCCATGGAACAAGTTGCACCACTGGAAAAGACTGAAAACAGATGGGTTCCTACTGTCGGTTCACAATTAGCACAGCCTCCAGCTGAAGGCGAGCTGATGTCACAGGAATACATTACACGTAAGGTCAATGCTCTGCTCAACAAGCTCACTGTGGAAAAGTTCGACTCCATCTCTACACAAATCTTTGAATACGCTCGTCAATCAGCAAAGGAAAACGACGGCAGATCGCTTCGTACTGTGATGAAGCTGACGTTTGAAAAGGCTTGTGATGAACCTGCATTTGCCAGTATGTGGGCCCGCTTGTGTCGATCCATGTATGACGCCATGACAGACGATATCAAGGACACCAGCATCTTGGATGAGAACAACAAGCCATCTTCCGGCATCCTGTTGTTTAGAAAGTACCTGTTCAACCGCTGTCAAGTCGAATTTGAAAAGGGTTGGAAAGTCAATATGCCTGAAATGGACGAAGTCGATGGTATGATGACTGAAGAGTACTATGCTGCAGCCAAGGCCAAGCGTCAAGGTTTGGGCTTGATTCAGTTTATTGGTGAATTGTTTAAATTGGAAATGCTTTCAGAGCGTATCATGTATGGATGTATGATCAAACTCTGCAACGATCCTACCAACGCAGGCGACGAAGAAGCTGAATCACTCTGCAAACTGATTACTACCATTGGTAAAGCACTGGACAGCAAGCCTAAAACAGCCAAATGGGTGGATATTGTCATTCAGCGCATGAAGAACGAAATGGTGCTCAGTCCCAAATTGACATCTCGTGTCAAATTCATGATCCAGGATTTGGTTGATTTGCGCAAGGATAAATGGGTACCTCGTATTGGAGGTAATCAAGTTGGACCTACTACCATCGCCAAGATCCATGAAATGGCAGAAAAGGCAAAGGAGGAAAAGGAAGCAGCCGCTGCTGCCATGAAGCGTAACAACAGCTCTCGCGGACAATTTATACCCAACAATAACCAATACAATAACAACAGCATGGCTCGTGGTAATTCTTATCGTGGTAGCAATAGTGGAAAGGACTATTTCAACAGCAATAACAACAACAACAGTGGCGGTGGTGGTGGCGGTGATGGTTGGAATACGGTGGCCACTGGTGCCAACAACAAGAGTCGCCCCGCAGAGCTCTCCAACTTTGGCAAAACTGACAGAAGCAGATCACGAACCAACATTCTGGGCCCTTCCAACAGTCCTTTCCCTAGCTTAAGTCGTGGTAAATCAGCTACCAACATGGATACAAAGAACATGGACGGTAGATCCAGTCCTGCTACCAACATGTTTAGTGCTTTACTAAACGGTAGTAGCGAAAAGCCTGAAGAACGCAAGAAGCTCAATTTGGCACCAAGATCCTCATCTACCACAGCAGAGGCATCTTCTTTTGAAAAAGCACCCAAGTTATCCGATGAAGCCATCAAACGTAAATGCAAGAATATCATTGAGGAATATTTGGGTATCCGTGATAAGAAGGTAAAAGTGGATAGAGTAGAAGCAAAGAAAGGGGGCTGCCAAACTGACAAATGCATGCTTGCTTACATAGGAACTTGTTGAATGCGTCAAAGAACTCGACGATCCCGATTATCTTGTAGTGTTTATTGGTGAAATGCTGACGGTAGTAGAAAAGAAGGCACAAGATGTGGACGACATGTGCAAAACCATTGATTATCTCAACAGCGAAAAGCTACTGCAAAAAGATTTATATATCAAAGCATTCAAGCAATTTATGGAAGGATACGATGATTTAACCATCGATGTCCCTCAAGCACCCAAATACGTGGCTCAACTCATGGCTGCTTCCTCTGTTTCACCAGATGAAGTGGGTGGAGATGAGTACGCTTCTTTACAAAAGGCTTACAAGACTTTGGTGGAGTGAAACTAGGCTTTTTTTTCCCTTATGACATTGTAAAAATAATGGTGATCCATTTCTGTATAGAGAGTTTTCTTTTCTTTTTTTATATAATTACGCACACAAAAAAAAAAAGCATAAAATAAATATCACAAATGTAATATTATGAAGAAACACATAAAATTTATTAGCATCATTTTATCAAGCAGATTTCTTTGCAAGCTATTCCAGAAAATCAGTAAACATGAGCAGATTGCATGAATGATCATTACTTACACGAGCACGGAGAGCTGCCATACGATCCTTGACACTGCCAGTAGGCTTGGGCTTTGGCTTTTCACGCTCAACTTCAGCCTCCTTGGCCTTTTCATGAGCTTCCAGTAGTTTACGGACCTAATTTCAGCTTGGGTCAGCCTCTCCATAGCATTGCATATATATTCTGCCATGCTACTTACACCTGTGGGTAACGGTGCCTTCTTTAGCCATTCCTCTTTATCAATCACCAAGTTCAATCGAGGCAAAGTCATTTCGGGAATAGTGGCATCAGGCTATAAAATTGTGTATCAGCATCGAATACGACATCCAAGCTACTGTATACACCTCTTTACCTCTGGATGGTCCTTGAAATACTGTGTGATAGCACTCTTCAGAATATCAGCTCTCTTTTGCAAATCTTTACCCGCCAAAGGCATACTCCAGTCTTTGGTAAATTGGATCAAAAATGCTTCTGTCACTTTACCACCGTAATTTCTCAGCTCTTTAGCTTCCAAAGTGTATAATTGAGGTGTAATGTACATGATTTGACAGATGTGTGAGAGTGAAATGGTGCGTCCCGTTGACATTCTCAAGGTAGATTCAATTTGATGGTATAATGTGGGTCGGTTGCGTGCAGCACGGTCGGTTATAACGATATCAAGCGATTTTCGAAGCTTTTCGAGTGTCGATGTCTCATATTCAATTCTTTGCTTATCGGTTTCTGTGAGATATTCTTTATGTGGTGCAGTGTAGGCTTGTTGCGATGGTCGAGGTGGTGTCATGGGCTCGATGCATGAAGAAGGAGGTGAAAGTGTGTCTTGCGCGGATAAAGCATCCTCTTCTGGGATATGTAGGGTGGGTGTATTTTTAGTGGTTAATGTAAAATCATCTTCTACAGAGAACTGCTCTCGTGGGTCCTCATTGCCATGTTCAATGTCTTTATCTAATAAAGGGGCTTCCTCTGTTGTTTCATTCACCTCAACATCTTTTGCACTGATAACAGCAAATGCTTCCTCTGTTGTCGTTGTGATGGTCTCTGTCTTTTCGGCTGTATCCTCCTCCTTTGCAATCTCTGCTTCTTTGGATACAGTTACTGTTTTCTCAACGACATCGTTTGGAACGTTGGTGGTATCAACAGTCGTGTTTTCTGTATATACTTGTTTGTCCTCCTCGTCATGATGTTGCTTTTGTTTCTTGATGGTGGGTTGGCTGACGACGGTCTGTGATTTGCGCTTGGTATGGTGTTCATTCGTAGTAGTTGTTGGTTTTTCAATGCACTTCAGGTTCAATACAGTCTGTTTCAAGTCTTTGGAGGCGAGACGAGAGGATTTTCTAACAACAGCAACAGGTTTCTATAAAGATGAACGTTGAGTGTAACTAAACAAGCGAGTTTCTAGCAAGCGAATCCAAATTACCTCCACTTTCTGTGGTTTAGAGACAACCTACAAGTACATTAGCATTTCCAATTGCTTTTTTTTTTGTGTGTAGCTATCCTAGTAAATTACATGTTCAACTGGCCTGAAAGCCTTGGTCAATTGCTTGTGGACGATATTTTTGGTTTTAAGAGTTTCAGCATGATTAATTCTACTTTTCTAAAGATACCAACGAGGATTAGATGTGTTTGTAAAGTACTTGAGTTCAAATAACATACTCTAGCATGAAACTCAATACGAGATTGTCCTTTCATGATGCTTATTCAACGCGCGTGCAAATGCAATATGAAAAAAGATGAAAGAGAGGGGCAATCAATGACATGAAAAATTATCCACTTAACGTGACTCTATCAGGGAGGGTGGGCAACACTGCACATCACTGGATGGATCATTTGGATAAGCGATCGAAATTGTTATAATGCATCAAAATGTTCAAGTGTTTATTAGAGTCAGGGTGTGATATGCAATGCTAAAATATATAAAAGAGCAGCTATCGTGATTTTGCTTTTCTTTTGGCCATCTTGGTCTCAGTGATCCTGGCCTTCATAGTATCCATGTAGGCTTCGTATTCTATAGGGTGCTCAAATGCCCAGTCCTCTCTCATCTTTTTGGCTCGTAGAGTGTAGGTTTCTTTGATATTGGGGTCTAAATTCTTCCAACGTATACCGATGATCGACGAAGCACTTCCCATTGCATTCTCGCCTTTGAGATTGTACTCTTTTTGGACGAGAGGAAACTGCTCTTTCTTGTATAATACATAGCCGTTGCCAGATGGTGGTGATGTTCGTTTGGGGCCCAGCGACCTGTTAGCATAACTAGCCTTTTGTTGCTAGTTCATCATGAAAAACAAGGTGATGTAAATCAACGTGCTTTCAATTGCATATAATGCTTATATATATATATAAAAAAAAAAGTACCTTGCTTAGCTTATTCCACAAACCTGATACGAGTCGACTAAGATCCTTTGATGATAGATCCTTGTTTTCCTTTGCCAATTTACCACGCATCTCTTTATTGAAGTAGATGAATGAATGAACACGGTTGGATTTGGATGCTGTGGTTGGAGATGTGAGCGATGAGGATGCCGCTGATTGACGTGCTACTGCTGAGGATGTGGATCTGGTAGGTCCTGTTTCGGCTTTGGCTTTGGTTTTGGTTTTGTTGACCTCTGCTACTTTTCTTGCTAGACCAGACTCTTCTTCTTCTTCTTCTTCTTCTTCTTCAATTGCCTTTGTCTCCTTCGGTGTATATTTCAGTTTTGTCAGCCATGATTCATCCTCGCTATCTGATTGATCATAGTCAGAGCCTGAGTCGCTAGAAAAGGATGAATTGTAACGCTTCTTGACATCTAATGTATGGTTCATAGTATCCCAATCCTCATCTGATTCGTATAAATTTTCCATCTTTCGTTTCTTGCTTCCTTCTTGTTTCTTCTTCTTCTTGCTTGGTGTTGGTGCAATCCATTCATCGTCACTGCTATCAGACAGTATCACTTGTTTGCGCTTTGATCTCGCTTTTGGTTTGGTTTTGCCTCTTTGCTCCTGCTTGAATTGGCTCAGTATGTCTTCTAAACTAAGGTCATTTTCAACTGCTTTGCTGCTGCGCTTGGCTTTGGACGGTTTTGATATAATAAGTGATTCATCATCGCTTATAGTGATATCGTCAAAGAGGCCTGGTGCTGCCTTTTCTTTGGTTGGTTTGGAGCTGTTACTTTTCAGATCCACATTGACTAAAAATGCGCCACACCAGGGGCATTCTCTAATGGCTATATATGAGCAACTTGCTGTCTACGCTGCATTGATCTATCCATCTCACCCTGCATCAAGAGAATCCACATCTCTAATCAATTCTTGACATTCAGGGCACTGAATCTCTGCTTCGAATGACATTTAAATTGGTTTAAAAAAAAAATAAAAGAGGAAAAGAAAGCGAGGTTTACACTCAAAGCTTTTTTTTTTTTGTGGGTTTTATTTGTAAGGCAGCAGCAAACTGACTGTAATTTTATTGTCTCTTTCTCTCTTCTTCTCTTTGAGTCAATACTCGTTTGATATTCTTTGCAAACCACTCTCGACTTGTTGGCTCCTCAATGGTCAAAACACGCGTAGGCGCTTTTCTCAGTTCTAGATAGACACCATTGTCTCCAGACTCCACATTGCGAATTGTGTCTAAAGAGATGGCATAATCTAGCTTCAAGTTGTCTGATTGAACAACCAGGATACGAGTGTATGTCAGAATAGCCACCACCTCATCATTGTCAACCACGCTGTGAGCAATGTAGACTTCATTAAAGAATTTGCCGCTCTCCATCTCTTTCAACCACATTTGACCCAATGCCTCTCTTTGAGAATAAGTCTACATGTCGATTTAAAAATGAGTTTTCTAAGAGTTTTGCATAAAAAAAGAGCCATTACTTACAGTGACAATGCCATCTTTGCCAGTGCATCTGGGAAGTCTTTCTCGATTGATATCGCCTCCCTCAAAGACAGTGGTTGTTTCGCGAATGCCTGCGGTAATGTTACTAGCCATGTCCAAGAAACCCACCATGGGCTTTGTGAATGCGCTATAAGAGAGATGAGTACTGCTATTCCCTTTATCCACTGCCCGCAATCAACATACCCAACAAGGCCTTTGCCTACGCCGCCAACAAAGCCTACAACACCACCTGATTCAGCACCTTCAATAGGCCGTTTAACAAGGCCAGCAAACCCACTTGCCACACTGGTTCCAAAGTAGCCCACACCTTGCGTAACACCGTAGATGGCATGTGTAGGTTTGTTGCGTGTCATGTTCATACGTCTTCTATCTTGAAATTTTTTATCCATGGTAGCAGCAGAAACACCTTTACCCAAACTGCCCGAAAACCGGCTCAGACTATCGCTGATGCCGAATACGCCCTTCTTCATGAATCCACCCACACCTTTGGCAATACCAATACCCAAATCTTGAGGTCGATCACTCATGATGAAACCTTGATAAGGCTCATAAAAGAGCTCACCAAAGCCAGAACTGAGTGTGTTGAATAAACCCACTGGATTACCGAGGATATCAATACTACCCAAAACGCGATGAATCTGATAAATGACTTGTTCACGGTAATGGAGTATGATACGAGCTGTTAAATCTTCGGAACTGGCACGCAGGTTGTCTACAATCAAGGCGTTCAGTTTGACAGGTGCGTCATTGATGTTGCCTAATGTCATGGTGAACACATTAAAGACATAGCCCATGGCAGAGCTTTTTGCAGAGGAGCTATGAGAATTGAAAGTAAGTTACCATCTGTGGTATACCCCCAAGTCTTTGGCTTTACCTTGCATCACTGTCATCCAGTTTCTCGGTTCTTACAAACGAGAGATTCAATCGCATAGGCTGAATACAGAACTCTTCAAAGTAGTATAATGCCTCTGCCTTTTCGACTACAGGCTCCTCTATCGTCATGATATACAAATCAGGCCTGAAAAAAAAGTTATTTCAATCAGTTCGTGCTGTCTGTTGTTAACATGCTTGAGACAATACTTACTCGTCATCTGCCTTTTTGGATCCACTATCGAACTGAGCAAAATCTAGCATAGCATATAAAAAGTCCTCGTCAATCTCAAACGTCATTTCTTGCAGGAGCACAGAAAAGAGTTTAAAGTAGAGCACACCATGTCCTAAAGCAAAGAAGGTTAGGCTACCATCATCAGGATGTATGCACCGCCTGTACTTACTGTCATCTTTAACTTTATCCAGGGCAATGTGAAGTGTAGGATGTGTTGATAACTCACCCGACACTTTAGGGAGCGTGGTAGGATAGCAAAGAATAGGATATGTTGAGTTGTACAACTGATTATCGATCTGTTCAATGCAAAGATTAATATACAATCGACATACTCGACGAGAGACACACTTGCCTGAAGCCACTGCAAAGCCAATCTTACAGACTGATACATGTTGGAATCCGTATACTTGAAATCCACACCCTTGATACTAGCAAAAGCCATTTCCTACACACGAGTATGTTAGCATCTCTCTTCCTTTTTTACCACTATGAACGGCTTACCTGAGCATGCCTATTGATTAACGAAATACCAAAACCAGCCAAATTCAATTCCAAGACGTAATTCACAACATGCTGAATGGTCACTGTTTCAAACGCATCTCGTACACTTCCTTCTCTTGACGTGGAAGCCAACGTCGATGTGCCTGACGATTTAGGACGGTACAAACTCTTGGAGAGATCAAAATCAGTCAATTTCAGCACCAAAGCCGAGTCATCTGCAATCACATCTATAGAGAGCGTGTTGTTTTCAAGACCTCCATCGCGATGCTTCATGTAACGGAAAGGCACCTGAGCACCAATGGCTTGAAAGTTGATACTGCGATGACGGTTGCCTACCAGCAACTCCAGTCGCTTCTCTTTGGCAATAGGGATATCCCAGGAGTATCTAAATGTACTGTCGGGTTGCAAGGTGAATGTACGTGGCTCCTGGAACGCCTTCTTTTGTCTGTCTTTCAGGCCGTATTCCTCAAAATCAATGGGTTCTTGTCTGAAGCGTACTGGCATTCTGGATCGATTGACAATATAATAGGGCCACTTATGGTCTTGATTGAAGGTGATAAAGATGGTGGAGTCCTTGATGTGGACAGAGACGCGTACGAGGTAAGGAATGGTATTATCGCCCTTGTCAACCTTGACGTATGTTTTACCAATTTCTTGAATGTCAAATGGAGAGGACCATTTGCCGTCCAGTTCCTGCAATTGAAGACACATCCATCGTACGCTTGATTTGGTGGTTTGATACAAGGGCATCTTTTGACCTGGACCAATACGGGTTTCTTCGTCATCGCCAAATTCGCAATACTTGAGGGCAATGTCCATGTTGTTCTTGATGATGTAGCGAGGTGTGATTGTTACCAGTTTGGTCAGTCTGAGGATGCCTGTGCCTTCTTCTACCTTGATACCAGCGTGTCTTGCATAAGCATCTTGTTTAGATAACAAGGTGACATCTTGACTATTACCCACGGCTTCAAAACTGATGGGCTCACTCCACTTGGAGTCGTTGATGGAGATCTGGGCACGGTTCTTGTGGTCAATGTCTGGGTACGAGAAAATGATGGGCTCCAAGATGTCGCCTTGCCTGTAAGCGGGAATCTCTTCGGTGGGTAAACGCCCTTGACGATAGCCTTGACGCTGTCTCAAGCAGATGGGTAGTTCGGTCTTGTTCAAGATGAGATATGGTGCATAAATACTGACATGCAGGGCATCAGTGGTACTGGATGATCTCAAAATGTTCATCTTGACATTAGTCGGTACATTATTATGATCGACAATCGTGATCTTTTCCCCAATGGAGTTGTAGTTGGGCGTGGTATTGATGGCAGATGTATTACTGCACTTGTATCGGTCGGATTTCAGGTCGAGTTGAATGATCAGTTTGGTGTTGGGCTTCATATTGTACAGGTTGGCTGTCTTGCCCTTTTCTACAAAAGCGTGCATCTTGTCACCCGTCATTTCGTTGGTCAAGGTGATATCAAAGTCGAATGGCAGCAGGTTTTCCACTTGAATAGGAGGACAGAATTGCACCTTGAGGAAGGGATACTGCTTGACCAGTGGGTTCTTTTTGTCACACTCCACATTAATTTGGTATTCATAGGGCATGAGTTGTTCTGTGCTGCTATTGTTCTCCAGAGGCAAACATTCGACAGATTTGGGCGCTTTGGGCAGCATCACATCAGACCACATGAGCATTTGCGTGCTCCAGTGGTACTTATCAGAGGGTCGAATCACAACCCATTTATCGTACGACAACTCGATAGGCACATTGAATATCTCGTAGGGCTTGAGATGCACGACATCCGACAGCATACGTCGCTTTTTGTTGACCATGACCATCTGCATCTCTTCCGTAGAGTTGTTTTGCAAGACAAGGCCACTTCTAAATGTCACAGTCTTGATGTGGTTTTCCAAGTGAATGTCCACAATCAAACGGTGATCAATTTCCTTAACAGCAGGTCGCAGTCGATAGGCACGTTCGCTCTCTGTATCCACAGGCACATGTACAATAGACTCCCAATTGAAGGCATCTATCTGAACACCAAACAGATTCTTTCCAAGATTGACTCTCTGCTGAAGCGCATTAGTGCGTATGCTTTCCGTTCATTCCACTCTTGCTTACCTCTCTGCGCTTCTTCCAGTCCCTGAAGGTCCATGGCAATGTCTCGCCTTGCTTCAACTTGAACACGCGATTATCACTCTTTTCTACATCATCAGACATGTTCCAGAAGCGAAGATCATGGCCAGTAAAGTTTCGAATGAGATAGGGTCTGACCTGTGTTTGAGCCGTTTGAGCCAGGGGCTATTTCAAGAGCGTGTTAATAAAGCGTCCAACGCCACTACTACCGCAACACTTGCCTTGGTTTGAGAAAGTGTCTCGGACACAGACATGAGACTCTCCAAAAAGGTATGCGTGATGTTGAGGTACAGTAAATTCTCTGACTGAAGTGCTACATTGGTAGATTTGTCTGTGGCATCTTGAGACACCTTGATACAAAAGTTCCAAGGCTCAATGATGGGCTCCCAATGTGAATTTTTAAAATTAAAGTTGTTTGCCTTGAGCAAAAAGTCAACATCTGCTTTTAGTGCGCGAGTCCAGTCTGAAGCGACAATGGCGAACGGGTTGATTTGAACATCTACAAAGGGAAGGTCGTGCAAATCTTCAATCAGAATGATTTGAATGCCATCAAACGAAGCCGACAACTGGTGTACATGTTAGCATGTCGTCGTGTTCTTCATCAAGCTGGATACTAACCGATTCCTTTGACATGACAATAAAAGGCTCGATACCCTTTGGCTCTTCTACATAGTTCTGCGTAGCACTGGGTTCAGGCGCATGCAAATACTGTTCATTTTGGTCTCCCAGCAACAAGGCATCCGATGTTATAGACTCAATATCAGACGTGGAGTCGGGCGAGGCAGGTTTGGGCGCTGTGCTTTGATCTGGTGATCCCATCAATGCAATTACCTTGTTGGCAATGTTTGAAATCAACATGGCATCTTGGTAAGACAAGCGCAAGATAATAGGTTCTACTTTGAGTTTGATGGTAGTGAGATGATGCACTGTGCTTGTAGCTGCTGTTTCCATGCTCAACAAGACATTGAACTCCTCCACAAAATGCATGGTAGATTCAACGATATTGTCCATGCGACACAACACCATGCCAATGCCATCCAAATGTACTTCCAAGTTGGCTTGTTGAATGACACTAAGCTGGTTAAAAGACAAGATGACAGCTTCAGAGGCAGCGTTCTCGGGATTCGCAAGACACAGTACACGGAGGTCAATAACGTTGATATTGTATTTCATCACGGTAGGTGGTGCCTGGCTCTGTGATTGCAACTGCTTGATATCGGCGCTCCTTTTGTCTTTGTCCTGGCCATACGACTGAGCATACTTTTGCGCTTCTGTGGGTTCAATGACAATAAAGGGCCCCATGAAAAAGTCTTTGAGGAGGAACAAGTAATCCACCGACAAGACAATCTTGGGGCTGTCCACCGTGATTTTCATGTCCATGACAGGTGTTGCATCCTGATCCTTGTAAGACCACAACTTGAACTGGAATTGAGGTCCATCCAGCGTGTTGGCAGGCAAAATCTCTCTAAATTTAGATTTACTCTGTGATCGTGTGTCGGCAAAACTGACGGACTGAATGCCGACTTCCATGAGCATGGACTCGTTGGACATGTTTTGTAATTTCATGCAGATGCCATCAAACGCCAGTCGAGACAACATGTGCTTTTCCTTGTCTTCCATCTCTGAATCTTGGCCACTAAGCAGTTCCAGATAGACTGTGTTCAGTTTGATGACCAGGTCCAGGTTAATCTTGTTGGCCACTTGTTTGATGCTAGGCACATCGGCTTGAGGTGATGCAATGGACAGTTGAGAGGAGGCATTGGAAAGAGCAGCATAGTTGTCCGCAAGTGTTTCTTCTGTGGTATTGTTTGCGGAATTGGGTGGTGCAGCAGCCAGGAACTCTTTCTGAATAAACTCCCATGTCTCCAGCAACGACTTGTACTGTCTTTCAGTCAATGCCATGCGAACATCGGATATGTTGCCCAGGATTTGGGACCCAGGACCCACAGCTTCGTTGGGATCTTCAGGATTCTCGATATCAAACACAATGTTCAAGTTATCAATGATGGGAAGCACATGGCTCTTTGCATTGCCAGCTGGATCATAGGTCACAGCAGTCGAATACAGACTGATATCGTACAGACCACAGTTGATGTGTGTTACAGGCACCATGACAGATTGCGGCACATTCTGCAGGTCCCTTCTGTGCACTTCAATAAACGAATTATTGGCTCTGATTTCACCCAGATTGGCAATCAAGGTATCTGTCTTTTTGTTGTCTCCCACAGGAAACACCAGCACAGGACTCTTGATCTTGATATCAAAGTGGAAGCGATTGGTGCCGCTGCCTTCTTGGATTTGCTGAGCAGTCTCCACTGCTGCATTTCTGGCTGCATCATAGACGTTTTTCATCTCTAAAAACTCTTGCAAAAAGTTCAATGTGGGTTTGACGGATTCAGTGACCAACAGATGAATGGCGCCCATCTTGAGGTCAAACTTTTGATTGTAACCGGGATAGTCTGCAGCCTTGGGATTGTAGGTCTTGTAGGTAAAGTCAGCCAGTTCGTCGCCCACAATGCTGATAATATAGGTCTCGGAGACAGAGGCTGAGCTGAATGTCTGGACAGAGTCGTTGTTGCCTGTGTTGACCATGCTGCTATCATCAGACAAGGTAAAGTTGCCAAACTTTCCATCCACTTCAATGGTGTTGGGCTCGAGCATGATGATGATATCGCCAAAACTGAGTTCACCGGTGCCCAGTCGCTTACCTTCCTTGTTTAAGATCAGGTTGACACTGTCCATGTGAATAGCTACCTTCATCCGGTTACTATTGCTGTTGCTGTTGTTGTCTGAAGCGTCGGCTGCTGTAGGCTTGATGGGCATTCTTGGCAGGTGCAAAGAGTCAGATAGTATGGAATAGTGGTCCAGACTAGAGGCATCGTCATAAAAGACATCGCCTTCAAAGACTTGTTTGCCCGCCTTATCATCCACAGTAGCTGTAGGTGGTGCGGTGAATGTGTTCATGATCCAATTGTAAATCCTAAGCAGCGACTTTCTTGTGACAACCACAGTCAGGGTAGACAGCACCACATCTACAGTTTGATCATAGCCTTGATACACATCTTGGAAACGAGGATGATCTCTGGACGCCTTTCGGTACTTGACATTGACCAAGTTCTTATCATTTGTTCTTCCAAAAGCGTTCTTTCGATCAATGATGTCGGATGTCACCAAGTAATGGAAATCGCCTCCATGCTCCATCTCGTCAGCGACACTCAACGCCTTGAGCGATACATCTACCAGCAAATCATCAGGACGCGTCAAGACAACCAGTTCAAAGCTCTCTAACAAAATCTCGCAGAGCAAGGTCTCTTTGGTAGCATCCACAGCAGACGTTTCATGAATAGACGCAGATACTTTGTCCACTTGGAACGTCAATTTGAACTGCTCTACTTCACTGGATGCAATGCTTGCTGTGGTTGCTGTAGTGGGTGTATCAGATCGACTGCCAATGGACGTCATCTCGCTGCCACTGTCATCCAACAAGAGTGCATGGTCATCGCGCGAACCCCAATACCGCTCAGTAATAATGTTGCCCGTGCTTGTACGCGTGTTGTCTTGCAATGGATAAGGCCGTTTCTGTGCCTGAGATGTTGTATTGGTGGTGTCGTCGTCAGATTTGGGCACAATAAAATCAACAATACGCATCAAGATCTTGTACTTGCTGTCTGACAGGTTAATGGACAACAATGGCAATTGGCCAGACACCTTGATTTTGGTGAATTCCGTCTTTCCCGGAAGAATACACAGTTCAATCAAAAAGTTCATGTCAATACGCTCAATGAAACGAGCATCCACACCGTGTCGAGGAGGATGGTCTTGCAGCTGCCATAAGCATTCTTTGGTGTTACTGCCAATGAGCACCTTGGTTTGGCTCAATTGCAAGTTAAACTTGTCGTACATGAGATCTTCCAGTGTTTGAGCATCTTGCTTGCTGTACTTTTGAATGTCCTTGTTCTTGATGTCGTTGACCACTGATTTATCAGCTAATTGGCTGTCCACATTGATATGGCCGGCATCGATGATCATGACGGGAGAATCTTGGCTGGTCAGACTAGATGCAACATGTCACCACGTGCTGCTATAGCTTGCGTGTAGAAACTTACCTTTCAGGAATGATAATGATGGGCGCATCCATATCTACATTCAAATCCAGAGTTGTGTGTGTCTCCAATGCAAACTCCAAGCCTGCTCTCGTCTGTGTCTTGAATCCTTCAAAAGTGTCTCCAGCCACAGCAATCAGCGCATTGACACTCTCCATCTTGGAGCTGGGCGGCTTGAAGAATTTCATAACACCAGCAATGACGACGGGACTGTAGATGATTTCCAGATGCCTCATTTTAAGAGAGAACGCATTGTCTGCCTTGTTGCTGAGAGGTTTCTTTTCAAAGACGATGGAAAAGAAGGGATCGGCTTCTTTGGCATTGGCCATCTGCAATAATGAACTTGATTTTCTGCGTTCTCTTTCCGTCAAGTTGTTTTCAATGTTCAAGAGAGAGGAACTATAATACCGTTGATGAGTATCTCCTTGGAAAGTGTGAGACGACAAAAAAATAAAATAAACTTACTCTCTGTTGTTCTTCTTCTTGACACCTATCAACTGATGGTAAATGGTATCCTTAGTGGAACCATCAAACAACTGCAAATCGCCAAGAGCAGCTGCTACTTTCATGGACTCCAGGTATTGAGTGACATCGATACTAACAGCGTCGAATACAATGGACAGTAAATCCAGTTCAGTGGGTTTCTTGACATCCTGCTTTAGAGTGAACGAACCGCGATTCAGCTTGGTTTTGATGATAAACTTGATTGTCTAAACAAATAGAGAGTATTAGCCGTGCCCTATGCAATCTGCTATTCTACATACATCTTTGGGTACATCCACAGCGGATGCAATCGTGGCCTTGTCTTCATCATATTCAATCACATCATACAACTCCTTCTTTTGCTCCTCTGTGATATGAATCGATCCCGCATCATCCTCTGTAGCCTCCTCTGTCTTGTTAGCGGCTGGAGTCGCTCCACTGAGCCATCCCCACCATCCGACTTTGGCATTCTCTGCTTTCTTCTTTTCGTTTTCCTTGTTGATTCTGATCTTTTCACGACGAAGTTTGGACTTGGCAATGCTTCTGTAGAACCTAATGTCTTCAAATGAGAGATCGTATTCCAGCTGCTGGAGGGCGCTTAATTGGTCGGGTGTAGCCTTCTTCATCTTGTCTGCAATGTAGCATTCAATGTATTGCAGTCGTTGATCGCGTCGTTTTTTAAAGTGATCCCATGTCCATTTGTAGTTCTTTTCATGAATCTCGGATAAAATGGCCCTTCCTGCAAACTGAAAGAACTCGCGCGGATGTGATTTTGCTGTTTTCCCTTTTTGCGGGTGGAATTTGAGGTACTGTAGCAGTAATGTGAGTTCTCATTTTGTTGGCAAGCGTGTTAATAATCTCACCTTTTGTTTTTTCAAGTTGGCATGAAACAAGTCGATCATCAGGATGCCATCTCTGTATTGATGATCGTCCAGGCCGAATGCCAGCTCATCAAACAGCATGGTAACGTCTGTCTTTGGTATATCTCCACCATAATTCTTGTTCAATTTCACCTAGTGGCCCCCCCCCATCAACATGTAAGTTGTTGTGAATCACAGTAAAACATTGTATTCCACCCTTACCTTTCCAGTACCAGATACAGGCTTAAGAATGTACTGATGTTCTCGGGGCGAGTTGGATGCATGTGGAATCTATGGCATCCGCCTATCAGTAAATAATCCTCTCATAGTATCTTTTTAAAACCTACAAGATCAGTGTATACTTGTGCAGCCTCTTCATGATGCATGCCTGTAAGTGATTTGGAATCCGTATTCCAATAAACAGACAATGATTCCAGAGTGGCGAGCTAAATGGCCATGTAAGCAACCAACAGAAACGCCAGTTAAGCTGTTCAATTTACCTTATTGATCGTATTGGTAGGCTCGCTGATGAATTTCGGGACCCACTCTTCATCTGTTGATAAAGCACTCAATTCCTTGAGCGTAATGCCTGCAGCAAAAGGATGTCCTGGATCAGAAACCTTATCCTCGTATCTGATATGGATATTCTTCATGGTGAATTGCAAGTTGTCCACAATTTTGTTTGTAAGTTGAGTAATGAACCCATCGCTTCCCTTGCTACTGTCCTTTTTCTGATCTGTTTGTTGTGCCTCTGGTGATTCCAGCATTTCAGCAGTAGATAAACGGCGGCGCTTCAACTCTTGAGCGCGCTCCTCTTCCTCTTCCACAGTAACCTGTCAATTGACATTGGATGAGAGAGACATCTCTACACACAGTGTTGGATCGCTTACAGTCGATTCGTTCTTGGGCTCTGCCAATAGGTAAACATGATCGATGATGACTTTGACGGGTTCGTTTCGTAAGTTGGACCATGGAATGATCAACGTGAGTTCGCCCAAGTAACCTGCGCAAGATAACATGTTGTTGAGTTGAACGCTGATATACATTTTTCTTAGATGCTATACGAGTACCTTCTGATACATTGATAGGAAGATCGAGCTTATCCAAAGCGTCTCGCCTTAGTTTGAGGTTACGCAGATTGACCTCACCTGAATACATCATTTGCATTATATAGTGTAAGTTTTCGTTCATCATCCAAGCGTCATATCATCCACTTACCGTTCCATATACCAATCTTCAACTGGTCATAATTCAGATTGGAAACATAATTCTTTAGAAAACGATTCAGTATACTAGCCACAAGTGACTCCAACATGGCGTATATCCTGAAACGTTTGGGTAGAGAAAAGTGAAAGAGAAAGAAAGGAAACCCAAATCCAAGTAGAGTCGCATTAAGACCGGTTTTGATATTCAAGTTCAGAGGATGTTCATTCATTGATCGAGTTCAATGCAATGTGGCATGATAGCATCTGCAATGGGTTTTGACATGACGTAAACTGTGTGTGAGGCACACAGTATGATGGGGCATTTGTACTTTTATGATCTCAAAACTATGTGTTCTGTCTAACAGGGACATTTCTTTAGTGCACATTGTTTCAATTCATGCTTTGTCTCCCTCTGCCCCAAGAGAGATTCATGCCTTTAACAGACGGAATCAACGAATTGAGTTTTCTTTATATGAGTGATTTATGATTTTGTTTGTATATTTTTAAAAATGTCTTGTGTGCGTGTGTGTGTGTGTGTGTGTGTGTGTGTAAACAGAGGGGAGGAGATGTAAGCAAATAATTATAAAGAAGAGAGGGGGGGGGATTAATTTACAGTGGTTTCTTCATCTATCAGGGAAACAATATCAGATAATTCACGTAAAATCTCTGGGTCCGTTGTTGGCTTCAACATGGACAACATGAGCTTTTCACGAACAACAGGCATATCTAGCATACGACTAGCCACCTCAGAGATGGACGGTTGGTCCCCTTCCTCGCTCTTATCATCCTTCTTCACGTTGTATTGAGAAAGTGCTTCCAGTGGTCTCTGCTGTTGCTGGCGATTACTGCGCCTTCGGATACCATCACCACCACACACCAACGAGCGAATCAGTTCCATGCCACGCTTGGTGACGAGTCCAAACTGTGGGTTGCCTGACTCTGCCAACGTAATACATAGTCGAATAATCATCATGCCAATGCTCTTGTTTTTCTGGACCAATTGCTGCTTTAAGCTTTCCACTTGCACGATAGCAATAACGTTGTATAATCCGATGATGGTCAGTTCAAGTGTGGCTAATTGATTGGATGTCATGGCATGCATGACACGGCCATCTGCCGAGAAGAAATCCCTGCGAATGACAGCTGTCAACTCGAGCCAGATCTCTTGGATCAAGTCAAAGATGTGTGGTTTGGATACCAGTGAATGCAATAACTGACGGTTATCATAGTTGACGGTGAGCTTGGTCCATGTTTCAATCGCCAAGAGTGAGTAGTATGTATTAGGGCCATTGACCAGGAAATCGTGTGTCAATTCAACAAATACGGCAGCCGTCTTTTCTTGACGCAATACGAGGTATATCGAGATGTTGGAAAAAATCAACAGGATGCTTTTGCGGAAATCCAAGGTGTCCATGCGACGAATGCCTACAAACCAGGCTTCTTTTCCAGTTGTATCACGGCCATCCAACACGCTGACATGACGAGCACTGTCTGCAATGCTGGCAAGCAAGTTGACGCATCGAGGATGTCGAGCAAGGTACTCCATATTCTCGCCTATAAACGACAGATTGCGCAAAATGTTGAAAATACACAAACAGCGTTCACGCAGTGAGATCCATACATCCGATGTCGAGTTTTCTAGTTGTGGGATCAGGCTTTTCATTTCATCCAATGACATATCAAACAGGTCTGTGTAGGTCAAGTCGCTCAAGACTTGGCTTTCTGTCTTTTGCTCCTCTTTGCTGACTGCACCGTCGTGATGCAACGTAGGAAATCGACTGCTGGTCCCCAAAATGTCCTCCTCCAAATAATCCAACAAAACGTCTAATAAATCATCGCATTGGCTCAAGGGTAAATGAGGCGGTTGCTGCTGTTGTTGTGCATGAATTTGAGGCTGAACAGTGAGCACCGTCAAGACGTTCAGTGCGTTGGTGAGTTCCATCTTCATGCCTGATTTCAACGACATGATGAGTGCCTGTATATCGACCACACCCAACTCGTTCAAATGAGGCACTGGAGGTTTGATCTCAAACTTGTCAAAGTACTTCAAATCAACGCCACCATACGTTTCCACATTGCGCGTCTTTGGTATATAAGTAATTTGCTGTTTAGGTTGTTGTGGAGATGTATCTTTCTGATCTGTAGTGGTGGTGATTGAAACAGCAGGTGCTGTTGTAGCTGCTGCTGGTGAAGCCGTTTCAGAAGGTGCATTGTATGGTTTGGGAGAAGGTGATGTTGTACTGGCTATAGCACCTGTGGGTGTGGATTTAGCAGTGGGTGTTTGGGCAGCAGCATGAGCAGCAGCAATAGCAGGACTCATATGAGGTGTGCTCGACTCTAATTGTTGATGCTGTTGGCGAGGCGTCGAATGCGAGCTGCCAGGCGTAGCTGATTGACGAGGAATAGGTGATGCGTGCTGTTGCATAGGTGATTGCTGAACAAAGTTCATGTTGGCATTGCTGTAGTTTTTAGATGGATCCTCCATCAGATCTTGTGGTAGCTGCTGCTGTTGCTGTTGTGGAGGAAAGGGGGCTTGTGGTTGAGGATGATGTTGAGGTGAGCCATAAGATGGGATGACTGGATTTTGTAGTGAGGGAGAAGCGCTATTCATTGTATGTTGTTGCTGTTGCTGTTGCTGCTGTTGTAGCATAGCCTGTTGCTGTACATTCATGTGCTGCATGTAACGGTTGTTTGCTTGTGATGGAATGACACGCGCCATCTGTGGTGAAGGCGAGATACCGTTGCCTTGAAAGTTTTGCACAGGGGAGCCTACATTGGGATTCATGGGGGAAGCTTCATTTCTGGTTAATGACAGATACACACACACAATGTCCAACAAACTACGTTACCAGCATAATCAGATCCCATCCTTGAACCTGCTAAATGAGGGCTGCTTCCAATCACAGGCGAACCCATTGCATTTCCAGCGAAATGGGCATTGTTCAAAGCAGGCGACTGACTTGGAGACTGTTTGGCTGTCATACACACAACATACACTTTAGTGATCCCACGCATGATAGACATTCAAATACGCTACCTCTATTCATGGCCATGGCTGCTTGTTGCTGCTGCTGTTGTTGCTGGAACATCAGTGCTTGAGGTGTGTTTGGCATCATAGTGCCATTGCCTTGAAACATGTTTCTGTTTTGAAATTGTGCCTGCAATGCAGCTGTGGATAGTTTGAATTAGATAAAATAATGATCAATCTATAGCAATCCTCTTACCTGGGCTATTGGTCCCTTGCAAATTCATCAGATTCTGAGGCGAATAGACGGATGCAGGATGAGACGTCTGTCTTGGATTGGGAGGTTGCTGAAGAGCGGCAGCGACGTTCATACCACTCATGAGGGATGGGTTGGCTTGGATGAATGGATTCATGTTACTCAAATCAGTCTGATCGAGTGCTCCAAAATCATTTTGACCAAAATTCATACCACCACCACCTCCTCCTCCTCCTCCACCACCACCAGCACCACCGAGATTGGCAGGGTGAAAAGGTACATTGCCTAAACCTGTGCCAGCCAGTGGGTTAAAGTTGTTGATATCATTGGGTTGCTGTTGATTCTGCTGTTGCTGTTGTTGTTGCTGTTGAAAGTTCATCATGAGATTAGGGTTGTTTTGCTGGTTCATGTTCAAGCCCTGTTGAGCAGCTGCTGCAAATAGTTTGGGATCCATCTGAGCCCTTTATCAAAGTCGCGTAGGGTAAAGACTCTGTGAATGAATAGAGTGGAAAGGTTGTCGCGTGTATATATCAATAAAAACTAGAATGTGTAGGTGGATCTAGTTGCTATTAATAAATGACAAGAAAGAAATCAAAAAGGCACTCACATAAAATCTTTACTCTCTCTAATTGCTTGCCTGACTGACTGACTGACTGATTGACTGGAGATATTGGGAAAAAGTTAATATCGATCAGTGCCCCCCACAGCAGCAAGGCAAAGGCTCCAGTGACGTGGATGGCAAGAGTCACGACGTTTTTGTCCATGATATGGCTCTCTGGCTCTCCTCTCTCTTACTCAATCATGTAGGACAAATGAAATGTTGGCATTAAATAGGCGCTTCTTGTTCTTTTTGTCAATTTTCTCGGTCAAAACATGTCCAAGGAAAGCGTATTAGCCACTGAGGATGATCCTGATACTTATCTGATCGAGTCCAGTGTACCAGATGTGCGAGCATTTGAGCAAAAGACACGGTACGTAGGCTCCTGGCTTGCTTGAAAGTGTCCTAAATGTTGATTGTACTTTGGCCATAGACATGCCATCGAAATTCAGAAGGAAGAGTTGCGTGCCATGGTTGGGTAACTATATGAATGTCGTTTGCAAAGACAACATGTAGTATTGACACATACGCATCTGTAGAGAGCAATATCAAGATCTGATATCAGCAGCTGATGCCATCATCACCATGAGCAAGAACGCACAGGCCATTCAATCCAACTTTGAGCGCATGCAACAGGCCTGTGATGTGGATAGAATCAAGCAATCCTCCAGAAAGACACTGCAGCTGCGTGATGAAAAGAACAACCAAAGTAAGAAGAAGGCATAAACAGCACAGACGCTCGATTACTTAGCTGCCAATTCCTAGTACACATCGACACCAAACGAAAATACATCTATGTCATTGCTGCTCTGGTCAAATCACTAGCCGATGTGCCTGAGCAGATATGGCATGCGCTGGAGAACCATCGCTACTTGCATGCCAGTCGATTGTATATACTGGCCAAGCAAGTGCACGCTTATTTGGAGCAGGAAAAGGGGAGCTCCACCATCGACATTGAGGTCGCATTTCCAGTGATTCAACGACAGTGGGATGCAGTGAGCGCATTTGGGCCGCAAATCATACAGAGAGCAACACATTACCTAAGAGTATCAGAGCAAGCGACAGAGGTACGGATGTTTTACAGTGTGTATGCAGACACAGCTATTCATCAAGTGTATGTGCGTGTGTAGCATATTGCAGAGGTCATTGTCGCGCTCATGCTTTTGGATGATCAAACATACGCAGAATCCATCAACAAGCTGCTCGAAATGAGATCCAATGTCATTCGAGACATCTTGCAACAGTATACCAAAACAACAGACAGTGCCAACCATCGCATTACACATCAATTGAGAGAGGTGTCCTTGATCATCAAACGCACACTCGTCCAAGTGTTTGACATATTCGTATCCAAAGAAGGCGGCCATCAGCAAACCCTGATCGAGTCTTATATAGAGTCATTTCTGAAGACATTTCTGATCCCCTCCAAATCAAGCCATGGCAATGAGACACCCAGCCAACCTGCCATCACACGCCTATTCTCACCTAGCTCCAACGTACATCTGATTGTACGCTACCTGCCTGAATCCATACAAAACTACACGCCTTCTTTCGACCCCTCACCACACGTCTTACCATCAGATGTTCAGCAGCACATCGCGGCTTGGATGGAAGAGGTCAAAGCAATCCTCAACGACCAGCTGCCCCACACACTGGCGCCCATCCACAATCAAGCTGAATTGACCCAAGTCAGATCCAAGCTATGGGAGTTGCTGGACGAGGATGAGAATACAAGAGATAAAACCAACAAATGGCAAATAACAGCAAAGCATTTGCTATCCGCTCGCTATTCTCTGTGGACATCTCTGTATCGAAACGTGTTTAACGATTGCTCCAAGAAGCTCATTGATACGGCTTTGGCTGATTTGGCCAAACAACCTGCTCAGGTGGTATGGCCTTTGATCATGGATCCCAAGAAACAACGACCAAGAAGGGACTTCTCCTTGACCATGAAGATTTGGCCCAGCACAGCCAAACATCAAGCAGCATTTGCATTGCCTAATCTCTCATCTTCGCAAGAAATTGAGGGTTTCAAAGCCTCTCTCAAGGAAACAGCGAATGATAGAACAGATAAGCTTGGAAAGTTACAGGCCTGTTTTGACACTGCCTTGCATACTATCAGAAAGGACGTGCAGCAGCACTTTATTCATACAGATCAGGAGCATTTTCATGCCAAAGAGTAAGTGAAAACGGAGCCATCTTTAGGGTTGTAATGCTGACAATTGCAATAGTGATATGGGCATGATTAAAAGCTACTTTCAAGATCAATGTTACCAAGCCGTACTGAAGTATGCAACAGAGTTAGCATCCTTAGCCAAACAGATGAAGGATTGGACAGATCAAAGAATGGTGAATGAAGTTTCCATCTTCTTGGGCCGTCTTGCTCGCAACATTGGACTATTATCAAAGGAGCTACCAAAAGCTATTTCACTATCAATAGATGACAACAAGCCTGTATTCGAACTACGCAGCAGCATTAACAAAGATGCCAAGTACATTAGCATACAAAACACCTTGCTAGATACATACCATGAAATGCACACATCCTGGATTCAATGGCTGGAGAAGGAATTTGGTCAAAAGTTAAAGTCAAGCTTGGTCACATCCAAGTGGAACGATCATTGTGCAGCGATTGCTGTATGGGAGACGGTGGAGGAAGACATGAAACTGCCAACACAGGCATCCAACATGGCAGTGAGGACACTGTTTTATGTCTGTGAAGAGATTCAGCGCATCAATAGCTCCGTCGTGGATCAAAGCATCATGACAAGACTAAGACAGCACCTATCCAACACATTCAACCAGGTCATTCAATCCTCGCTGCCTACATTGGAACTGACAGAGAATGGCACACTGCAACTCATGTTTGATTACCTGTTTTTGTGCACCGTGTTGCAACAAGACGTCAAGTACAAGAGCGACATGATGGACATCATGAAGCAACAGGTGAGTCGTGACCATTGCGATGCGTGTGTTTTATATATATATATGTATATGCTAACACCCAAGGATGCGGGGGGAGGACAGATTGATCCCATCAATTGGGAGAGCTATCAACCTCACATGAAGCCATGTGTTGACCGATTCTACATCAAGCAATCACTCCTATTCGGCGTGCTTACCAGTGCAAGCAATGAAACATATGAAAGGTAAATACAGAATACTGCATTGACATTCTTTGTGTTTTTAGTTTGTTTACATATCGGCATGAAATGTAGGGCACGAAAAACAATGTCGACCCAACAACAAGGGCAGTACAATGTACTGCCATTAGCACCTCAGGCAACTCGATTTACATTACTTCCCATTGGTCATGCAAGTTTCTCATCACTGAAAGCTCGATAATGATAGTTGGTATTGTAATAAAAACAAGCGTTCATGTATAAAAAGAATGCGTTTGTCTGTGTTTATGAACATTTATCTCTCTCTCTCTCTCTCTCTACTATTTTATCCTCATGAAGCTGTATATTCCCATTATCATTGCATTGTTATTCATCACATCGAATTTAGCAGCATTTGTACCTGCACGATCATTACACGCATGTAAGTATTCACATCTATTTGTAAGGAATCCCATCATTTATTGATTCCAATCGCAGTATGTAGCCAAAACTTGGTATGTTCGGATGGCTTGTATTGTCGTAAAGAGGCCGATGCAGTTTATGGTTCCTGTGAAGATCCTACACATGTTTAGAGTTATTTTGTAGCCGTTGTGTGTTCTGACATATCTGTTTAGATTAAATAAAAATCCCAAAGCGTCAACATTGTGTGTGTGCACACCTGATTCAATGTTTGAATAAATGGCTGTAATTGCTGGCAAATGAGATTGCAGGAGGACCTTGGTTTGCTATTGTGAGTAGACATAACAGGCGCGTATGTATCACTATATTATACAACGAGTGTGTCTCCACCTCGGATGGCTCTGTAGTAGTACATTCGCTTCGCTTCAGCGATAGCCAACCTGCGCAACGGCAGCTCGCGCTACCAATTGTCCTTGCTCATTATACCATGTAATTTGCCACCTCCTTCTATTGGCTTCAAAAGCATCTATTATTACTGCATTCACGGTTAAAAGCGCATTGAGTTTGCCAGCCTGCCCCACCAGCTAAAATTAATTCCAACTCAGACGTACAGTCTGATTTAGATTGGCCAAATCTTGGCGATCTTCGACTCGATTGAACTATTTTACCAGATTCGACTATATAAATCGAGATGATCTTACGATGCTTCCTAATACATTCTTGGAATACTTTTCAAGGCGCATCCAATGGTACCAAGTAACGTAGATGTTTTAAATAAACTTATCGAGCAATTTACAAAAATATGAAAAGATGTTTCTGGCCAAAAAGTCGAAATTTTACATATCAAAGTACCACAAAGATGATTTCAAGAGTTACGTGAGATCGATAGAAACATTTTGATTCAAGATATACCATAATAAAAGTCTTCATTATCAAGGTCAAAAACGCGGTTGTTTGATTTTCGATGAAAACCATGAGGTATCCCTCATGCTTTTTGGTCGATTTCTGACCATGATTTTTTGGTCCCCAAAAAGTTGCGCAAAGGTGTCAGCAAGCTGCCGCTAGGCAAGAGCAACTGTTTGGTGCTATTCTGACCATCTAAAACGATGTTTAACGTGAGAAAACAGCTCAAATGCACCCAGATCTTGCTGTATTAGGCACATTTTTGACTAGAAAGGGGTGGTGCCAGTATGCTGCTTGCCTGTATATGAAGTAGCTACGTGTATATGGATGTAGAGCATCACACAAGAATGAGGTCTACAGATAATATGAAGAGGTTTCATGTGTAAGTAGAGGATCAAAATGAAAGTAGCAGTACCTTGGTCCTTTAAGTCTTGTATTTAATAGCGCCAGTCCACCGAAATAATTGTAAGATCAACTTCTCCCCTTTCGAGGTTTTGAAAGTGTGTAGGGACAATAAATTTATTATATTATGATGAGTAATATCAAGATCATGTATGTATGGTGTACGTCTGCTTACTCTCTTGGATGTTGTAATGTCAATATATCTTTGCAAAACTCGTAGATGATACTTTGAATATCAACTTTTGTTTTAGATTCTGGCTCTTCCTTTACGCTGGATGCTGGTCTTCAGTCGATAGGATACTTTCTGCTCTACACTATTGATCAATGCTACAAGCAAGGTTTTGGTCTCCTTTTTGTTGGTAAAAGTGAGGTCTGCATCAAATGGATCATGAAGTTGTCGTACCTGTCCAATGGATGGTTGTTCAATGCAAGGTTATACATTAGGTGGAATCGCCAAATTCTGCTGTCAATTCGGTCTTCTTTGGGGTGAGAAAGTTTTTCAAAACACCACAGGCAGGCTTAAGAGCTGTTGTACTCTTTGGTCTTTGATAATAGGCAATATGTCTGACATGGCATTTCTCTTTCCAGTGCCCCGTCAAACCTCACAGTCTTCGATGCTGGATTCACTGAAAAAAAAAAAACATTACATACAGCTTGGTTCATTCGCATTTGACATTGTTATTTACAAATGTATTTTATTGCAGTGATACAATGATATTAGTAACGGATATGATAAGTTAAATAGTCTAGAAAAAGTAAGCAGCAGTTACAATGGCAACCAAGAAGGAAGATGCCTTCAAGGAAGTGGCACCAGATTGTGTAGGTTCAGAGTTGGCAGCAAGGTTGACATTGGTAGTCTCAGCAGAACCAGATGATGAGGCAGCAGATGTAGGAGCGGCAGAAGTAGTAGCAGCAACAACGACACTAGAAGACAAAGGAATGGCAGAGGATGTGGTAGTAGTGTTGGCAGCGGTGGTGTTGCTGATGGCAGGATTAGCCTCTGTGGGATACTGCCAGTTTTGCTCCCAGTAGGGGCTGGAGATGTTCATACATTGCTGGATGGTAACGACATTGAAAGTCTCTTGAAGCTTAGGTAACCAATGCTCGGTCATGTTGACCGTAGAGTTGTTCAATTCATGTTCAAGAATAATATGGCCGTGCTCTTTGTCTTTACCGCTCTTGTAGTTTTCTACCCATTTCGAGAAGTAGCCGTCGACAGTTGAAGGCGAGAGATTTCCTCCTCCCTCTCCAGGCATGTCCCAATCGTTGGTATCCTCATCCCACAAAATAGTTTGGAGACCCATTTGATGGGCAATACCACGAACACGATCATCGACATCACCAAAAGGTGGTCTCCAGCACTTGGTAGTTATACCGGTAGCTTGCTTGATAGCACGAAGAGTCCAGTAAAGCTCAGCAACAACCTTTTCATTGGATTGAGTGGTCATTTGAGGGTGAGACCAAGTGTGAACGCAAAGAACATGGCCATTGTTGAGAGCTCTCTTGGCAGCTTCAGGGTAACTTTATATAATAGGTAGTGTTAGTATCACTTGATAGTAATTGGCATTAAAGACTTACGTTGCAACATTGGAGCCAATGTAAAAGAGAGTGGCCTTTTGATCGTTGGTCTTGGCCAAAAAGTTGTAGAGCTCAGGTTCAGCCCACTTGTCAAGATTCTTTTCACCAGCAAGGTTGTAAGGTCCATCATCGTAATTGAGACCCCAATCACCACTAGAATACGCATTAGTTAGCTCATTGTCACATAATCCATCAATCGAATAGACTTACACATTGGGACAGTAAGAGATATCTTCGGGTAAAAAGCTTGCTTTTGGCTTTACGCAATTTGTGCTGGACCACCAACAGTATTCATCCTTAGAATCATCATAGCCAGACATGTCAATGTCACCAGCAGCAGTAGTTTTACGAACAGGCGCCTTGGGAACCTTGCTCCAGTCAATAGCAGCAATGACAGCCTTGATCTCGGGATGAGTAGTGCTAGGTGAAGTCCAGGGCTCAGGGTACTCTGACAGATTCAATGTTTCTTGAGATAAGGTGCTGCTAGTGTTCAATTGGCCAGTGGGATAACCTGAATTGACTCCTTGAGGAGTGGGGAAATTAGGCAACCAAGTAGGTGATTCAACAGCCAAAACGCTAGCTGTGGTGGAGGTGGCCTTCTTGGTGGAAGATGATGTGGTAGTGGCAGCAGATACAAATGTACCTGTTGCAAGGAGCAATGCACCAAATCCTGTAATATACATATTGAAGATTAAGAATATGAAAGGAAAGGATACTGTAGCTTTTAGAGAGCTTTTTTTATATACAAATTGACTCAAGATCGGGAAACACGGACCCTTAAACTAGATGTCTATTTTAAAGCGCATGTCTATTGGCCTTGTTTAGTCAAATGTAATACCTGGTTTTCAGAAATCATGTATAAATTTGTTGGATACTCCGTTTTATATAGACATGGTGACTCAAGCGGACTGAAAGACCTTACAATGTGAGATTCTGCATCTTGGTAATGTGAATTCTGCCTTGTACACAACCAATTTGTATGATATGAACACCAAGTGTCCTTTAAAGAATAATTTGTATGATAATGGGTAACAAAACCATCTATTTTAAGAAATACATCGCGAGGTCTTGGAGCGTATTATTGGCTGAATTTCACTTTTATTTAACAGTTACCAGGACAAACAAAGGACGTGTATCATCAGAACTGTGTACTACAAAAGCTAATAAAAGAACCTTCTTTATACGTAATATAGTTGAGCCGTGGGTTTGTTGCTCATGTTGAAATGATTTGAATCGACGATTTGAGCTAAAAGCAATAGTCATCACCACGTTATTCAGTAGTACACAGAATGGTAGAAGTATTTCACCGCCAATAGCTACTAGACGATTCGCGATGACTATGATAAAGGATTGTCGAGATCAAACTAAGGAGGAGGTAGATTGGTTTCAAGCATTTTTAATGAACAGCCGAATCCATTCAATGGGTGGTTTTTTAAAGGCTTCAAACATAATCATGACAGAATATCTATTTTTAAAACTGGCTACCCAAGCAAATTTACTTTTGGGTGATGAGCCCATCTCGTAAATGCTCGGGCAATAAACGACGATAGGAAAAACGAATGCCCATCATCTGCAAACATGGCAATGTTATGTCGTCTTTACATCGCATGGCATAAGCTGCTTGGAATGAACATTCATAGCGCATTCAATTTGCAGTCTATTGAAAAATCAGGGCTTATCCTACCGAAACTTGATTCACATGCTAATGCCCTCCGCAGCTTGCAATGAGCGAGTCTAAAGCAATAGACACATGCTATTTTTTGCAAACCCGGGCATTGCAAACGCCCACGTCATGCGTATCGTATGTAAAGCCAAGAACAGCACAGCAGGTACTAATGAATTCAGAGTATCAATTTCACTCAAGCTAATACACAGGATGAAACAAAGACGAGACAACTTGGTCTCTAACAGAAAAACAATGCTACAATCAGTTTGAAAAGGAATGGGCTCTCTTTTCCTTGTGTTTTTTCTCTAATTAAACTTGAGAGAAGCCGAGGCGAGTTTGATCTGGGCTTGTTGGGAACGATGTCTATTTTGATGTCAACCTGGTTGATTGCCTTGTTTGTCAACATAGATTATGAAAGCATTTGCAGCTTACATTTGATTTGCATGTCAATGCGAACTTACCGTTCAACATGTTCGACAAACAACAGCAATGGCTGAGATAACACTATGTTATCTTGGCAATTTTGAGAGCATAATTGTCTCCTCACGCAGAGATCGGCGCGCTCTTCCAAGCTGTCGATGATGATATTTCCTGGTAATGAGACCATTTCCCTCACCAGACGATTTCGAGCCTTAAGGTTCACATTGTCAAGAGCTGCTGAGGCGTCTGATCAAGAGATGCGCGCCGAGCAAGTGGCTCATCTATTGATGGCATCCTAAAGCAGCTCGGCATCAATGTCGACTTGCTGATCTTGGAGGCCCCTGAGCCAATGCACAAAATCGATTGTGTGCATCTCATGAAGGACCGTCTGAAATCGGTAAAAGCGATTGAAGAAGAGTGTATCACTAATGAAACTGGTTTTTTCAAAGACAAACATTCTCATTTGGCTCTGGAGACATTGTGCTGCGCAAAAGAGCTAAATTTGTTAAAATTGTACAAATTCTAGTTGAATATTGCTAAATAAAGAATGGAATTCAGTGGTTACACTGCGTGAGACTAACGCAATTGCTGGTGATACCATATTATACAATGTGATTCATACAGTCCGACTGGTAAATTTTGTCGGTCAAGTTTAAATAAAACTTAATCATAGGAAACGATGCAGCAAAGTAGGTGTAATTCATAGTGCTTAACCATGTTTCAATTAATAGAATCAAAAAATATCTAATAAGCGGCTTTAAAAATTCCAGTTAGCGGATTTCTGAAATCCAAGCAGCAGACTTCAATTGCCAAAAAGCGTTTCTATCAACCTTTCATAATATATCAAACATAAGCAATACACACACACTCTTGAGTCACCAAATTGCAGGCTTCAGTGACACGACTGGATGGGTTTTCTTCTTCCATGAGGTTAATTCGGCACACTTCGCTCTTCACAATAGCCCAAATTGCTCTAATGAATTTAGTTTCAGGGAATAGAGCGGCAGGTATAAAGGACAAACGTTGGCAGCATAATACACATCTTCCAAGTTCAATGCATCTGATTTCAGCTGCTACCTTTTCTATTTAACGGCAGCAAAAAGTTTTTTTTTTTTTTTTTGTATTAAAGTGTATCTTTATTAGCTTTAAAATTTAAGGTCTATAGAGTAATTACAGGCAAGGCCAAGGTGCCAGCTTGAACACTTGCCTAGGAAAGAGAAGAAAAGAGTGTACCATGGTCTTGACAGATCATATTGATAGCAGCAGAAGCTATCCAAGGCTCCTCGTCTATGGCGCATCGCCAATGCCACAAACAAAACACTCCTGATGATACAGAACCAAATGAACAAGTATCTCACAAAAAAGCGCCCGAAAAGCAAAACGCACCTGCTGAAGCAAACACAAATAAACACTCACCCCAAAGCCCGGACGTTTTTGCGTCTAATCACTATCTCTCGGGTAGATAAAGACACATGTTGAAAATATGAATTATTCATCACTGTTAATATATCAATGGCAAGCAATTAGATTAATTTGCTTGTTTGTTTAATATGGTAAATACCTGGTAATCTCACAATGTCTATCACTATATTCTTGGCAATACTTTTATACACATCGCGATCCGCGGCTGAGCGATCTCCAATTACCTTAATTCTTATTAGGTTGAGGGATTCTGAATATACTTACAGAGGTGCTATTCGTCTATTTGACCTCATGATTTGGTAATAAGCAGCAAATAGTTTTAGGCGAGGCAGCTTTTTCTTTATTTACCAGGTATTCTTGTGATTACATCAATCAGAAATGATAAAAGCTTTTGCGTTAAGGCTGTGATGTTCAGTAACGTGATATTTAGTTTGTAGTCATCAAATAGTTATCAATTGGGTTTTACACAGGGAAGCTTATTCTCACAACCCCTCCTGTTACTATAGCAATAGGTCACTGCTTCACTTCCTAATATTGCGTGAGGGCCGTAATCGACTTGCAACTATGGATCTGACTCTTCTACGATGCTTTACGTCTGAATACGGAAGCAGCTGACCATATACAGAAGCACAGTATACTAGTATCACCTGGAATTCCTCGAGAACATGCAAAACACAGTGAAGTCTGGATGAATTGGAGTCGTGTTTTCTCGTGCTAGAGACCGTTTCAGACCGCCAAAATAGCACCAAACAGTTTCTCTCATCCAGCAGTTATTTATCTACACCTTTGCTCAACTTTTTTGAGATCACCAAAAATCGCCTTCAGACCATGAGGTATCCCTCATGGTTTTCATCGAAAATCAAACGATCGCGTTTTTGGCCTCAAAATTGAAGACTTTCACTATGACATGTATCAAATCAAAATTTTTCTCTCTCTTCAGGGCAGCCCCTGAAATCATTTTTATCAAATCTTCATATGCAAAATCTCGATATTTTTACCATAATTCCTATTTCATACTTTTATACAGTGCTCAGTAAGCTTATTCAAAACACTTTTTGTAATTAGCACCATTAGATGCGCCTTGAAAAGTATTACTAGAAAGCTTAAGGGAGTTTGGGAAGGCAGTTACGACTTATATAGTCTAATATTGCGAAACAGTTTTTAAAAAAAAACAAAATCAAGTCGAATTTAGCATATTCTCGAAAATTTTCCGTTCAGCAGCCAGCCAATGAAGTTCGGTCAAATTTTCTTTTTTGGAAGGTGCAGCTTCAGGTACAATTTTGAAGGCAAAATTCATGCCTATTACGCCATTTGTATTGGATATGATTGAAAGACCAAATGATCACTGAAGCCTGGATATTGCACCCATGAATGTGAGTATTTTTGATGCTCGTTGTCCAGATGTTGATATTGAAACCGTCGCTTTTAATCTTTCAATGGCCAACAATTACTGATAGGCTTCATTCAACAATTATACGCTGCAAACGATAATCTTAGTGGTAAAGAATGCGGGCCATGATGCATTATGTTCCTGCTTGATTAGTAAGAAAAGAGCTGTCTTGCTTACAAATTGAACAATGGATGTCTAGCACTAATCCGTGGTTTTTTGCTCTTATGATCAGCTGACCAAATGCGCAATACCATGGTATATATTCGAATTGTTGAGGATACATGATTCAATATACTTGTTAAACTCAAAATGAGCACTTCTCAAGCACTATTCTCACCTATTAAAGTTGGTGCCAACACCCTCAAACATCGTGTCGTTCTTGCGCCATTAACACGTCTCCGAGCCACCACAGAGGCTGTACCCACTGATCTACAAGCCGAATATTACAAACAGCGTGCATCTGAAGGGGGCCTTTTAATCGCTGAGGGCACGGCCATCTCGTCTGTTGCGCGTGCTTGGCTTCAAGCCCCAGGAATATACAACAAGGAGCAGGTGGAGGGCTGGAAGAAGGTGACATCCAGTGTTCATGCCAAGGGTGCTGTCATTTTCTTGCAGTTATTCCACAGTGGCAGAGTTGGATCAAAGCATCTCAATCCCCATCAGGAACAAGTTGTAGGCCCTTCTGCAATCCCTTCTCCTGGTAAAAACTTGCATGGTATCGATTATGAAGTTCCTCATGCACTCACCGTAGACGAGATCAAGGCCATCAAGATTGATTTTGTTCAAGCGGCTAAAAACGCTATTGAAGCTGGTTTTGATGGAGTAGAAATTCATTGTGCAAATGGCTATCTTCTTGATCAGTTCATCAACTCTTCAAGCAATCAACGCACAGACATTTATGGCGGATCCTTTGAAAACAGAGCTCGCTTTCCATTGGTGAGTTAGATACATCTCTAGCTTGATGACACGCAAATTCAAATTGCTCTGCAGGAAGTAGTAGATGCTGTCGTTGAAGCTGTTGCTGTGGAACGCACTGCTGTGCGTTTCTCTCCTGGTAGTGATTTCCAGGGTATGGTCGATGACAACGTCGAAAGAACTTGGGGCTACTTGACCTCAGAGTTACAAAAGAACCATCCTAATCTGGCATACCTGCACATGATTGAATGTCGATCCAGCATCTTTACCGATATTCAAGTAGGTTTAGCCGATACTCTCGAGCCTTATCGTAAACTTTTCAAAGGCCCTTTTATTACTGCTGGTGGCCTTTCTTCTTCTAAAAAATTTGCCGAGGAAATTGCTGAAAAGACTGGTGATTTGATTGCTTATGGTCGTGCCTTTATTGCTAATCCTGATCTCCCTGAACGTCTCCGTAATGGTTGGGAGTTGAACCCTTATGATAGAGATACTTTCTACACCAATGAAGCTGATGGCTATACCGACTATCCCTTTTACAATGAAAAGAAATGAATTGGATCTCAACCCAAGACATGTGCTACACCAAAACACATTGTGAGGTATCCGAATGCATCTCCAATACTACAGTGACTCAGTTCTTGGAGATTTTAATCAGATATGGTTTACAAATTTGGAAAAATAAAGCTTTTATTGCCATTGTTCAGGATATATCTTGATTGATGCAAAGTTGCAGAGACAAAGACTGGTAGAGCCTTGCTATCCATAACACCCAATTGATAAACAATCTCAAAAGACGTTGAAAAAAATAGCCTTTGATATTACAGCACTAGTTGGTTGCAGAAATACTCGCAGAAAATGTAATGAGACATGTAACTGCCTATGTTTCAATGTCAAGCGGCTCCTCTCAAATCATTGGAACTCATACTTTCAATATCGTTTGGTATAAATGCCCCTTGAGCATATATCAAAAACTTCAAATATTATACAATGTCTTAACTAGCTAACATAAAAGCCAGATGTTGTGTACAAATATGTATTATTAAGCATTTGGAATGGAACTAGAGTCTGGATTCTGCTTTGAAATGAATGTCAGATGTAGCTGTGGTACAAAATGTTGGCGGATCAAGTATACATGGCATAAAGACCTTTGCATTGTATTTTAATCAATACATGATTTTTGTATTTCTCATTCAATTCACACCATTGTAAACACTGGCATAGGTCTCGTATAGGTCCAAAATGTGGCTTTTTTATGGCGTCACTGGCAAAGAAAAGAACGTCTTGCCCGTTACTTGTTTTTTTTTGGCTGTTCAAAAAGTATAAATAGAGGTCCAAAGTTCGTCCCAACTCGAATCTTTTTCTTTTTTTTTTCTTTATCCGCTCGAGTTTACCTATTAGAGGATATAAGTAAATGCTCTCACTGGAAGTGTGTATCCACCACCGATTAAGTTCGGGGGATAGGCAATCCACCTTCTGGAAGCACTCGAATTTACTCGAGGCCTCTTGCCTGATGCCCTCGGGTGTTGGGTCTAGTGGGGTTCCGCTTGCGGATGGGTTTCAATTCCCTGCCTTCGGGCCAAAAGATGCAATATAAATGAAAAACTCGATTCAATCAAACAAAGAGGCATAGAAGGCTGGTATTTTATATGCACACAGTTGCTTCACGTCACAGTCGTTCATTAAATTCTTATTTACACAGAGATAAATTTTAGGTATCATAGCACACATGAATGGAGGTAAAGCTCTAACGAGTTTAGTAACAATCATCATGGGAGGCTTCTTGATGACCACTCAGATCTTGAAAACAATCAGATTCGCATCCACAGGGTAGTGGATTTGAATGAAGGATTCACTTACATTTTCACAGAGGTCTCTTTCATAGTTAGGTGTGTTTAAATGCAATTGGGATTTACAGTCGGGAAGCACTGCTTACTTTGTTTGAGATTGACATTCTGTTTGGACTGTACAGCAATCATCTATCAATTGCTGAGCATTATTCAAGAAGGACATTTATTGAACAGCTTGACCAATTTATGCGTATCATGCCAGGAATGCTTTCAAAGGTTGTAGTGCCGTGGAGAGAGTAGCTGATTTCTGAATTGTCTGATTTTGAGCTGATACAGCTACAGCAATGCTGATATGGCGACTGAAACTAAATACACACACTGGAATCAGACATGTACCAGTGATGCACTATGCAAGTACCATTGTTCTCTCGAGAGAATCAGCACCATCCAGATCCAACAGATTGATCCAACAGCTCTTTGAGACAACTGATCCAAGGTGATGCCATGGGTAGTTTTGCGTGCGGCTGTTACTGAAGTTTAATTTGACACATCAATATGCATCCTGCGCCTTAGGTCTCCAAACAGTGCATGTGTTTTTTTTACAGAGATGTGGTATGTCCGGATATAGCGTGCTGCTACCACTAGCTTGATCAAGCACATAGAGATCCACATAAGTGATCATCATACGAGACCAAATGAGATGGCATTGGTTATAAATAGTAAATGGATGGCGGCCATCACCACAGATGTGATCCTCATGTGCCTCCTAAATGAAGCCCCAAAAGTGGGAAATGCTCCAATTTAACAAGTGTGATGATGGGATCCAAACAATAAACACAATAAGCTGACTTGATAATGATGATATGTCAAACCAAGCAATGTTTCACAATAATGCGACGATGTTTTTACATGTCCGTCGTGATCTCAGGAACACAATACAGACAATGTATGATAGGATACAAGAGCCGAATGTATTGTGTTTGTGTGAGAGCGTGTCCACCAGTGTCGCGCCACTTTTTCGACATTTCCCATTCAATGTAGGTTTTGGATTTGAGTGGGGGAGGGCCTTTTTATTAGCGTTTGGCGTACTCGAATGATACCATGCTTCTTGGGTTCTTATTGTATTCGCATCTTATCAGCTTGAAAACGGACATTCATACAGAAATTCAGGTTTTTGTTTAACAGGGCATTGTCGAGACATATCGCTACAATATCCCCTTTTTCGTGGATAGCTCTTCTTTTTCCCGAGTTTTGCTGCAACAAGCTTGGAACGGGGGGTCTTTCTATGGTCCCTGGTTGCATGACTATCTGCCATTATTTTTTATTGTAGCAATATCCAGTCTCTATTGTTGTATGGAAAGATCAATGGAAAATGAGTAAATCCAAAGCCAGATCTGATTCAAAAAGGTGATTCCCTTTTAAACTCTATTTCAATTGATCAGGCTGAGCTATATAAATGGCTTCATTATCAACAGTTTCTCTTTCGTTTCAACTATTTTTCAACAAAAAGGATCCAATTTATCTTGCTTCAACGCTATAAATCCACAGACTCGTATCAGAATGAACATGCATCACATCTTGGCATCACCGGAATCAAGCGCCATTGAGTTGGCTCCTATCAATGAAATGACATATTCTTGTAAGTTGACTGTCATGCTGCACTAGTCATAACTGCACATATTAAACGCCAATGTATAGCCAACAAGCCAGCAAGTCCCAATCATCCTCCTGCGTTTCTTGAACCTGCTCCAATCATTGAAAATTACCGCTGTAATGGCACATCTGTACCTCGCATCTTTTCTGCATTCAGTGCGAATCTGAAAGATGTTCCTTCGCTGGTGCCTTCCTCAGCATCTTCCATCTCTTCTGATGCATCGAATCCTCCCTCCCCTCTTTCCAATGTAAATAGCTTCCAACAACATACTTACAATGATAACACTCCCCAAATACCCTGTCGTCATGCCTCTTTATTACAAACCATTCAACCAAAGCCTAATTGCCCTAGCATATGCCCTGTCGCTCATTCATCTTCTCCGGCCTCCAACTGGTCAAGAAACAGCAATCATGCCATGGTAGATGCCTCGGGGTTACCTTTATCTCCCACTATGATGGCTGCTTCTGCTGCCGCCAATGCTGCTTCTGCTCAAAACCATACTGGCTCTATTGTAGAGAGCACATTCCTCAACTCTCTTAGTTTATCTTCTGATGATGACAATGCGGGAAAGAGACAGCGCCTCAACGATGAAGATAGCAATGTCATGGGTCAAGCTCGTGCCACTGCCACTGCTGCTGCTGCTGCTCCTTCATCAGTCCCTGCCAACCCTACTTCAAGTGAGTCATCATTTGCTCGCGTGTCATTCATGGTACACGGCGTCAAACGCACATGCCCCATGGGTGCTGATCAGCGAATGTTCCTGACCAAGAACGCTCATATCAAGCGTCCTCGTAACGCATGGATCCACGTAAGTTTATAAGCACATGTTATTGCACTGATCCTATACTCACAAGATATGATTAGTTTCGTTGTCATTACGGTCAAGCCTTGAAATCGCAAGACCCAACACTTCGCGCAGAAGAAATTTCCAAGTAGGTTTTGATGACCTGATTTTCCTGTTTTACCTTTTTACCAATCAATTCTATCCTCATTAGACGTGCCTCTCGTCGTTGGGCTCGCTTGTCTGAAAATGAAAAAAAGCCATGGCACGATTTAGCCGAGCAAGATAAACAAGCCCATAAAGCAGCCTTCCCTGAATACAGATACTGTCCAAGAAGATCCAATACTGCTGCTATGATTGCTAGTCAGAATGCTGTAAAGAATCAACAGTAACAACAACAGTAACAATAGCAAGACCAAGTCGCATACAAATTCATTTCTTGGCTATTTAAGCTCTAGCTGGGCTTCTGCATCTTCCGTTTCTCGCACCCGACCCTCCTCTCTTTATCCCCCTCCCTTTTCCACCCCCATTGTTATCATCATGGTGTCATAATTCTGACCATCATTTAGCTCCAAAACTTGTTTTGATACGGCATCTACGTATTTGTATACCAGAATCATTTGAATAAATGTATATCGCATGTTCGTCAAATCCACTACTTTTCTGTGAAACGTGCCTGCCATTGTGCGTTGTTTAATAAAGTTCTGAAAAGAACGATAAGAGAGTCGAATGATCTTCAGTACGAACTCCATCAATGGCCCTCTTATTTCTTCATTACAAATTTGGGAATTTCGAATTAATTTGAAGGTCGGTGATGACAATAAAGGGACGGTAGAGGAAACATGAGAGGAAAACAAGGTTAGTCGATTGATTCAAGTGATTATCCTTGTAATTTGAGCAGCTTATCCTTCAGTGTGCAAAAGCGGAGGAATCATTCAATAGGTCAAGCACAGCGATAACTCTGCTAGTTATGTTATGGCGAGTTTTATATCAACCGGCCTTGCTGTGTCTTTGGAAGGGATTTGTTAAACAACAATAAAATGTAGGGCTTTCTGATGCAACTTGCGAGGGAAATGATCTATTGCTGAGAAAAAAAAAGTACTCTGTTGTTTGTTTAGGGGCTTCCAGACTAGCTTGGGTTGCCGGCACCAACAGAGACTAGAGAAGGGTCTTGTATGCTTGGTTTTCTTGTAAGCTTCAGTTGCAGAGTAGGTTGTGTAGTATGATTATGGTGGAAAAAGTTTCGTAGCGGGAGAAAAAGTGCTAAGGCTCCTAAATGCGTTTTGGGCATGCTGACAGACAAAAAATGCGAGAATCTCTTCAATCGACCAATTAACCGGATACTTCATTTGCTATGTTATACAAAGGTTGTAGGAACTCCATTCTATACTAGTTCCTGATTGCTGAAGGAAGGTTGACTTGTTGAACGATGTATAATTCGTAATAAAGGATCTCGTATTGTCTTTCAATAAGATTCTTAGTTTTAGTGTCTAGCCATTTCTATACGTCCCTTTTCAAATGTCTGTAGAAATCTTTATTACTATGCGTGTTTATGCTTCAGATGGCTCTCTACCTTTTGCTTCGTTTGGGTGAGAACCAACCTGTGCAGCCGATTGCCCTTGCATAGCTTATCAAAATACTGCTACTTTTACTTTGATCCTCCAATTACACATGAAAACCTTTCATAATATCTGTGGATCTGATTCTTATGTGATGCTCTACATCCATATATACGTAGCTACTTCATCTACGGGCAAGCAGCATACTGATATTTCCCCTCTTTAGTCCTTAGTGTCCCTAATACAGCAAAAACTGAGTGCGTTTGAGGTGCGTTTTCTTGCGTTCAAGGCCGTTTTAGATTGTCAGAATAACACCAAACACCTGCTCTCATCTGGCAGTTACTTGCTGATACCTTTGCTCAATTTCTTGGGGACCAAAAAGCAAGAGGTACCCCTCATGGCTTTCATCGAAAATCAAAGGATCGCGTTTTTCACCTTGATAACGAAGACTTTTACTATGGTATATCTTGAATCAAAATGCTTCTCTCGATCCAAAGCAACCCCTGAAATCATCTTTGTGGAACCTTGATATGGAAAATCTCGACATTTTTTCGTAGGGGAGGCGAGCTCCAGGTTTATTTAAAGCCCTTTAAATGTCATACTGAGGGAAAGAAAAGACTGTTGGTGGACCCAATGTCTGCAATGACAGGGAATAAGATATATAATGAACCAAGTTGGGAAAGAAACCTACTACTAATCAGGTGCGACACCTAGAGCAAATACAATTATGCGAATCATCAAAATATTGATAGTTGGATAAGAGCACAAAACACCAAACGAGGACATCAGTACTACGTCAAAAATTCAAACAACTTGCGTTCGCCAGGATTCGAACCGGAATCCTCCAGTTGGCATGCTGGAGTTCTACCACTTCGTCCTACCACCAGGGGCAGGTATTAGGGAGCATCGTATGATCATCATGTTTTACATAATCGAATCTAGCAAAATAGATGAATCGAGTCGAAAAACTATCAAAATTTGTCCAATCTTGAACAGACTGAGAGTTTGAGTTGAAATTAATTTTGGCTTGTTGGGCAGGCTGGCAAACTCACTGCCCTTTTAACCGTGAATGCAATAATAATAGACGCTTTTGAAGCCAATGGAAAGTAGGTAGCAGATCACATAGCACTATTGCTAGCCATGCTATTCTTCTTGCATTCCATGTTTGATAACGTCAGTCTATCAAAATACTTGTTAGATCAACTTCTTTCTTTCTTGAGGCTTTGAAAGTGTCTAGGGACTATACATTTATTATATTATGCTATTTATACCTTTCTAAGCTTGGATACAACGAAACTGAACTCTTGCCGTTCGTTTGAGCCAAAAAACAGCATATAAAAAAGTAGCGTTTTGGGGGGGGGAGGTTTAGATTCGGTAAAAGGCTTATTTCACCCGTCATTATGAATATAGCAAGAATTACAAAATGGATGCTATACATCTCTGTATGATAGTAACGTTAGTCGTTTTTGCATTCAGAATAGTCCAGCCAGAGTAGTCAGTATGCAAAAAAAAAAATTACACTGACAGGAAATGCTTGACATGGCAAAACGACCTTTAGCTTTATGTTTCCAATGTTGCAAGTATGTATACATGCATCACTTTTAAAGACGTTTTATTTGAAATAAAAACATGCTGGTGTAGAGCCATTTCTTACACAGAACAAGCTTAGTATTGAACCTGATCTTCATCGTATAAAAAGACTGTTAAAAGAGCAAAAGCAGGTGGGTATTTGATTTCCCCTTGTTTGTAGAGACACACAAAAAGCAGGCTGAATATACACAATGCTATAGAGGCAACTGAGCCGTTCAGCTGTGTGGCTGAACAGAAATAGAGATTCAACGACCAAAAATAAGCCTTTTCTCCATTTTGGTATATTTACTGTTGATTTATCGTCTAAAAAAAGATATTTTGAACTAGTGACACAATGTGCTATGATATCTTGTCTACTGCATACACACACTGCGGTATCGTTGAGTGTGTAACGATACGTCTTATCAATCATCATTTTGTATATAAAAAGAGATGTGATTTTGTGTTTTCCTGCTTCTTCATCTGCTCTATACAACTCAAAATGGTCAATTCTCTATCTGTTCAATCTACAGTGGCATTAGTGATGGCTGTTGCCTCCATCTCTGCCAATGCTCAAAATACCACTTCAACATCCACTTCTACTTCAAGCGGTGTTCCTGCTCAAGTTTCACCTGCATGGCTCTCTGATATCACACCTATCGCTGGTAATGTCAAGGCATATCCTTCAGGCACAAATGCTTCCATTCCTACTGGTCCTTTATCTACTGTCAACTTCTCCACTACGGCCTATCCCGAAGGCTGGAAGTCCCCGTCAACGACATCTGCTGAAGTGCAAGCCGTCATCAAAGCTCTTGACTGGTCAAAGGTAAGGCATCAGTCTTTCTGCTTGAAAGATGCATGTGTCTAACATTTCTATTAGGTTCCTTCAAGCGCTGTTCGCAAGGCTGATTCCAAAGGCGATCTCACCATGACTGGCTACGATGCTTCGACTGACCCTGATTGCTGGTGGAGTGCAACTGGTTGTGTCAAATCAAAGAATCCCTCTGTTCCTGCTGATGCTGCAGCATGTCCTCAAGTTGGAGACTGGGGTTTGGTAATTAGCTTCAGCTGATAGTATCCATTCAATTAAGTTAACTTTTTTAATAGACCTACGATGACGGGCCTCTTACTGCTGAAGCTGGTGAATGGGCAGAACCCAATCTCTATGATTTCCTGGCCAAGGAAAACCAAAAGGCTGGTTTGTTCTGTATGTATTACTGAAGGAGACACTCTATAATACCAATTGACTAATGCATTTCTCTCAGATATTGGCTCCAACGTCATTGCTGCTCCTGCTGCTGCTCAAAGAGCGTTAGCTGATGGCCATACTCTCTGTGTTCACACATGGTCTCATCCTGCCATGACATCTCAGTCCAATGAAGCTGTAGTTGCAGAGCTGTACTGGACCATGAGAGCCATTAAAGAGGTTACTGGTGTCACTACTAAATGCTGGAGACCCCCCTATGGTGATGTCGATGATCGAGTGCGTGCCATCGCATGGCAAATGGGTCTGACCACTGTGTTGTGGGATCTCGACACAAATGACTGGAACATGCCAGGTGATGGTGGAGGAAACCTCTCCCCTTCGACTGTTGATGGTTACTTCGAATCCTGGATTGCTGCACGCAAGAACGGCACTGACAAGACCGGACACATTGTTCTTCAACACGAATTAAACAATGCTACTGTGTCTATGGCCGAGAAATGGCTCCCTCAAGTCAAGGAAGCTTTCAATGTTGTCCCTTGGAATCAATGCTTCAACGTTTCACACCCTTACTGGGAAACATCTTTCACATGTAAGTTTTCTTTAGCTTCTAATGATTTAAATGGACCAGCACTCATGATCCCATCTTTCTCATAGATCCTACAGCCGAAAATCCCAACCCTACTGCCAACACAACAACGACTGCATCATCCTCTGCTGCCGTCACTGCTCCTTCTACTAGCACAGTAGCCTCCTCAAAGCCATCCCCTTCAAGCAGCGGATCCTCAGCCGCTGCAATTGCTGCTGCAGCCAGCGCAGGAACTCGTAACACTGTTACTATTACATCAGTTCTTGGCATGGTTGTCATTGCTGCTGCTGCTGCTTACACTTTCTAATTTACACATCATTATTTATATTTTTTTTTATATACTTTTATAATAAAATCATCATTGTATACTATCCAAGACACACACAAAAAAAATGGGGTCAATCATGTAACCTTCCACACAATATTAGAAAACGGGGTTCAGGGCATAAACGATTAGATGTAAAACACGATGAGTTTTAAGCCAATGCTGATCAGATCATTCATTTCAAGAGGAACTCGGCCAATTCTCCCTCATTATTTGTTGTTGTAAAAATAAACAAAATGTGCCTACTTGTTGTATGTCAAATGTCTTGTTTACATGGAGGGAATCAGGGGAACATTTGCCCCAATTCAAGAGTACTCACGCGAATACAGTTTGCATGTCGTGCAACTGCGACTGTACCACACTACCTTAAAATACAGAAAATAGATAATTTTAGCTGCAAATGGGCATTAAATCCATCATACAATAAGAGAGCTTCATGCCAATTGTGATTTGATACCTGGCCAATATCCCCAGAGTGTCTACAAATATCCTGAATCTATTTAAAGGAGAGCGGCCGCTTCCAAGATATAGTTGCAATGAGGTCCATCATTTTCCGCTCAACATCTCTACTATGAATACAGCATATTGCCCCATTTTTAGATATATTATACTAAAGAAAAACGTATCACAAGTGCTTATTGATGTGCAACGAGCATACGCGTTCGCAACAAATCCTGTTTCAAAGATTTTGCCCTATTCAGTCAAATACTGCTTGTTCATATCAAATGTACTGATGAGGCGCATCAAATGAAACCTTTTGTGCAACTGCCAAGATTTGAGGCACTTGAGTTTAAAGACCAACATGCTCTAAAGCTTATGTTCGCTGTAGTGTGTCGATCACTACACAGCTAAACTGACAACCTATGGATGTTTCAAACGGTTATCATGGAGTTGTCATGGTACGCAAGAGTAAGTAAATCAAACACAACGTCATTGATCAAAAGTTATTTATATCAGTGGTCGCCTATGGACTCATGTTGTTGTTGTTGTTTGCTTCCAAGTGTCGTGGAAAGCGGAAATAATCGTAACGCACCAGAGAAATTGCAACTCCAAATAGACAATAAATGCCTCATCCATCAGACAGCATCAACCTGATAACGTGTGTATGTAAAAAGTAAAGCAGTTTATTAACAAGTAGAGTGTATATGATAAAATTCGAGTTACTGACGGATAATCTCGACAGAAAAGAGATTAGGGCATTTCAATGGACGTCTTTCTTCATCCAGATCAAACTTTTTAGAGTTCACCTTTTTGTCTAAACTATCAATGACAGACATAACAGCAGGTGCGTCTACGAGGGGTGAGTACTTTTCAGGCAGAGTGATACGCAGATGCATTGCTGGATAATCAGTAGCATCTTCATTCTCAATTTCATCATCACTATTTCCGTATTCTGAATCAGAGTCATCACTGCTACTGTCACTGCTATCACTGCTGCTGGAGGAATCATCGTTGCTATTTTCACGGCTCTTGGAATGAACAATGGTTGTAAACGATAGCCCACTCTCTATGAGACCCACGCCAGGATGTAAAGGAGATACTGCGAATACCAACTCCATCAATCTTCCAACATATTTACATACAGTGACACCCCTTCGTCCAACCATGGCCTGAATAGCATAGAAAATGGGATCAGGCACTGCACCACCTTGTCGGTAGGCCAACAAGATAGCAATGATGGCACGCTCGCGATGACTGAGACCAGGCACATTGGCTAAAGGACCACCGGCGAGAGGCATATGGAAAGCTACGAATGCTCGAGTTTCCTTGGGATAATGTGAAGTAAGGTTTGATAGATGAATAGCAGCAGGCAGTAAGCGATGAAGCTGCAGTGGATGGAGTGGATCAAGATATAATTTGGGTAATGCATTAGCCAAAATAGCATAAATAGCGTCGAATTCCTTTGGTGATAATGTGAATTCGGATTGTGCAGTGTAAGCCTTGACGCCTTCGATAAGAGGGTCCTTTTGTTTTTCTTCAGCAGACAGCAGCTGCCAACAATATCCTAAACGAACGCCTCCCTCACTGAAATAAACTCGTCTAATTTTGAATACCTCCAAGATGGCGCTGACCAAGAAGCAAGATGCTGGAATCATGCCTGCACGTCTTTTTGATACGCGGAACACTTTGAGTTTCTTCATCAATTCATGCGGATTTTTATGACGGTAATGCTTTGCCAACTCCTTGAGCTCTTTTCCAGTGACAGAATAGCCGTTGATGATTGGGATAGGATACATGTGTTTGCGGTTTGTGCTTCTCTTGGGGAACAGCGTTTCCTGAGCATTGACAGCCATTGACAGGTACCCTAATGCTCTGAATCCACCGCCACTCATGTATACCTTGTAACCGTCTTTATGGGCAAGTACATCTGGAAGTTGTGCCTGATCGTAGGCCTTTTTAAGCTCAGTGACCACTTCATGGTACAGAGCTTGTACGTCCTTTTCTGATTCACATTTTGCCAATCTTCTCTTCAAAGCCGCGGCACCGTAAGGCATTGAAACAGGATGTGGCGAAACACGGATACCATCGTCTGTTGTTGTGTCGTTTTTCAAATTGTCGTCTGGAATCGATGCGGTCATGACGTAGCTGACTTCCACAGAACCACCTCCTAGGTCCATGGTCAATCCATTGACGTGATTGAATGAGCCTGTCAAGATTGATGTGTCAGTCCCGTGCTCCTGTAGCCAACAAACATCCCTACTCAGACTTACCTACAATACCGGAGGCTGAAATCAGTGCTTCTTGTTGTTTAGATAACAAAGATACCGTCCATCCTGTAGCTTGATAAATTCTGTCGAGAAACTCTTTTGAATTTGCTGCAATACGGGTGGCTTCTGTTGCAATAACGCGAACATTTTGTATCTCGACCTGAGCGTCTTGACACAGCTTTTTGAAGCGCAGGAAACTGGTAATAACCTCGTCAATCGTGTCTGAGGGTATCACTCTGTCATCGCCTTGTGCATCAAATAAAGCAATAGGGGCTCTTTCTTCGTAGGCTACTGGTAAATGACGTGCAAGTGCGCTTACAATACCAAAACGGATGCCATTTGATCCCATATCAACTACACCAAAAGGTGCCTTGATGGACATTGGGTCTGCCATGTGTGAGTGCTTAGTAAAAAAAAAATATATATGAAATGAAAGAAAAAAAAAAAAAAGGAAAGAGACAAAACATTTCATCATCATCATCACTATATTTGTACAAACAGAGAGATGTTTGCGGCCACCTTCCGTCCACTTTTCTTTTTTTAGCTCGCGTCCACCTCCCGCCCGCTTTATATTGTTGCTTGTGCGTCCACCTCACTTCCATCCGTGTTCTACCAAAACACTTTTTGTTTAATTAGCCATTCATTTCCTTCGTGATGTAGAACGGTTGAGAGCAAAAGTGTGATGATCTTTTATTAGTAGTGAATAAAACGAAGAAGCAAATTCGTTGCGTGAGGAAATCAGGCTCTTGGCAAGAGACGCAAACAGATTCGATCAACGAACGCTGTGGACTTTTTCTGGCATATCCGAGCACCTCAAAGTCATTCATCTTTAACCCTTCTATGAACCTTTCAAATCGGCCTTGGTAGTTGCCAATATTTGAGCTAAAAATACTATAAACATAACGTCAACACAAAGTATTAGGCTATTTTCTTTTCCTCAATCAGTCTATGTTTACAGCAATATATACGTCGCTCAACTCGACGGCCTGAGTCCATGCGCTTCCTTGATATCTGAGCCTTTAGAAAATGTGCACCGTTTTTTGTTGCGAAATATGTAAAAGCTGCAGGTTTCTTTTTTTTTTTCATATAAAGTCGTATATTGCGTTGTTATGTTAAAAATGCCCTCTGAAGATACTTCCTTTCGTTCATAAACCGCTTCCTTATGAGGATCAGTAGGGCTTTACAAAAAATTGTGAATCAGGAGGACGAGAAGCCAAACCAGGATGATTGCGAAGAGCCTTGAAGCCCTGCACTGGACATACTTCCATATCGGACGCATGAGGATGGATCGTACAGGGCTTGATGATGCGTCGTTTGCGACGAGTCTCCTTAAGAGCCACGGCTTGTAAAGTAAGACAGCCAGTATCCGTGATAAAACAGGAGTTATACGGGGTTCGAGCCAAGTCAGAAGGTCGGAGGAAAGCCACCATAACAAGCAGAAAGACTAACTTTTGTTGCAATAACTTGATAGAAGTAGCAGTTCAGGAAGCAATGGAACGGGCATAGGTCAGCGTGGGGGAGATGTCGATTGTGGGTCGGTGCAAAGGGACGGGAGGTGCTGGTTTTATCATGGACTCTATGTAAGAGTTAATCAGATCACTTTCACATGTACCTCCTGGTTCGTCATGAAGGTGAGCTACGGCAGTCCGTACAGTTTTCAGTGTAGAGACCTGTAAGTGGTAGCGGCTGCGTATATCCGATAGAAAGCTGACAAGCTTTACGGGTGTGAAGGGGGTGAAAGAAACACCATTCTTGATAGCCCATTCCAGAAAACGAAGCTGGCGCTTGCAATGGCTTCGATTAGTCCGAACAAGCACTGGAAGCACAGACTGAGCAGTTTTCCTCTGCAGCTAGTCGCATAACATAATTACTTTCAAGCCTGAGCAACTAAATGTCTTTTCTACAGGTACGTGTACTATCAATCAAACCAAGCCAAAGCCAACATAACGTTTAATATTATGAATAAAGCGTAAAATGTTTATTAAGTTGAATAAGATGCAATGCAGCAAATTTATGTATGTACATGATGATATGCGAAGGAGGATAATTTACAATTGTGGGGTATACTTAAGCGGAACTGCTTGAAGTAAGCCGGAAAGAATCCTCATTTTCATCATGTTGTTGACGAGCGGCAATAGCCTCACGCACAACTTCTAACAGAGTATCGACACCTTGACGGTCGATTTGATGGTGCAACACCAGACGAGCCTTGGTACCCATACCACCCATCTTGATGTTGCGTTCAGCCAAAGCAGGAATAAGATCACGTTCAACTTGAATACCAACGCGCTTGGTGTCAATAAAGACCATGCTGGTGTGGGTAGGAATTTGAAGATCGATACCCATTGCAACCAACTCGTTTGCCAAGTATTTAGCGAGCTTGTGCGTCTCCTTCATGGTAGGAACAATGTGATCAATACCGTATTGAGCGGCAACAGCCATAAAACCAGCTTGTCTCCATCCACCACCAAAGAGCTTACGATTGAAGCGAACTCGGTCAATGAACTTGGCAGAACCAACGACCATAGAGCCAATAGGAGCACCTACACCCTTGGACAAACAGAGAGACATGGAGTCGAACAATTTACCGTATTCTTTGAGAGAGATACCAGTTTCTTGAGAAGCATTCCAGAGACGGGCACCATCTAAATGCATAGCAAGACCACGGTTGCGAGCCAAAGTGGAGATTTTAGCCATCTCTTCGTAAGGGAAAATCATACCATTGAGGGTATTTTCAAGAGACACCACACGAGTAGGAGCAGAGTAGATATCCTCGCCCAAAAGGTTGTTTTCAATCTCTTCAGCAGTGATGTGAATACCATTGGCACCGATCACAGGAGAGACAGAGGCACGAGAGTGAACAGCGATACCACCAGCTTCCCACAAAAAGACATGGGCACGATGATCACAAACGACAGAGTGAGGAGGGGTCACCAAATGAGTACGAAGAGCCAACTGGTTTGTCATTGTACCACTGGCACAGAAGAGAGCAGCCTCATGACCAGTGATTTCAGCCATGTAGTCCTGGAGATCATTGACAGACTTGTCTTCCTAATGTTTATTTTACATTAGTATCCAAATGTTTACATGTATACACACAACATTTAACTTACCTGGAATACATCATCATTACGGGAGGCATTCTTCATGAGATCAAACATCTCATCCGTGGGAGCAGTAACCGTATCGCTTCTAAAGTCATAGAGCTTAGCCTTGGGATCAATGAGTTTGTGCTTGTCAGACAGCAATGAGGAGGTATAGTAAGCTTGAGGGGCAACTGTAGTTGAAATCAAGCGACGAGACACTGGAGATGAGCAGTAGGGGGCAGCAACGGCAAGCAAGTTTCTAGCAAAGGACATGATATTACTATAAGAGGTTCCACTCTGTAAAAAAAAAGTGTTTATATGGTTCCACTCTGTAAAAAAAAGTTTTTATTTAGTAATTTTTTTTTTGCCAGGTATTTATATGATTTCAAAAGTTTTTTTTTTTTTTTTACAGATGTCTTTGATAGTGACGGGTTCAGTCTGTGAGTGGTTCCTGATGTTGAATATCGAGTGAAAGCAGTCAGTTACAATGACTCAGATTCGCAATAGATAAAAGGTCTGGAAAAATTTAGCAGGCTTCCAATCATAATGACAAGGTTTCTCTGTCATTTATATATTTAGCGCATTTGATTTCTAATCGAAAGGTTGCACAGCATGTAGAGCAGTCAAGCACACGCTCTTATAAAAGATACATTGCATTCCCGAAGGGAGCAGCTGGGTACAATTCTCGCTTAGGCTTGTGAATGAGGGCTTTTGCAATCCAATGCCGTTGTATGGAAGGTTTCTGTATTGCAGGTGGTATGCATCTGCTCTATGGCTTTGACATCAGTTGCCAAATATCCGATGCTGGAGGACAGGCAATGCCACCAAAGTGCTTTTATTCAAATGGCATGTCAGTGGCGTGCTCTGCATTTTATTTGGTAGCTTTGATTGCAATAGTTGTTGGGACTCAATCAACATTTTACCAACCGAATGTGTAAGCATGTTGGATGATTCAGCAATTCGTTGTCTAGTACTCGCAATAATCATCAGGAAATCTATGGAATCTTGATTGATGTAGATTGTGCTGAATGGTTCTATTCAATGATAGATTTTTCAGTCTGATGAGCTTCCCAGGGCTCACTAATGTCAATATTGGATTATGAGCTCTTTCTGGAAACAGAGCTTATTAGTTTTTTTGTCTGTATGTTCTACCTGCTAGCATTTGTTTTCATTTCTGTCGCATCGTCGGCATATTTTTTCGATTGAATATCATTATTAGAGGGAAATTCATTTCAATAACGGTACACGTTGTGACCAAGTAAAACCCTTATTTGACCAATATAACGTAGCCATCTCATTTCGGCCCAAGAGCAACGTTTATATGGACGATCTTTAAAAATAAGGGCATCTAAAGCATCAAATGTTAATGTTTGCAGCTGGTGCATTGGTAATTCCATAAATTCTAACGTATTCCCAGTATGTTTGAAGGAAATAAAGTATTGTATTGCAAGTAACCACCATCTGCATATATCCACTTGAACTAAACAAATTATATGTATTGCCTAGCTTGCTTATCAGGTCATCAAATCAACTAACAAATGGCTAGAGACTTGAGAACATCGTAAAAGCACCAAGCAAATGAACTGTTGCAGCTGCTGGATGAGGGATCTCCAGAGAATAGTATTGCCATTCATAATTAAAAGGTAGCACGTATATTAACAGTCTCTATACACCTTCAGGTGCAAGAAATCTAGAAAATGTGTATGGCACCAAAGTTTACGTGACTTACGCCTTCCTTCTCTTGAAAGTGTTCTAAAACAATTTAAAATGATCATTATTACAAAAAAAAGGCCAGGTTGTAGCCTATAGTATGAGCTCTGTTTTGGTACTATTCACTATGCAATTCGCTTCTATTAGCGTTCAATTTATTGATTCTCTTCATGGATTGAAACATGAGATTTCTCAGAGCTACTGCTACTAAAAATGGTTTCAAGTACCGACATTTTGTTTTCGGGTATAAACGATGAATCTGCCATCAATTTGCCAAAAAAAATCTTTCTATCAAGGGATTGCATTCCAAATGCTATACAAAAGTGAAGTAGCACATTAATAGGTTTAAGTACTTTTTCTAATGCTCTATCGAATGGTACTAAGTGCTTCTATATCTCTCAGCAAAAAAAGGTTCTTAATCGGAAAAAACCAAAAATGCTTTTTTTAGTCGAAAAGTCGAAATTGGTACTAAAGAATACCCAAATAAGCAATATTATATGCTCGATTGGACTTTTAGCTTTCGTTTTTACTAATACATGCCATGATAAAAATCTCGTTTTTGGGGTGTAAACCGCGACCGTTTGATTTTCAAGAAAATTTATGAGGTATCACTCATGAATTGAAGAGGTTTTTGACCACTCAAAAAAAAATTAAGATAAAGCATCAGCAAGTAAGCAGAAGTCGAGAGCAGCCATTTGGTACCACTCTGACAATCTAAAACGGTCTATGAATGGAAATATAAGCATTTCAATTTCATCAAGCTTTGCTCTGTTTTGGTCTATTTGCGGCTCTAGGGTGATGAATTTGACGTGGTCCGTAGATTAAGTATGCTGCATTCATTGGTCCAGATGGTTATGTCTTGTGTAAAGCTGATTGTGTGATCTATGGTTTGGTTTTGAGATGCAACATTAGGCTAAATAGCGCTAAATGCCGCTGGTAGAGCAGTATACCATCGCTCATGAAAGTAATTCTGGCTGCTCTGTGTCTGGTTTTAGAGAATTTACGTGCTACTCATCTTTCAAACTGCCAGATAGTATGTTTTGCATACGGCATGCCGTTGAAGCATGCAATGGAGGTTTGTACAGTATATAAGATGGCAACATAAAGCTGGTCATAAGTAAATACAGGACTTGTGTAAGATCTACAGCGACTTTTTTGAGATGTTGTCATTGCAAAAGGCTCGCTTGTAACTAAAGCGCCCAAAAAAAGTATTTGGGTTAAGCAATTACCCTTTCAATTCCATGATCCCCATTTAATCAGCATCGCAATCATCATTATCATCAACAGAAAGGGCATTTAGGTCAGCCAGTAGCAATGCCGCCGCCAAAATTAATTCAACCTCAGCTTATTTTTTTTCTGCTCAAGATTGGACAGATCTCGCCTTTTTTCGACTTCTTTAATCTATCTTTTGGCATTCGACTATATGAACTGTGATGATCACCCTACGCTTCCTAATACATTCTTGAAGTACTTTTCAAGGCGCTTCCGACGGTGTTAACTGTAATAAGTGTTTTGATTGAAACTATTGAGCAATTCAATAAAATTTGAAATGAGGTTTTTAGCGAAAATAGCCATATTTTGTATATGAAAGCCTCATAACAGTGGTTTCAGAGGTTGCTCTGGATCGAGAGAAACATGTTAATTTGATATATGCCATAGTAAAAGTCTTTATTTTCAAGGCGAAAAATGCGATCCTTTGATTTTCGTAAAAAAACCATGAGGGGTACCTCATGCTTTTTGGTCGATTTTTGGCCATATTTTTTTAGGTCTTCAAAAAGTTGAGCAAAGGTGTCAGAAAGTTACTACTACTCAAGTGCAATTGTTTGGCGTTATTCCGGTGGCTCAGAAAGGTCTACATGGCAAGATATGAAGGCTTGAAAACTGTCCAATTTGGTTATGTTTTGCTTTATGGCTTTTATTTACCCGACACGAACCACATCTTTAGTAGCTAAAGTCGTCTGGAAGGGCAGTTCTGCAACCTGTGCAGCTTGTAATTTCAACAGGAGACATATTGATTTTGTAAGACTAATTCATGCGAATTTTGATGCCCTATGTTGCTGGTAAGCTTATTATTAACAATGCAAATGAGAACCCGAATTTGCTGCTTGAACACTATGGTTATACACCTTTGCTTGGCTACGGTAAAATTGATTAGGACTAATATTACCAAATGTTGAATTAGATGCAATATCACTACACTTGATGGCGGTGTCACCCTGCAGGCTGTCGCCGTAGACAATTCAAATCAGTAATAATAAAAATCAGTTATATAGATAGATTTTAAACAATTAATTATTAATTTAAGGGATTAGAAATCGAATTTGCTGCTTAGATACTATGGTTTTGCATATTCGCTTGGCAACAATTAAGCTCTCGAATAGATCAATGCTATCAAATGCTGGATTAGACGCCTGATTACCTTGGCTTGTCTATTTTTTAAAAACATAGTTTTCCAGCATATATAGTGACGATATAGTGAAGATTGAAATAATTTGGTTTTGGTACATCAGATGGCATAACTATTGTCAGTAAAACTGAATACCAACCGTAAATATTTTCTCATACAAACAATCTTTGCCATTACAGCAATACATGCAAAGAAAAAGAGAGGAAAACACGAGCAAAATATCATGAACATTGTAAAGTTGTTCATTTCATAGAGTTGAGCCATTCATCCATACCCAAATCAGACTCAAAAATCGGCATCAATGACCCGGAATTACACTGAACACAATACAAACATTCTTTTGTTACCAAAAATAGGTTCCGTCGTCATTTGAGACAGGCTGTTGCTATTTGAATGTACCCAAATTTGCATCATGACAGCAATAGGCATACAAATTAAGCCCAAATTATAGTAGCAATAAGAGTATAGTCTGGACCTCAGTAGGCGGATGACTTTAAACAGTGCTAATCATTGCAATGCCAATGATTAGTTGGCGTCAAAATAATTTTAAAAGATGATCCCAAGCGCACAATGGTATGCATACAAAGATCCATCCTCGTAAATGCAAATAGACATACATCAATTAAAGTGGAATTCCACTTTTACCGAGTCAGTTTGTGATACATACATGCTCGTATCACATACATTTGCGGTATATATCTAAGAAATAGTTCAGTATGGTGCAATTTTTTATCTGCTGGTCGATCAATTTGCATTATATTAACAGTGTAGGACATGTACTACATGTCTAAAATGTAAGCAGGATGAGCAGTAGCACAATTTACAGGATGTACTGTATGTCAGTGACTAATAGCAATGTCCACCAAAACAGCATTTGGCCTTGCAAACAAGTTGCGTTTGAATGTCAAGGACGATAATTATTCGAAATTGTGCTGTTGTACATTTCACAAACACAAACCTTAAAACAACATGGAAACACAGACAGTTAGTTTACATCAACCGTTGTTTCTATCATGAAACGGGTAATATCTTCTCTATTTACAGCAACGGCAGTCAATCAACAGACTGAATGGTAAATGATGAAATGTTTACACTTGTATTTTCTATCTTTCTGTTATGTAATCTTGTGTGTTTCGATGATCTTTCATGTCAAAGTTACACGATGGAGTTTATATATTACCAAGATGTGTATAATGAAGACGAGCCAGAGAGAAGAAGCACATGAATGATTAGCAACATTTCTTGGAAGCAAAGATTCCTGGGTACGGCTGATACATCTACAAGAGTCCAGAATGCTTTAAACAATCAATACATGTACAAACATAGCCAATGTCCCTTTGAACCCTGTTCAAGCGATCAAGATATACTCCTGAAAGGTGCTGAAAAAGGAAATTTTCGTAGAACGGTCTTGATTGGATTTATTTGAGCAAGGTATTCCACTGCTGAACAATGTCTTTTCACATTGTTGGTCCTACTCTAGGTTTAAGAAGAGTTCTGTTTTTCTTCATTCTTCTCTTTCGTCTTTTGCTCTTATTACATATATCTTACATGGAGTGTATCCCGCACGAAAATGCAGCGCCTCATATTCAATGGATATATGCAAGTAGTTGATGAACGTCAGCACAATGCCTCTATGCTAATCTATAGAATATAGACTCTCTTCAGATCTTGTGTGTACGGCTATGCTGATGCAATGAGTATCTTGTTTGGTTATGCATCCATCTTTTGCTGGTTGAATGCGCAAGTTCCGTAAGTTGCTCCGGATCAATGTGATGTATCCACATGGGTCTCATTTCTTTACAGCCAAATGTTAGAAAACTACAAACTGAAATCGGCAGATGGCCTAAGTCTGTATCTGTTGTACTTTTGGCTTGCTGGTAAAGCCTTACATCTTTAGCATGACCTGGATCGGATTTAACCAGTGATTTTCATGTAGGCGATCTTGGAAACATGTTCAGTTGCGTCTTGAATCATCAATTGCCTTTTCAAACCTATCTGGCCACCTATTTCGTCTGCACAGATCTTATATTGCTCTATCAATATTTTCGTTACTCAAGCAACAAGGTCGAGTTGTGCACCGATAAATTCAGCACACCACATGACCCATCAGTTGAGCATGCCGACGAGGAATTTGTATTTCCCGAGGAATACGCATGCTTGGAACTGACAAAAACGGCGGAAGATGTTAATTACGGAACCATGAATAGCAATTCAAGCAGAAAAACTTTATTTATGGGTTTATTGCTTTTCGGATGCAGATTTGGCTTTGGATCGACAACAGCACTGTTATCAACCACAGCTAATTCAAGGGGTTCTACAGCTATAACAACAGCAGCAGCAGCAGCAGCAGAAGAGGTGTTACTACAAACGCCCCTTACATTGGGTTGGATGCTGGCTTGGGTGTGTACCACATTTTATATTGTGTCTCGTGTACCACAAATCCACAAGAATCACAAAAGACATTCTACACAGGGCCTTTCACTAGCATTGTTTAGCTTTGCTGTGGGTGGTAATGTTACGTATGCATTGAGTATTATTTTACACCCAGGCCGGACAAGAGAGAGCTTTATGGAATCATTGCCTTATCTGTCAGGAAGTCTAGGCACCTTGTTTCTGGATGCTGTAATTTTCGGCCAATTCCTTTCATATAGAAAGAACACCGCTGTCGACAATACAAACGCTCATATGGCTGTAACAAGAACATCATCGCTATCAAGGCCGCTTACCTTCAATTCCCAATAATCTCCATCATATACCACACACACATACACACACACACACACACACACATACACACACACACACACACACACATACACGCTTGTAAATAGATCACTCACTCTCCTTTCAAATCATATAAACGATTTGGTACTCCTTGAATCCGTTTGTCCCCCCCCGTCTTTCTCCTATAATATAAGTCTATTTTTATGTAAATTAATTGATAAAAGACAGAGCTGCAATTTACCGAGCAGGATCTGGAGAGCGATCAAATTTATGCTGAAATGTTGCTAAATTCTGTTTGTTTCTTTCTTTTCTTTTGCTTCTTTTATCGTCATTAAACAACATTTGGCTATATAAATAACCCCTCTTATCCCCTTTTTCATGTGTTTTTTCTATATAGCACATTGATTTCGAGCATTTCCTTTCACTTTACTCTCTTTCCTATACTTTGTCATGACCGTATCCAATCTCTCAACAAAACTAGAAACGTCCATCATCCAAATCATTAGCTGTCTTGGGAGCTATGCGCCCAGAAAACTCACCAGATTGCTCTGGACATTGATGGTGACCATTGGGTTGCTGTTCACTACACACTTTCTGTACGCTTATCAGTTTAGCCACACTGCAGTCTCTTCCACGGCCAACATTCTGATATCTCAGAGCCAAAAGCAGCAACAGCAACATCCATTCTATAATGTGGATTCATTAATTAGAGGTACATATAAATCAATTTCCAATGCCCGAGAAACATGTAATAACCTGTTCCATGAATGAGCAGAGACCATGCCGTACGCCAAATCAGCAGCAAAGAGCACGTTTACAGGCCACAATGCGTCCTTTATCGATAGCCTGCTACGGCGCAACAATGAAATCATGCTGCACAATCAGGATCTAGTGGCAGATATCACTGTCATTTTGCATTATTCAGACAAAGAAATGTCCAGCATTCAAACTCAAATTCAATCCATTCTGGCTCAATCCGTGCAACCCAAACAAATCTGGATTCTATGCCGTTCCAACAAACCCAAGAAATCACTAGAAACCAAGTTTGGTATTCGCTCAACCACATCTGCTGATAAGATCAAGGTTAAGATTATACCCTATGACAGTGAGCAAGAGCAACAACCCAACAGTGAGGTCATGCTGGTGAAAGACGCTCCATGGCTGTTATTGCAACAGACCATCCCTACTGCCTACGTCTGGATACTGGAGCCCAACGCCATCCCCAAACCAGAGTACCTCTACTACACCTACGGCCTGATGAATACGGAAGAGTACAAACACAGTGTCATAGGCTATGACACCTCCCTGTTCTCAACAAAGAACACATCCCCTCCTCCTCATGTCACACAATGCTTGAGATCTAGTCAAATTGGAAAAAGTCGATCCGTGGACATGATACATAGTTCTTGGCTATTACGTACGCAATGGCTTGGTAGTTTGAGAGCAGATTCCAACACCAACGCCTTGCAATTACCATTGGGATATTTTGTCAGCAGCACTTTGCTCTACAGAGCTGGTATCACCTCTGTTGTGATACCTTCCTCCACTAAATTACTCCTTAGCTTCTCATGTCAAAAATGGCTTCAAGCCGGCGGTCCTTCTCATATTCTCAATTCGGTTTATCCCAACGTGGCAGAACAGGAAATGCTATATCAACAAACGCCAGCGAACCGCGTATCTATTCTGCTTGCTGGGTCCGATCACGCAATTGCCTTGCTTCCATTGATATGCAGATTGCTCAACGGCAATAAACAATATAACGTGCATATCATCTTGACCAATGGGTTAACGCACCACGCTTTTCAAGATACATTAGTTCATAACCATTGCACGAATAGCCATCATGCTACGATCCATGATCTTACCTTGGCGTACAACAATGGTGTATACTATGACGACAGTGGTAGCACTGCAGAAGAGGAAACAAATTACATTACGCCCACTGCCAATCTATTGCACTTTATCCAACCTAACGTCTTGATCCATATCAAAGAACCCAGCACTTTTATTTATCGCTCCATCAAATCACTGGCTGAACTGCATGGCATCACTTCTATTGGCTTACCAGCACAAGACGTTCCTCATGCTCTCTGGATAGCTGATCTCTCGGTCAAGGCACTTACCTGTAAGTTTCACCAGAAAAACAAACAAACAAACAACATCACTCATGGCCCTATTTTCTGTTGATTAGATTGGAATGATGTAAAGATTGATCTGGTGGTCATTACAGATAGAAGACCTGTTTCGTTATCTCGCTTGTTGAATTCTACCAACAATGCCTACTACTTTGGCGACGAGAACGTAGAACTGGCTATTCACATGGAGCAATCTGCAGATCCTGAAACACGAGCACTGGTGCAAGGCTTCGGATTTAAGCATGGCGATAAGAAAGTGCGTCATCGAGTGCGTAAAGGAGGTCTTTTACCTGCTATTGTCGAGTCTTGGTATCCCAGTAACGATGATAACTATGGTGTATTGTTGGAAGACGACATTGAGCTCTCTCCTTTCTTTTACTCATGGTCCAAGTACAACATCCTCAAATATCGTTACGAATCTGAAGAGGCTCATAATCGCATCTATGGTGTTAGCTTGTACTCTCCTCGCAATCTAGAGCTGCGACCTGAAGGCCGTCGGCCTTTCAATCCTGAGCCCGTGCTTGAACTAGGTGGTTACCCGAGACGCACCCCTTATGCAACACAGATTCCTTGCAGCTGGGGCGCTGTCTACTTCCCTGAGCACTGGCGCGAATTTCATACATACATCACCGAGCGTGTAGCAAAGGAAGAAAAGTACACCAAAGGATACTACAACATCACTGTCCCGGGAAGTCGATCTGAAAGATGGAGCAAGTCGTGGAAGAAATATTTCATCGAGATGGTCTACCTGCGTGCTTATGTTATGGTGTATCCCAACTTTGAGAACTTTGAGTCCTTCTCTACCAACCATCTGGAATATGGAACCCATGTGCAGCAAAAGAACAATGGACGAGCAAAGTCTAAAGTGGACCAATTTCTGGTACCTTTGATGCAGCAAGACACCATTCTCACTCAATTGCCAGATCAACATTTGCCAGACTTTGACCGTTTGCCAATGATGGATCTATGGGGTCATATTCGCACACTGTCAGAGCTGGATCGTGTGGGTTCGCAGTGGCATACCAAAGTTTCCAATTGCGAACGAAGCCCAATTGGCTTGTTTGACGCCAAAGACACCTTATGTCCCTTCCCTGAAAACGTAGCTAGAAGCAAGAAGAAGGAAATTAGAAAGTAAACCTTGTACAATGCTTATAAATTTATCTGTATATACATTTATCTCATATCATTCATACTCTATCTTACCAATCTTTGTATTTCTCTGCAACTTATAAATAAAAGATTAGACATGTAGATGAATGCTGTTGACTATAACTCTTCATTCGCATCTCGGTAAATGACATTCTTTAATTCCATGTGATATCAAAAGGCATGACTGAGGAGGCATGATAATTTAGCAATGCTTGTTGTGTTGAGAAAAAAAAACCTGGATCTACGGCCAAGTAAGCTTGATTCAGCATTGCTACAATGATTGTACTGGCAATCACCGGATTTCTTTCATTGGTTTGTAAAAGGACGAATCATTTCGTATCAAAGTGTACCTTTGTGTAGTGTATTTTCCTTGTCAAATACATTTAATGTAATTACCAAGATTTATGCTTGGCATTTAAATAAATGACACCTAGTTATTACCCACTTAAGAGATCTCAGAATGCACAAAATAAGCAAAAATAAGTAGTTCAATACAGCTATAGTACCTTTTCATTCGCAATCCTCTTTTCATTAGCTACAGAAGCACATTTACGGAAGACAGGCACTACCAGCAGCAGCCGGCAAGATTTGTTCAATCTCAGCTAAATGAAAATCTGTCCCGATTTGTTACTTTTTGATCAACGTACGACTTTGTTGACCTATTTTGCAAGATTCGACTATGCAAATAGTAATATTCATACCAAAGCCCCTTAAGCTTCCCAGTAGTACTTTTGAAGGTGCATCTGATGGTCTAATTCTTAAAGGTATTTACAACAAACCTATAGCGCAATTTTTGAAAATACGAAATAACATCTTGGGCGAAAATGTCAAGATTCTGCATATGACGGACTCACAAATGGAGTTTCAGGGGTTGCCTTGGATCGAGATTAATATTTTGATTCAATATATGCCTTAGTAAAAGTCTTCATTTTCGAGGCGAAAAACGCGATCGTTTGATTTTCGTAAAAAACCATGAGGGGTACCCCATGCTTTTTGGTCAATTTTTGACGATCCTAAAACAGTTGAGCAAAGGTGTCAAGATGTTGGTGCTAGTCGAGAGCAACTGGCTGGTGCTACTCTGGTGGTCTAATTCAGCTTTCAACGTGAGAAATTATTGCTTGAATCCATCCAAATGGCATGATTCCCGAGTAGTAAGAGGTGTTCGAAGTATGTTCCGTGTCTTTATGTAAATTTCTCTGAACGCTACAAACGTGGAGTACTGTACAAGAGCCAGACCTACAGTTACATGTCGTTTATGGCGAGTTTTTTAAGTGATACAGAAAGTTAAAAGGTGAACTTCGAATACATGTCGCTGGATGGACGGAAACTACTTGTTAAACTGATTTTTTGTCTTGTCTACCTTGCCTCTACATCTGGATTATGTAGGCTCGTTATCCGTTGCCTGATTTGTCTTCATTTGTTGGATTATAATAGTCGTATTCATCCAATTTCTCTTATTCTGTTGATGTACAGACGCATGAACTAGGTTTCTTGCGCTGCAAGCAGGTAGTGCTAATACTGTGCGACATTATTAAATGGACCTTCAATAGAGATAGACTGGTCATGCATATGATCATTTGACGAGAGAGAATGTTTAATTGCACGTTCAATTATCAAAGTGATATCAATAATGTTTGGAACTCATTTATTTGATATGCAATGCATGTAAATTGAATATATGACGGTGGCGCCATGTCTCACAGAGTAATATCACTAGATCTTGATTGATTTTAGAGCCTTCCGAAGCCTTGATTTGATAGTTGCTTGTTTCTTTATCGGCACAGCAGCACTTTGTTTTTCCACAATTTGCATGCTATCCATAAGCTCCTCCAGCGTGATTTTCAATGCGCTTACTGGTACTAAATCTCGAACATCCAGGTAATGGCTATGGTAAGTTGGTTTTGATAGTTGTGTGTCAACGATAGGATCTGTTTGCGTGCCCATATCAACACCTACAGAGACCGATGTTGCCATCAATGCACATTGCCGCAGTGGCAGTCTCGTTGCTGGAGTAGAGGTTAAAGGAGGTGGAGAAGGAAGTGAAGGCAGAATATGCGCAGAGGATTGCTTCTTCAGCTTCTTTGTCGAGGATTTCTTGTCAGCCGTTGATTTAACAACATGTTTATGAGGATCTGTTTTCTCTTGTTTTTTTACGTTATTAATTGCAGTTTTTGGAACATTGGATGTGGTGGAATTGCTTGTTTGTTTTGACTTTTTTCTAGCATTTTTGGTCGGTAATGGTGCCAATGAAGATTTGTGCTTTAATTCTGCGGACGAATTCACTTTCTTCAATGAAGCCTTCTTACTAATGCTGATTACATCGGATGAGCGAGTCTTCTTTTTTTGTACCTTTTCAACTTCTGCCTCTTTAGGCTGATGTTTAACTTTCTTGGAAGGCACTGGTTTCGTTGATGTTGGAGCTTCAATCTTTTTGCATGGTTTCTCTGGAATTTGGTCAATTTGCTTTGCCTTTGATGACTTTTTGCGAAGCTCTGATTTAGAAGTTTTGGTGGGTATTGTCATGATGGTAAAAATGAGAAAAAAGAAAGAGAAAAGAATAGTCATGAACATCATTCCCAATCCTGCTTTATATGTATATTCAGGCACAATATATGCTTACCACAAACCTACGTGCTTGTTTGTTTATAAACATTTGAATTACTAAACTCTAGTCATAAAACAGCTTGTGTATTGTCAAAGGAGCATGTATACCGATATCAGGAAAGGATGAAAAAGCTACAAACGTTCTCCAGCATCACAAAATGGTAGCACTTGCAATTTAAATGATATATTGCCGTGTTACACTCGTTAGTAAAGTAAACAAGCATTTGCTGAACTTCAAATGTCATTTGCCCACAATGCCTCTAGGAAGCTTGATGATCTTGTAGCATATCTCCTTTTACGTGTACCGTTTCTGATGTTCTATTGATGCTATCAATGTTCTCTGGGCCCATACAGCCATATCACGGCTAGAATTAGCGAATGTAGATGCCAACCTGGATTGACTCTTTCTATAATCACTGATCTCACTCGATGTACACTAGCAATTTCATTACACATAGTTCGCCTGGCCCCATTTTTATTATTACTGATTTGAAATGTCTACGGCGACAGCCCGCAGAGCGGCACCATCGTCGAGCGTAGCGAAATTGCATCTAATTCAGCATTTGGCACTATTAGTCTTAATGAGTTTTACCGTAGTCAAGCAAAGGTGTATAACCATAGTGTTCAAGCAGCAGATTCGGGTTTTCATTTCCACTGTTAATAAGCTTACCAGCAACATATCACATCAAAATTTGCATGAATCAGCTTTACCGAAATCAATACGCCTCCTGTTCGAATTAGAAGTTTCACAGGCTGCAGAACTGCACTTCCAGACGACTTTAGCTACTAAAGATGTGGTTCATGTCGGGTAAATAAAAGCCATAAAGCAAAACATAACCAAATTGGACAGTTTTCAAGCCTTCATATCTTGCCATGTAGACCTTTCTGAGCCACCGGAATAACGCCAAACAATTGCACTTGAGTAGTAGTAACTTTCTGACACCTTTGCTCAACTTTTTGAAGACCTAAAAAAATATGGCCAAAAATCGACCAAAAAGCATGAGGTACCCCTCATGGTTTTTTTACGAAAATCAAAGGATCGCATTTTTCGCCTTGAAAATAAAGACTTTTACTATGGCATATATCAAATTAACATGTTTCTCTCGATCCAGAGCAACCTCTGAAACCACTGTTATGAGGCTTTCATATACAAAATATGGCTATTTTCGCTAAAAACCTCATTTCAAATTTTATTGAATTGCTCAATAGTTTCAATCAAAGCACTTATTACAGTTAACACCGTCGGAAGCGCCTTGAAAAACACTTCAAGAATGTAATAGGAAGCGTAGGGTGATCATCACAGTTCATATAATCGAATACCAAAAGATAGATTAAAGAAGTCGAAAAAAGGCGAGATCTGTCCAATCTTGAGCAGAAAAAAAATAAGCTGAGGTTGAATTAATTTTGGCGGCGGCATTGCTGCTGGCTGACCTAAATGCCCTTTCTGTTGATGATAATGATGATTGCGATGCTGATTAAATGGGGATCATGGAATTGGAAGGGTAACTGCTTAACCCAAATACTTTTTTTGGGTGCTTTAGTTACAAGCGAGCCTTTTGCAATGACAACATCTCAAAAAAGTCGCTGTAGATCTTACACAAGTCCTGTATTTACTTATGACCAGCTTTATGTTGCCATCTTATTAAGAGCATCAGCAGCAGTGAATGATATGACAATTCTATTATCAAAAAATGGCGATTGTGATGTACAAATACTGCATAAAATTTGAATTTCTTTCGCATTGTCCCAATAATAGGTTTTGTTTAATACCAGCGTAAGCAAAAAGGATACTAAGGGAGATACCTCCTCTCCTCCTCCTGGCTCTGATATAACCTTTCTGTTACTAACTAATAACTGGTTGTTTAAAATCTACTTGATATACCAAAGTGTTATAATATCTGATTTAAAATGGCTTCGGTGAGAACCCGCAGGTCGACATCGACATCGAATGTAGCGAGATAGATCGGCTAGTACAGCGTATAACTAATTACTGCCATTTTTGTCGCACATAGACCCTACAAAGAAGAAACCCGCTTATCCTGACAGGCGAAGCTGCGAAAATTCGGCCATTGCTGGTCAATAGAAGCAGAAGATATATGTAATACGGCTTAAAAACTGGAGATAGCGCCAGTGATTGATAATAAACTTACAGGTTTTACATTTTGAATAGTTGGGGTACAGCGAATCCAATCCCCTCTAATACGAATATACAGTATAAAAATCACAAGAGAAAAATTTACCATTTGTTTGTCTCTTCAGCAAACTGCATTGCTATAATGCTTAGACTCTTTTCAAGCCGTTTGCTTGCAAAGGCAAATAGTGCATCTTTAGCTAATGTAAGATTAGACATCGCGTTCTTTAACCTATTAATACCCAATCTGACATGCCAACCCTTAGCGCACTTTATCGACCTCAGCTCCCCGATTTAAACAAGCTTCAGCATCATCAGATGCCATCAAGATTACTCTGCCTGATGCCTCCTTCAAGATGTATAATGCCAGAGCACCCTCTCTTGAAATGGAGACAAACAAGGAGGAATTAATCGAAATGTACACTTAAATGGCCATTATCCGTCGTATCGCCTCTACAAGAGCAAGAAAATCCGAGGCTTCTGCCATTTGTCTACTGGCGAGGTTTGTCAATCATTTACTTGTAATTCTTATTCAGCAACTCACATATCATATGTATATATATATATATAGGAAGCTGTTGCTGTCGGCATGGAGCATGCAATCACTCCCAATGATCATATCATCACTTCTTATCGATGCCATGGTTACACTTGGTTAAGAGGAGCCTCAATCAAATCCATTTTGGCAGAATTGATGGGCCGTGCGGATGGTGTCTCCAAGGGTAAAGGTGGTTCCATGCATATGTTTGCTCATAATTTCTATGGCGGTAATGGCATTGTAGGCGCACAGGTGCCCTTGGGTGCAGGAATCGCCTTTTCGCAAAAGTACTTGGGCAACCCTTCTACTACACTGGCTCTTTACGGTGACGGTGCTGCAAATCAGGGCCAAGTCTTTGAAGCCTTCAATATGGCTAAGCTGTGGGACCTCCCCGTCATTTTCGTGTGTGAAAACAACAAGTATGGCATGGGCACTTCTGCGGAACGTTCTTCGGCTTCAACCGAGTACTACAAGCGTAGTGATTATATTCCTGGCATCCATATCAACGGTATGGACATCTTTGCAGTCAAGCAAGCTGTGGCATGGGCCAAAGATTGGACAGTTTCCGGAAAGGGACCTCTTGTGATGGAAGTGGCTACTTATCGCTATGGTGGCCACTCCATGTCAGATCCTGGTACCACCTACCGTACGCGTGAGGAAATTCAAAATGTCAGATCCACGTCAGATCCTATCTTTCATCTCAAGAAGGTCATTGTTGATCTCGGTGTTGCTACAGAAGCGGATTTGAAGGAGACTGATAAAAGAAGCCAAGAAGACAGTGGATGATGCGCAAAAGGAAGCTGAGCAATCACCCGAGCCCAACTTGGATGAGTTCTGGACAGACATCTATTTGCCAGGAACAGAGCCCAAATCCGTCCGAGGCCGAGGGCCTAATGTTGTACATCGTTATCATTAAAAAGAGAGGGTATATATCGCATGTCTTTATTTCAAATACTATTTTATAAGCCTGCCTTTTTACAAACAATCTTGAACTCGTTGGGGTCAATAAGCCCATCATGGTTCAAATCGGCCTCATTCATCATTTCCATTATTTGCTGTTTCGTCCATGATTCATCCTGCGTTTCACATACTTTCAATAAACTTTGCAGTGTAATGCCGTTCACTGCAGGATCTGCTAGCATTTGGAATGCAATATCAGCTGTTGGCTCCTCTTCTTCCTCATCGTCTTCCTCTTCTTCCTCAAAATCGTTTGCTACATCGCTGTCTGTGTCTCCCTATATCCGCTGTCAACAAGCTAAAAAAGAGATTTGACCGCCTTGGTACTTGTTACCTTTAACTCGAGCACAATGTCTATGAAATCATCCAATTCAACTGAAGCTTCTTTTTCTCGGCCCACTGATTCAAACAGATCGTCCATATCGGATAGTTCAACAGGTAGTTTCAGTGATACCAGAGCTTTGTAAAGACATTTTGCATTTAAAGCACCCGTATCGTCCATATCATGCGCTTTAAAAGCTACGCAAACCGATAAACATGGCTGATAAGCTCGAGTAGGTATTACTTACTAGACTTAATTTGTCTTTTGGTGATCGTCTTCTTCATGATGTTGTATAGTCGAAATGGAGTAGCAAGCTGTAAAAGAAAAAAGAAAGAATTTATAAAACAGCAAACAGGCATTTTAAAATACAAAAGGCAGCATCAAGCATTTGTACAACCCGATGCATGACTGGATAGAATAATGTGTTCTACTGCGGTCAACATCTCTACATTTTGTCATGAAATATTAGGCAAAGACAGCTGATAACACCAAAGCGCAAGTACAAGATACATAAACCTTGCATACATACCGCATCTAGCTCTTGAAGCGCTGTCTACGCACCCTGTTTTGCCATCATAGATCATGGATCTTTCAGATCACTCATTTAGCATGATAAAACCGTCACCGATTCCATCATCATTAGCAAGCTTAACCTTCCTATTTTTTCAAACAGGCTCCTCTTTTCCCTCTCGACACAAACAAATATTAGACTCTTTTGATAACAAACATGTCTTCTTCACCAAGCCAGAACAGTCTGTTCAGACAACAGCAGCATTTATATCGGTCTGCGCATTATTTGGCGAAATCTAAAATACCAACATCGTATACTCCTCCATCACAAGATGGTGCTGCGAAAGGTTTGTTGGATCCTGTTGCTTATCATGACAACTCATCTTAGTAACCGCTTTCAACAGGTCGCAAAAGACGTGCTTCTTATGATGATGAAGAAATGGCAAATAGCGATTCCATTGATTTCAAACCGCCAGTACAGTTTCATCAGCCTCCACCACCTCCAGCACAACACCATTTGCATCCTCAGCTACAATCCGTGCGGGAAGATGAAATCTTGCATACCACCAAGCGTAACAGAATCAGCCTCAAAAAGGAATTTCCCATCAGTAAATTATTGGGTAGGCGTCAGCATGAGCACGATTGAACTGGATATTGATTGACTATGTTATTAGCTACGTTGGAGAAAGATAAGCTTATCGAGCTTATCAACGACCTGGTTGATTCGAACCCACATTTGAAATCTGAAGTCGATGCTTTTATACCACCTCCAACCACACAATCAATATCTCTCGTCATTGCAAATTTAGAAAAGAAGCTTGCAGAGAGTTTTCCGTTTAGTAAAGCTTCAGCCAGAGATGATTACAGCTATAATCGAGTTAAATCTGCATTGGTGGACATTGTGAATGCGCTTGTGGAATATGCTGATCATTTCACTAATCCTTCGCTTGATGAACACCCCACAACGATATTCTCATATCTTCATTATGCTACGTGTGTTGCTAACCGGTTGCCTGTGTGGGATAATGATGGTGAGAAGGGATCCATATGACTCTGATTGTCGTATTAACCTCTCAAATTATAGCACACAACCAAATCAAGAGAGATCTGTACTCTGAGTTAATAAATTATTGGAAAAAAGCAATTGACATAGCAGCATCCAAGCTAGATCAAGGCAAGATATATGGTCAGCAAGCTGTTACAGAATGGGCTAAAGAGTAAGAACCACACTTTAGTACACTTGGAGAAACACTAACGAACACTGTTTATGTAGACTTGTTCAACATGACGCAGAAACTCATGGTCAATTTTCTCAAGTGTTACAACAGTTTACAGAAAGATTGGGTTGGATCATTGGCATCGATAATCCGGCGTCTTTATCAGCCTTGACGTCGTCAGCTTCTGCTTCCTCAAATAGAATCAACTGGTAATTCTGCAAAGTAACGCTCATTTCTGTGTAAATATTAGTCCTAGTAAACATGTTCTTTTCGCCCCTCCGTTGCTATGATGATTTGTTGTTGTTGCCATGGCAACCTTATATCCTTTTCACACGTACATTCTTCTTGGCCTGACATTTCTCATGATTTGATTGTTTACCGGCTTCATCGGCTAGTTTAAAGAATGATGAAACGATGAGCCTCACAAGATCTATAGTTGTTTGAAAAAAGGAAAAAAGTAGATCGATCATTATTGTTGTTTTTAGCTCTGGAACGATTCAATCCAAAAAAATAGTGGTACAGTGATGTTACCCAAAAGCTTAAATAACGTTTGAATGCTAATAAATCATACCACTCTGACTGGAAGAGAATAGCTGTATATTGTCAAAATATCAGTGTGCATGTCAACACACTGGTACCAACGGGTAAACAAATTCGATATGGCCCATCTCCACCTGAAAATCTGGGATCAATGATCTGGGCAATTGTTCAAACAGGAAAATTTGGCGCAAAAAAGAAATACATTTGTAACTGTTTACAGATTGTATTGCAAATATTTCTGTTATTCTTGAATGCATGATAAGCTTTTTGCTTGATTAGCGTGTGTACTGAAATTACAAAAGTGATTGAGAATGACGAAATACCAGACTGCATTTTCGGGGGGGGGGGGGAGAGGTATCTTCTTCAAATTTCATCTTTCTTGCTTGAAAATGTAGTGCACAGTCGTTTTTTTTTTGATAAGAACATAACATGCATAAAATAGAGCAGCATAAAACAAATGATGACTATGAAAAGATCTATCAGGTAGCGCCAGCTTACGGCGTAGGAAAAGAAATGTAAAACGCTTTAAAACACTGTACATGTCCTACCTTGATTGAATGTAAAGCTGTCTTTTTTTTTTGAGTCTGTGTAAACATGCCATGAAATATCTTTCCATAGCCTTCCACTATGTCTTTTGAATATCTCGGTTTTTCACCATGTTTGTGAGTCCAATTGAAATGTTTTTTTTTAGATGTTCTGCGTCACTTCGTTTCCCTAATCACCCTTTTCTTTTAAACAAAATTTCGTTTGCGCTTCTTTTCTTCTTCTCTTTTTCTTTATTTCTCTTTTGATTTCTAGACTTGTTTTAGATTCATATACAGTGCATAAAGATTAGACATACATCAATTGCACCCTTTATTATATAATAAAAGCATATCAGATCAAACCACATAAAAGTCCAAAATCGTCAATGTCAGTAGCTTCTTGTTACTGGGCTTTGCTTTCCCTCGAAAAGTTTGAATTCATATACTTACCTAGTCTTGTAACTGATATTCAAATGGATTACGGGGTCAAAGCGGGCGACATGCTCAAGTCGAGATCATTATTGGATTTCATTCATCCGGATGAATTGTCTCTGGCAATAACTGATTTACTCAATTTCGTTCGAATCAAGACCTTGGCAGGTGCAGTTACCAGGTACGGGCAAGCTCATATCATTATAGGAACCTTGGCTAAGAAAAAAATTCTGCTGCTAGATGTCGTCTGCGTAATATACAGTCGTTAATCCATCAAGAACATACTAGAAACAATTTCAAGGTACAGTAGTTGAAGATTGCCCCACAAAAGCACACGTGTTGAATATATGAATTTAGGTGGACAACTTACAGAATTGGATCATCACAGATGTTGTCATGTATACAGCTACCAACAATTCAATCTTGACCTTTTTCCATTCACTACAATTAGGTGAGTTTTCAGTAATGTCAAATGTAGCAGATGCAGCCATTTTTTTGACAGTTTTTATATATATAGAAATAGATAATACCGCTGCCAACTGCAACAGCTTGTCAAGACATACCAACCTACTTGATACACCTATACCTGCAACTCCAACTGCAACTACATCTACACCTACTATCACAACTAATAATTCTATTCTCTCTACAACAACTAATGCGAACTGCTGCGGAACAGGACAACTGAACCCTGATGTAAAGTACACCTTCTCAGAATGATACCAGACATGGCTAATGCATTATTCATCTAATATTAGGAATCCAATAAAATTTCCAGTATTCTACAAAAACACTCACTAATGAAGGACGAACCACTCAGATTATTTCAAATATATGATACGCAATGTCAACAATTATTAATATCATGGCCGAATACAACTGCTATGGAAACTGTAATGGATCTAACCCGTTCGATTACTCTGAAGGAGATGGATCGAAGGTTGCAATATCCTCAATTGAAATCAAGCGCAGCAGCGTGTACGCATCACTCGCATTCAAGGTCAAACATGCTATTGGAATCAAACAAAATGTGCCAAGTCGAACGGATTATCATTACATATGGTAACTTGACATTCACCTGCTTCCAGATCACTGCACTCAAGGCTGAGGATCGACTATACTACAGTAGTGATCATAGGAGTGGTACCAGTGCTGACAATAACAGTAATAGTAACAGCATACCCAATCATGGGTAATGTTTTCATCAGCTATTTTCTGATTTATGGTCAAGGTTACTAATCATTCGTTTAGTGTTCGCAAATCAAATTTAAGCAAAATATTGAACAGCATCACTACAAATGCAACAACATCTCCATCTGGTAAAGCAGCTCCGTTAGTGTCATCACCAAATCAGCAAATACATCCCTATTCGCATGATATACAGACGAACAAAAAGAGCAATAGTGTTGATCAATCATCATTAGTGTCAGCATCGCCATTTATGGAGGCAATGGCTACATCCGAGTCTTCTGACAACACAAGATCCCCATTGCCCAGGGCTTGGAGAGGTAGATTTGGCGTCTTTGAAAAGAAATGTGAAAATTGTCAGACCAACACAAGTCCAGAATGGCGCAAAGGACCTGGTGGTCATAAAACGTAAGTTGATCAAGCCATCAGATTTCAAGTCTTTCTCACAAGCTCGACATTTCCTTTAGATTATGTAATGCTTGTGGACTTAGATATGCTAGACTGGTTGCTAAACATGAAAAAAGACAGTATCTGCAACCCAAAGATGAAGAGCAAACAATGTTAGTTGGGGCGAGCACCAGTACCACCAAGTTCAAAAGTTACAAATCAAAGAAATAAACACTCTAGTCTCTCTTCTCTTGTCTTTATTCTGATCGTTGTTATTTATATACAAAGTGGGTTGATGTCTATTGTAAATTTCATTATTTCTTCTTGTTGGAGGCACGCTTGCCTTGACCTAATTCAAACATCAATAAAACATTCACATTTTCGCACTCTTTATAGCAAATTTTTACCCTTCTTTGGTGCGCCCTTTCCTCTTCTCTTTCTTCTAGCAATTTCATCAAGACGTTCCTTTTCTTCCAAATTAACTAGGCCAAGCTGAGGATACAATGCTTGGATATCACGGAAATGAACCAATTTCTTGGGGTTGTAGCTAGTCAATGTTGATCCAATCAATCTTTGTCGAATAATCTTGTTGCCTGTGCGAGCGCATGTTGGATTGTAAACGTTGGAGAAGACTTTACATGACAACTGTGTGAGTTGTGCAAGTCTAGTTGTTGCTTGACTCATTCGAAAAATATATGAAATGTGGAAAAAAAAAAAAAAATGTCAAGAGGGGGGGGAAGGGGGTCCTTTCAAAGCAATTGATTTTGACCCCCGGACAAACTCAAGCTGGTAGGTGACTCGTTATCTTGCACATCATTGGAGGGTTCGAGTGTGCTTTGACGTTGGGTCTCCAGTATCAAAGTGATCCGGCGCAGGTTATAAGTAATTGAAGGTAGACCAACATACTGAATATCTAACATGATAGCTGGATGTTGAATAAGTGTTGAATTTTGACATTCTATGTGCTTTTCTTGGCCAGTGTTGCTTTATGATTTGCCCGTTCACTGACATCTGCCCACTCTAATTATGTCACTAGCGCCAATTCTGCAGCATGACATATGTTCTTTACACCATAAAGCATCCGTAGCCATAGCTAATAGAGCCATTCAATGAACGGGTACTGCATCTTATTGCTCTATTGTGGAGCATTTGTAGAAGATACTGTCCTATCAAGATGGCTTACTAATCTTTTGGTAGGCAAACAAATCTCATCAGTAAACATGTAGTATCTTTCTAATACCATATGAGAACCACCTGTACTTTATCTGTAGGTAAGAATCTGACCATTTGCGAAGCTCCACGTCTTGATATTGGTAGTAGCAATCCATGCGCGGGTAGACAGCATACGTGCAATACCCATTAGTACTCAAAAATATGCGAATCACAGTGCCATTTGGATGGATTCAAGCAGTACTTTCTCACGTTGAAAGCTGAATTAGACCGCCTGAGTAGCACCAGCCAGTTGCTCTCGACTAGCACCAACATCTTGACACCTTTGCTCAACTTTTTTGGGGTCGTCAAAAATTGACCAAAAAGCATGAGGTACCCCTCATGGTTTTTTACGAAAATCAAACGATCGCGTTTTTCGCCTTGAAAATGAAGACTTTTACTAAGGCATATATTGAATCAAAATATTAATCTCGATCCAAGGCAACCCCTGAAACTCCATTTGTGAGTCCGTCATATGCAGAATCTTGACATTTTCGCCCAAAATGTTATTTCATATTTTCAAAAATTGCGCAGTACGTTTGTTGTAAATATCTTTAAGAATTAGACCATCAGATGCGCCTTCAAAAGTACTACTGGGAAGCTTAAGGGGCTTTGGTATGAATATTACTATTCACATAGTCGAATATCACAAAGTAAGCCAAATGAGTCGATTCTGTTTGAGATCTGTCCAATCTGAGAAGAGCTGAAAACGTCGGATATTCAACTAGGGTTAGCTGGGCTTGGTAGCCTTTCTCATGAAGACATCGATGCTTTTGGTCCTGTAACAAGGGAATTGTGTATTGGAAAGCGCTATAGCTTAGATTCGCCACTTTTATTTTAATTTGTTAAGACTCTTTATATATATGATATATATATAGTCATTGCAGTATGCTCATCTAAATAGCAATCATATAGCAGAATTTCAAAATTGTCACGCTACTTTTATTGCACAGGGTGGTACTCGAGCCATAAAATACTGGTGGAGGAAAGTTTCAATATACTAGCTGCTCCTCACAGTTGTTGAGGGTTTTGAGAATATATTCCTAAAGTCTACTCTCGACAGCTTGGGGAAATCGTATAAATAAATACATGTACAATGGAGTACGATTGAATACTAATTGAATGCTTTATTCATAAATAAATGTAAATCCTCGACTATTAAGTACGGTCTTGATCCTTAAACTTGGTCTTCAAGCTAGCAACTTCTCTGTCAAGGAATCTCTTTTGAGCTTGAGCACGTCTAGTGATTTCCTCAACGCGAATCAAGTTGCTTTCGGTCAACTTGGATTTGTCAATTTGAGCACTGACATCGTTCAACAAGTCCAAGACAGCACCAAGTTGATTAGGCAACCAAGTTACAATGGGAGAGCCACCAGTGGCAACAGGATGAGCCGTGTGCTTGATGATGTACTCTTTGGTGAAGTTCCAATGTCTGTGACGGAAGGCACGGATTTGATCAATATTGGACAAGTATACAGCAGCTGAATTGGCGTCTTGCAAAGCAAATTCCTTGACACCGACCTTCTTGGCCTTATCTTGAACATATTCCAAGAATTCGCGATGGTTGGTAGGACGGTATGATCTGAAATCACGCAGGACAGTCGTCAAAGGGTTCTCAGGCATGAGTTCAGTGATTTGAAGAAGGTTATCACCCAAAGGCACCATGGAGTCATTAGCGCCAGACTCACCACGATGAACGATAGGCTTATCACTGATACCTTCGTAGATTACACCATCAGGGAACATGGGCTGTTATAGTTGGAGTAAGTAGCTATTGTAGCCTCGCTTGATTTTTAACTTACTTGGTTTTTGGTACCCATAATGAAGGTTCTAAACTTGATGTAATCCTCAGGCATACTACGTGACCACATCATCTCCATTTCCTTGTTTACAGACTCGTAAGTCTCATTCAAACCTGCCATTTGCATATCGAATTTAGCTCTGTCGTTGTTCTCGACAGCCTCAAGAGCACCAACTGAGTAACGAACAAGTCTGGGAGAGTAAGACACCATGGTAACATGATTCAAAACAAATCCTTTCCTACAAGTTGACATCAGGCTCAGTATGTGTATAGGCAATGTATGTTTCATCAACTTACTCTGATTCGCTACCAGCAAAAGAACGGATAAGAGCCAAGTTGTCGTAGGTAAGTCCTCCCAAAGGGTTGATTTTTTTGTAGTTGTACAATCTATATCAAATTATTAGCAAGCTGTAGTATGAGGTGTAGCTTTAAGCCCAAGTGTACTCACGCATAACTCAAAGCACTAATGAACAGAGTAGCGTTAGTTTATTGCACATGGTAAATGACCCAGTGTAGACTTACTATTCCATGAAAGGTTGGCTTTGGATCTTCTTTGATACCTTGTACAAAGGAACAGCAATGTTCATGGGCAATACCTTTCTTCCTAAGCCGTAATCGCTCTTGGCACGATAGAGAATATCGCAGGGCTCGAGCAAGTAGGCAGAAGCAGCAAACGTATAATCACGGAAAAGAGCTTTGCTTTATTAGATAAGGCTCATTACAAGTTGTGGATGTACATATATATACCTGACAAGAGTCTTTGATCAGTGATACCATCAATCTCATACAAGGGGAGCTCATCTCTCACAGCATCACCAAACTGGCCACTCGCCAAAAGCCCAGGAGTACCATCCAAGAGTTGCATTGGCATACGTTGCAAGAGGGATTCCAATCTGCTAAACTCCTCAGGAAGTTCAACAAGAGGATCTTGACGAGGAAGAAAGCCATTTTCAGTACCAACAGAGAACATTTGCATGGAAGAGTCGTTGGCTTGAGTTTCAGTGAGCATGGAGAAGTTTCTTTGGCGAGCCATCAAATAGGAGGAGGAGGCCTTCAAGCAGGCGGCATTGGGTATAGGGTTGATGGATTTCAAGAGAGAAGAAGGCTTGACTTTCCGCAGAGCAAACATAGCTTGATTTGAATAGTTGTGTGGTTGATGAGTTTTTCAGAAATCCATTCAATTTCTCGTTTGCTTATATGTATCTCTTCATACAGAATACCGCCATACAGAATACCGCCAAAGTGTATCAAATCCACGTAATAATACCGCCTTAGATATCACTAATGCTATCGTATGAACACACTATTGATTTTCTCACGTAAGCCCTCATCTAAAGGAGCTTCATGGGAAATTTTATACAAGACCATGCATTCCTCATCACTTGCCTCTTGCTTCCATAGCAATGCAAATATGCTCCAATCTTTAATTTTCCACGGTGCTCCCAAATGTCAGGGCCAAAGCCAGGGTTTAGTTAGATTTTTGTCTGCTCGAGTTAATGGCTGATAATAGCCGAGGAGCTTGTCGTGGGAATCCTTGCTAGATGTGAGTTGCTATTGATGTTGTTGTTCAACACCAAAAATTTTTCTTCTAGTCACATTGCATTGATCCATTATGCCTTCTTGTTTGATTTAATGTTGACAATTTTAGTAATCTTTAAGGGGAACTTTCTCACGAATGACTTTGTTAGTAGCCAGGTTCTATACATGTAAATCAATACATCTGTCACTCTATTTCTTTGCTTGGCTAGAATGGAATTCAACAAATCAACGCATTGTTTGTTTCAGGCCTGTTATCATCATCAGATTTGTCCAGAGTTAAAGTCTATTTATGCAACATTTCATAGTTCACATATTTGGTCATTTGATGAGCATATATGCATTTGGGCTGTGAGAAATTTGTAGTTGATTCCAGAAGCTGCTTTTATTCATTTTAATGCTGTGCTGGCCAAGACGTAGATTGGCTGCTTGAATTTCTGCGAGATGGTAGAACCATATACTATTCTTTTGCTTTGTTGTATGGGATTGCTATGCGACACCTTAAACGCATCGGAGTGCTTATCATATCGATAGCAAATCTTAGATCTTAAATCAGCGGGGACATGTAAATTCGAGCACGTATCTCTGTGATAGTGGTGATAGTGGTGTTTTTCTCTTTCCGTGTGTCATACCAGAATCTTTCTCCATCAACTAAATGCCACGACTTGCACCGAACGAAGCTTGCCTCGGTCAATTTGATTTTGTTATCATTGGCGGTAATAACAAGCATCATTTACTATCCTCTCCGTCTACTAATTTTCATAACACTGCAGGAGGCACTGCTGGCTGTGTTTTGGCAAATCGTCTCTCAGCAAATGGGAAGCACACAGTGCTAGTTCTCGAATCAGGTGCCAATACCCAAGAAGAATTGCTCAATATCAGAGTACCCCTTTTCAACAGCAAGCTCAAGAACACCACTGTCGACTGGCAATTGAAATCCACCGCACAACAGCATGTAGATGGACGCATTATTGGCGTGCCGCAAGGAAAGGTGCTGGGAGGTTCCAGTGCCATCAATGCTTGTTTGTCGCATCGATGCTCACCTTCTGATTACGATGCATGGAATATGCCCGGTTGGGAATACGAGCAATTGAAGCATTACTTTTGTAAAGCAGAAACATTCCAGGACAATGCAGCACCCACTGCGAATAAGTTACACGGTCAATCAGGTCCACTAAATGTCATGCAGCAAAGCGACGATTCCTTGTTGGGAAAGCATTTTACAAGAGCTTGTCAAAACCAGGGCATTCCTCAATATCACGATATGACAGACGTGCCATGTCAAATAGGCGTAACTGGTATTCAATCTTCTGTACATCAAGGCGAGCGAACATCTACTGGATCTGCTTATTTACCTCCCGATATACAGCAGAATAGATCTAATTTGTCCATTGCTTTGAATTGCACTGTCAAGCGTATTGTTATCGATAAAGACACCAACAACGTAACGCATGTTGAATACACAGGCAACACAGATGGCAAGCGCTATCTAGTTAGTGTAGGTAAAGAGGCAATTCTGTCCGCAGGTGCTATCTTATCGCCTTTGCTGCTGCTATCCAGTGGTATTGGTCCCCAGGCAGAATTAGAAGCATTGGGTATCGCAACAATCGCGGATTTGCCAGGTGTAGGCAAGAACCTTCAGAATCATTGGCGCGTACCACTTGTCCACGAAACAACTCGACCTGAAATGTCGCTTCATCAGAGCATATTCGAAAAGGAAAATGAATCATTGCAGCGTATCACTGACTCCAAGGAACCAAGTGCCTTGTCAAGAGCATGGCCTGATGCTGTCGCCTATATAAAAGTGCCTGTGAGTATTGAAGCAGCAGCAGTTATATGTGGTAGTAACAATTTCATAGAATGCTCCTGACAACAGCAGTAGTCTTATCAATACCCCACAAATCGAATTGTTCACTGGTGGTTTGGCTTTATGCAGAGAGCTTTCCAAGCTCAAAGATGTTGCTTGTGCAAGTTTATTAATGGTGTACATTGCCCCCTTTTCCAAAGGATCTGTTACGTTGAATTCAGACAAAACCCCACGCATTGATCTTGCTTTGTTGCAGGATGACAGAGATTTGGAGTGCATTGAAAAAGGTTTGGAACTGTCCATCAAGATTGCGGACGATAAAGAGTACAAGGAGAATTGCATCAAACACTGGATTTTGCATCCATATCAAGCTGAGAAAAAGCAGGATATCAGGCAGTATATCAAGGATCATGTTGATACGTTGCATCATTATGCTGGTACTTGCAAGGTAAGTTCAGTTTAGGTATTTGTTTGCTTGCAGTGGGTAAAATGCTGTATTACAGATGGGAACTGCTACTGATAGAGACGCTGTCGTTGATGGAAACCTCAAAGTACATGGCATTCGGGGCCTTCGTGTTGTAGATGCCTCCATTTTTCCAATCGTGCCAGCCGGCCAAATTTGTTTTCCTGTCATAGCTTGTGCTGAGAGAGCATCTGATTTGATCTTGAGTGATTTTGCATAAAAAATAGTGTATCGGCCTCAGGCTTCTCTTGACACTGTTATTGTGTGTCGCATGAACCTCAATCATTGGCACGTTTAATTATTTGGCCCTTTACATTGGAGAACATTTTTGCAATTGTTAACTGTGCTGAAGTAGTATCGATTGTACCGTATAGCTTCTCCCACATTAAACTGTTAAATGGATGCTAGATTGAATAATTGTACCTTATCTTACTTTTGAATAAAGAGTTTACTGAAGATCCATTCATGTGTTCAGCAACCCCCAAAATTGGGTATATAATGGTCCTGATATAAAGGTTGTAGCATCATCAATATAGATTATGGAGTTGTTGTTCTTCTTTTTCGTAAAATGCGCAACACAGCTTTAAACATTTGCCAAACTACAACGAATATGTTGTAATGTGAATAATTACGATAGTAAATGGAACCAATATCATTTACATGAGACTATTCAACGAATGCTAAATCAAATCATTGCACCTTATCATACGGTGCGCGAAAAAAACGTTCCAGTGTTTTGTCGATTCGTAGTTTTACACTTACAGCTCTGTCAATTTTGCTCCAATTTTAAAACTAAAGTAAGGCTATTAGACCTTGGGTTGACAGCCACAAAATGAGTTACTAAAATAATGGATATAATAATTATTGAGCGATTGCGACTGACGTAAAGAAAAAAAAAAATTCGATTTTGTAAAATTTGAAATATCGTTGGATGACCTTATTGTTCGTATACATTCCACAAAAATGATCCAAGAGTCGTAATTTTTTACATCAGTCATGTTTAATATGTTGATTATACGAGGAATGCTTAAAAAAAAGTATAAACGAGCCTAAGATTTTGATCTTCCACCTCATAATATTTTACCATCTTGACTTGAACACTTTCCTTCACATGACGCGTCCCATTCCTCAGGAGGCTCTAGAATCTGTCAAGGCTCTTTTCAACCAGAGTTGCTCCCTTCATGGCATTCAAAGGATCTTCCTGGATTTGTCCCTCAGTGTACTTTCTCGCTATAGGAAGAAGTTTCTCGCTCATCAAGACATACCAAACCGGGAAAACGAAACAAAATCACTATGCTGAATATGAACTACATCCAGAGGAATCTTCGCAATAATAATTTAAGCGGGCCCAGGGGTGTGCGGTGCTACCTTGCTTATATGAGAGTTCAGATGACTTCGAGAAACATACAGTATATACTCAAGCGCAATGGGTTCAAGTCTAAAAGGAAGGTAAAGGCCAATTTCGTGCGTGCGGAGAACCGGAAAAATCGTCTTGCGTAAACCAAGAGACATCGCCATTTGACTACGGACGACTGGCGTAAATGGGGATTTCCCGATGAAACCAGGGTCAACATGGGGGATCTGACGGCAAATCTTTTTACTGGACTAACAGCCTCATTGAGTTGATGCCTCATCAAACTGAGGCTCAAGTCCAGGGAGATGGTGGTGGTGTTGTTTTCTGCGGCATGATAGCAGCGGAGGGACCCAATTATGGTTCTACCTTTACCGATGGAACTGTAAACTCAGAAGTTTATGCTGAAATTCTGGAGTCATCTTTGCTAGACACTATGGAGTATTATGGGGTTGACAAGAAAAGTTTAGATTTCAGCAAGATAACGCAAGACAACATACTTTTGGTCCCACTAAGAAATGGTTCAGACATCACGGACTCTCTGTGCAAACAGTTTTTGATTAGCCCGCCCAAAGCCCTGATTTTAACCCCATTGAACATGTCTGGTATGAGCTAAAACTTCGTCTGAACAAGTACCCTACTAAAGCCACCAGCCATTCTGAACTAAAGGAGACAATTAAACAGCAATGGTATACATCCACGGAAGAAGTCTGTCTTAAATATATAGACAGCATGCCATGTCGAATTAAAGCGATCATTAAGAGTAAAGGTGGTCCAACTAAATATTGTGCTTTTTTATAAAATTAAATAAGTTCCACTTTTCACTTTCATGAGGCTACCATTCTTTTTCTAATCTAGTGAATAAAGCGCATAATATATCATCTATCAGCCAACTACTTAGGCTATTGATGAACACTGAGCGTACACCAATAGCTTTGATATTTACAGAGAACATTGGTAATAAGTGCAATTTGGCAAAACACTGGAACGTTTTTTTTGCGCACTGTACTTCTGAATTTAAATTTTAATTACTTGGATACCCTTTTATTACAAACACTATATCATGATAAACGTCAAATCAATAGGAAATCATCTAGTTGTAGACCATTTCTCGTTCAACCCCTGAGCCAATCAAATCGCTTGAAAACTCCGCTGACCTAAAAAAATTTTTGCGAGGGTTTCCCCCTGTTTTGATGTGAGGCAAAATTTTAAGCTCCGCTATATATAGCAATATAGCTGTTACTATCATCAAATTTCCCTCAGGTGCTAGAGCATGCCTTACTTACACCACCTAGCTTTAGATTCTGGCGTTAAGACTCTCAATCATCACTAAAGTAAGTAGTGATAACCAAGTGGAGGCAGCCTATCCATCTCCTAGTCTCGGATAAAGTCTTGTTGAGCTTCAGTGATAGGCACATCCACACAACGTAAAGAAAGGTATGCTTCAAAGAAACATAATAATATAAAAAGAATGGAGAAAAGAACATGCTACAATACTATAGGAGTATAGTAATATATGTAGGCAAAGAAAAAAGAAGGATACTCACACGCAATGAGTCAAAGAAAAGCATAACAAATACAAAATCAAAGATGTTGACAACAGCTCATTGTTGTTGCAACAAAAATGCATACATGAGCAACATGCATGGCAATAGTCGGATGTAAAGCAACACAAACACGCACAACTGCAAAAGCAACATTAAGTATTATAAGTTTGCAAAGAACATAATGACTAATGTTGATTCATGTGAAGCCATAGGGGCAACACAACCAACAAAAGAAAAAAAAAGACGCAACAAAGCAAACATCATGAATGCATTATCGTGAGGAAGGAAGTAATAATACAAACGTTCAAAGAAGTTTTATATCATCGCGACCAGAAGAAAGAAGATACTTACCGCTTACCACTACCATAGATAGACCAGAGATAGACCAGAGATACACCAGAGATAGATCACAAATAGACCACAGATAAACTAGAGATACACCAGAGAATAAGCAACCATAACAGAAAGATGAGATAGACCAGAAATAGACCAGAGAAGAGGCAATCACCGAAAATAGAACAGAAAACAAGCATGCAACAAAGACAGCTGGCCAAGAATGACCAGACTAGCAGCAGCAACACCATCGATAACACCAATAGCAACACCAGTAACAACACCAGTAGCAACACCAGTAACAACACCAGTAACAACACCAGTAGCAACACCAGTAGCAACACCAGTAGCAACACCAGTAGCAACACCAGTAGCAACACCAGTAGCAACGCCAGCAGCAACACCAGCAACAACAACAGCAACAACAACAGCAGCATAGAAAAACGAAGAATGAGCAACACCAGAGTCCAGACAAAGATTAAAGAAGCAACCGCTAGAGATAGAGGTCAAAGAAGCAACCACCAGACGTGATGATCCAAAGAAGCAGACAGCAGAGATAGCAGAGAAGTAATGGCAGCGGCACCCACGACAAACAGACAAAAAGAACCATCAAAACCTAATAAAAAAATTCAATTAGTGTTAATTCTACGTCTTCCAGTGCTCGTTATCGAATGGTACCTACTATATTTCACTTCATAGAAGCAGTATCAAATACTTTCAAGAGTACAAGGCCTTGTTATCAGAAGCTAAAGGGTTATTTTCAATCAAAAGGGTTCCAAAGCCTATATGATATGATACTAAATGCGTTCTGCAAAAAGGATAAAAAAAAAGGGTATGGAAAAAGGAGAGGGCGCTCTAACCGACGTCACGGCCAGTAGATTTGGCCTCAGTCTTTTGCCGTGGCAGCCGTAACTGCTGTACTTTAATTTGCAATTGTGCAGTGAGTATTTTCGTGTTCAAATTTGACTTGACATTACATTTTTTGAACGCTTTTGTCAAATTCGACTATAGAAATTGTCATTGTTATACTTTACTCTGTAATGCATTTCCAAGGAGTCAATGAAGGCGCATTGAATGATTCTGGTTACATTCAACTTTCAGACCAGAAATAATGAACTATTTGCGAAAGTATGAAAACAGGTTTTCTGCGAATATTTCAGAATTTAACACATAAATATGTCAAAAAAGTAGGATCTGCAACTGCGTGGAAACATGGCGGTTTATTTGATCCGATATGTATCATAGAAAAAAGTATCGTTTTTCGGGTCAAAAATGCGATCGTTTGATTTTCGAGAATTTCCCCTTGCTAGTATTTATGTAAAAGACCTGTTGCGTACCACACTGTACTCAAAAAGAGTTACATGTTACATTAAACAAAGTGTGCAAATTTAACTATTACAGAGTTCAACCCGATTTCCCCCAACATCATGAATTTTTAATCCAATGAAAACGTTGTTCATTTCAACCCATGAATACCTTTCCCGCCTACACTCATTTACACCTCTGCCCACTTTTAGATACATCTCTGCCCGCTTTAAGATACATCTCTGCCTGCATTTATATAAATCTCTGCCTACGTTTATATAAATCTCTGTCTATTATCAAATACACCCCTGTCTATATTTATATATACCTTTGTCTGCGTTTATATATGCCTTTGCCCATATCTAAATACTTCTCTGCCTACTTTATAATATATATATAATATATAAAATAGGCACTTGATGCTTTATGATCCTTCCACAATATCTTGAAATATGATTAGAATTTCGTCTTCTGGGTTTGGCTCACCGCCTTCACCAGGATCTGCATCGGCTGGATCACCGGCGTCAACCACATCATCCTCATTGTTGTCGTAAATTTCATTCTCGTCATCGCTAAGATCTACCTTAGGAAAAATAACGACATTGTTTGCAAGTCAGAGGCATCCCTGCTTGCAAACAATACTGGAGGTTTGGATCTTGAAACATTCTTCAACAGTGACTTGGCACTGCGTTGACGGCGAGCAACGTCCAGAACTCTCATTCTGACAAAATGATTGTTCTGTTTTCCCCCCAACGATGATAACTCACCTTCGTAATTGCCAAGAACCCTCTTTGCTTCACCCTTCATCGAAAAGTGGTATTAGTATACATGCTTCTTTTGCTTTTGAGTTTACTCGAGCCTACTATCAAAATAGAAATTTCTTCGACGTTTCTTTTCAATATATGCCAGTTGTTCAAAGGGGTGGGCAAATCCAGACCATTTTCGGCAGCATACAGTCTGATCCGTTCCACTTCTTTTCCGACTGTCTTCTTCTTTCTTCTGTCAATCTCTGCATGCGTACCTTCATACCATTATACACTAAGATATTGCTCTCGCTTGCGATTCAAAATTATAACTCACTGTATGAGGTTTCTACAAATTTGTTGATCATCGAAATAATCGCCTCTGCTTTCTTCTTCAATATTTCAAGCGACGAAATAACTCTGGCTGCCTTTGCAGTGCCTATCATTTGTGTTAGAGTTCAATCTAAGGGAAATTTTCGTTCTCACAAAAGGCCAAGCCATTACTAAATGAGCCAGGTTGAGATATCTTGTGCTCTTTCATCAGAATTGCAAAAAAGAGGTGTTTTACAAATGTATTCATTACATTGTATCGAACTTCAATGGTCCGTTCTCGATGTTCTTGCAAGGCTGGATCATCTAGGCAGTTGACCATCGCATACCCATACACAGATTGTAATTGCTTGATTTGATCGACCAAAAAATTGTTTCTATTGATATCTTTCCTGGTAGTGATTTCAATTTTTCTTCCACTACATTTTAAAAATGGTTCAACAGTAATATTCCTTTATGCACATGTTTAAAAGTTACCTTTCATCTCTCAAGTCATCCAACAGCAAATATTCAACAGTTAATTTTAGGTAGTAAGAATACCTACTGACATGGGTTTCTTGTTCTGCCTTATCTATAAGGGTTTGCACACCGGCAGGAGTTGCTGGAATCATCGCAATTTCTACATGCTCACTCCACTGTTTTTCCAGTGCAGAAAATTTCTCATTTGTAATGTCGAGCTCGCTCACCTTCTTCATTGCATTAGTGTACTTTTTTAAGATTTGTCCCGCTATTATAAATAGACTAGTAAGACAACAATATGAAAGCTATGTATAGCTTACGAATTTCCAACATTTTGTTCTGTCTGAAATGATATACGACATCTGGTAACAATGATTTGCGGTTGAATTTGCTCATCTGTCTGATCAAGGAAATGAAGCGATTTGCTGTGCTCCAGAAGCGCTCTACACCTTAGCCATCTGATTTTTGAGTCAGTATTTTGTTCTCTCACTTTTGTTGCTCATGCTTATTTACCGGTATTGCCACTGCCATTGACAACTCGTGGATGATGTTGGACTTGACAGTGCATGCTATGAGCATAGGCGTGGAACACTGTCACGAGATATAAAGGAGCCCTCTCCTTTAGCCCTGGTATACACGACTAATAGTTCGTTCTTGTGTTGGAATCGATGTATGCAGTCTCTGAATATGTATATGCCTACCTCTAATTTGCCCTTACACAAGCAAATAATGTCATACATAATTAGTAGTTTTTGAGAGTTACCCAATAAACTTATAAGATGACTGATAGCCGCAAGTGCGTACTTACGCCTGTTACAATCATTTAGGGGAATCAGAAAGTTGTTAGTCTTTTTTTTTAGCATTACCAAGATCTACTTACCCTTCGCCATTATAAATATCGTATAATCGAATAGGCACGCCATGTCTCGCACAGTTTATAGAAAAAACTCCTTCTTCGTCAAAACGGTTACTCACCTTTCGATTTTTCTCTGAGCCAGCTTTAAACGTAAGGCTGTTGATGTTGTCTATTTCTTCAAGACCACACTTGATAGAAATGTGATTAGTATGCACCATCAAGTACAAACATTTTAGTGCATCTATATTGTCAATATGCTTACCAGCTCTTCTTTCGCATCATCTTTTTCATTAGCAAACTTTTCAACTTCACCTTCGACTGCCCACAGCTGTGCAATGTCGTAGCTTGTTGAAAAGATACTAGGATAGAGATCTACATCATCTCGGTTTCGCTTGTTCATCTTTCTTTTTAATTGGAAGTTGCCATCCATTACAACTCCAACGGTATCACCATCCTAAAAGAAAGCCTGCATCAGTTTTTGCTAATGAGATGCCTTGCAACGCAACTCACAAAACACGCATGACAGTACAAAGAGTGGCTGACCAGTCGTAAATTATCCAAGGCATGGCTCTTCAAATTTTGATATATTACTTGTAGTGTGTTGAACAAGCCGTTATTCAAAATTTTAAACTAAAAGAGAAGAGAACGGCGAGATATTGAGATAAACAGCGTAAGGGTCTGCAGCATTTAACTTACGTCGTTTTCACCATAGTTACTCAACAAGAGATTATCAACATTTTGCTTCTTCACGAATGCATAATTTGAAATGCTTCCATTTAGCTTCAAGCTCATCAGTTTTTCAAAGACAGCGAAATGGACCGCAACTTTTGGTCGAATTGTGCTGCTTGGCAACATTTGCATCAATACCAATTTCTTTAGGGTTGGTTGATACATACAATAATCAACTTTGATTTTTTGATGGTCCGCAAATCAAGTGTCAGTTTAGCTTGTGTAATATTTGGAGTTTCACTAAATTTACTTACTGTGTAGCATATAACAATATACCTCCAATGTTTTCTTATTGCTGCAGTCGCATTGATATGTGCTTTTCAATTGATTTGGGACTTTGAGGGTAGGGTCAGCATGGCCGTGAATCTCGTGAGATTCAAGATACCACTTCTTGAGCGAGACACTTTCTTGAGCCCAAAAGTCTTTTCTAATTCTCCTTTGTTTTTTTTTGTCTGAAGATGGTTGTGAAACCATAACGCTGGTTAGAAGGCTCTGTGGAATACATCCACTATGATCTGCATTCCGACAGTTCATCCAGTTACCAGATTTAGATATAAACTGTATGTACACTGGATTAGATGTACGATATCGATTTATACTATGATCATGAGAAGATATGGACTTCAGATACGCTAGTACTATAAGATTCATACTATATAAGATATAGGCTATAGATGGCACCACGGACATGGATGGCACTATAGACTTATACTTGTATTCCGACATTGACTACGGATGTTTACCATATCTGGATAGGCACCAAGATTAATGCAATATGAGCTTGTTGCTTCAGATGTGCACTTCATGATCCACGCTATAAGACACATGCTTATATCCGTGATACTAGCTACAGATACTTTATGTACTACAGACTTGTATTATATATGAGACATGCTATAGACATGCATATGATATGCTATAGACATGCCATATATCCAGATACATGCTAAAGATGTATGCTTAGCGATATACACTCAGATATGTACTATTAATATAGACTAAGAAGACTGTACCTATCGGATACATGCTACTAGATCGATATTAATTATCCTTATGGAAAGGATAGATCAGGGTACTTCGGATGAGAGTCTAATTATTCATCATCCAGACAGAGCTAAATCATGATTAGCTTGCTGGAGTTGTCTTTTAGCATGATTAGACATTAGTTGATCTGAGTTGACTTATTTGTCAATCTAATTAATAGAACTTTTATCCATTGTTATAGTATATAAGAAGGATCATCTACCTGGCCAGTAGAGAGACTTCAGTTTACTTTACACCTGTCAGTTTGATAATAAAATATACCTTTATCAAGTTGACATCACTGTTTTTTTATTCTTTTTTTTCCGTGAATTTTAGTCTGTAAAGCCTCAAATTCCACATTTTTTTCAACTCAAAGGTTATCACTTTTACACTTTATCTTATACTCTACATTTTATTATTCTACTTTAAAAACTATTTTTATCATGTCTCACAACCAATACAACGCTACCGAAAACACTCAAAAGGATATTGCTCAAGACTCTATCCGTGTTTCTTCTCCTTATGACTCATCTATGCAAGTGGATGAGCACGCTCAACTTTCTGCAGTTGATCATCTTCTCAAGAAGATTGACACTGCTCAGGCTCGCTTGGATCAGATCCATCGTAACGCTGGTGATACTTACACTGAGGATGAACGCTTGGCGGCTGATGAAGCATCTGCGTCTGTCGAATGGCTCAGCAAGCAAGTCAGTGCCATTACTAAGAGGGCTGATTCCAAAGCAAGACCTGTCAATCTCAATGAGATCCCTCGTTTCCAGGTGGTAGGACAAGCTAAGCATTGGCCTGACCATCCTCGATTCACCACAGTCGATCATTTCTTCAGTGCTTTTGAGAACGTCATCAGAGCATCCGGTAATGAAGTAAATTTGGTTTGGAAACGCTACGTGCCTGTTTCACTGCCATTTGACTTCGAATCATGGACCAAGAATGATCTTCTGGCATGTAATGATTGGGATCAAGCCAAGGCATTGTTCCGCAAACATTTTGGTGCTCCCATCAACTCTGAGGAATCCATGGCCAAACTCTTCAGCATGCGCATGAAGAACAATGATACTCTACAGGACTATACAAATAAGTTCATGAAGTACGTCAAGGATTGTGGTTTCCCTCCTAACAGCAACATGTTAGCCAAGTTCTATCAGTTCACGCTGTTACGCAAGAATCAGCAAATGATGGTCAACCAAATGTCCGTCAAGCATGGTTCCAACCACAAATGGACTATCAACGAGATCTATGAATGTGTGTTGCCTTTGTTCCTTGTTGACGAGCAAAATCGTGGTGATGATGATGTTGAGGTCGACATCAGAGGTAAGCGTAAGGGTGGTTCTGGTGGTTCTGGTTCGAGAACAAAGATGGCAAGGGTATCTACCACTGGGTATTTCTGTGCGAAGCATGGCGGGAGCAATGCCAACCACAACACCATTGACTGTAAGTCAAGATTGAAGCACTTTGGCTCTGACAACAAGCCTAACCGGGCTACTACTGCTGCTCCGTATTCTATGAATTCCTCATCCTCTGATCCCAAAACCTGCAACTTTTGTGGTAAGCCCCGTGCTTACGGTCATCGTTGTCAAGAGTTCTACGACTGGAAGAAGGAGAGAGAATCAAGGAAGAACATTGGTGTGCATACTGTACAAACAACCACTGTTCGCAAGGACAACAAGTCTGGTTCTGGTTCTGAGACCAACGATGTTACCATGGAAAGTAGCACTGATTCTGACATTGGTGATGCTGTTGGAGATGTCACCATGGAGGAAATAGATGCTTGCTTGGACGAGATTGAAGCAGAGGATGCCTCGCTCAACTGTAAGTCTAATGTGAAAAATGTACCTGAAAGTTTCAATCCATTTCAGTTACTGACTCCTATTATTTTAGAGAGCAAAGAAGGAAAACCAGTCCGTTTGATCGCGAAAGTAGATACGGGATCAGATTCCACCTTCTTAAATAAAAACATTTTTCACAATAAACTACTATTCACTTCCCAAGATACTATTTCTGTTGAAGGCAATTTGAACTTTCTGAGTCATTCAGTAAAGAGATTGGGTAAAACACCAGCTATCAAGATAAGATATCTTAATGACATTGCATTTGATCACTCGTTTGAGCTATCCAATTTTATTCAGGACCTAGGCGATTTTGATGTGCTACTGGGTGTAGACACATTGAGTCGACTTAGAATTGGGCTAACTGGCGTTGCTCACAAGTTTGCTGATATTGGAAATCTTACAGAGGAAGAGAAATCAGAGCTTCTTGAAAGCATCGATTTCGAAAATGTCAATTTTGATACTAAACATTCTATTGATCCAGAAACCGCATCAATCTTTGAATCCCAAGCTGAGGAGAATAAGTATATGAGCAACATCCAAGATGCTATTGATGAGAATCAGAGAATCAAGCCTGGAACGTTTTGTAACGTGCCTGAATCTGAGATCACTATACCAATCAAGGAGAATGTTGATTACTACGTCAAGCAATATCCGATCGCACATCATGCAATGCCCGAAATCGAAAAGCAATTGAATGAATGGCTGGATGCAGGAATTGTAGAACAGTGTAGACCTAACGGCTTATTCAACAGCCCTCTCATTGCAGTATCAAAGAAGGACAATGATGGCAAACCCACCAAAACTCGAGTTTGTATGGATGTGCGGAGGATCAACCAGCATATGCCCAACAATACAAACCAATTTGAGATACCAAATATACAGGATATCTTCACCCGGATCAAGCAGAAGGGGACAATATTTTCGAAAGTCGATCTGAAAAACGCATATTTTTCATTTAGAATTTCTGACATATCAAGAAATGTGCTTTTGTTCAATTTTAGAGGGAAATCGTATAGATGGTTAGGCTGCTGTTTCGGGTTGCGCCCAATCACATCTGTCTTTAGCTCTGTCATGAACATTTTGTTTTCTGATATGCCCAACGTGGAGGTCTATGTGGACGACCTATGCCTCGTATCTTCATCCTTATCCAGTCATTGCGAATTGATTAAGGAGGTGCTGAGACGCTTGACACATGCCAACTTAAAGATTGGTGTTGAAAAGTGCTCCTGGTTTCGATCTAGCATCTACTTGCTAGGCTTTGTAGTTGGTCCTCATGTTTCCAAGGTTGACATGCGACGTCTCTCTGACATTGATCATTGGGGTCCATGCAGATCTGCCAAACAGGTTAAACAACTAGCTGGTGTTATTTCATATTTGAGACCACACATCCCAAATCTGTCAAAACTGATGGCGCCTATTGATGCTCTACGAAATGATCCAGATGCTGGTAGCAAATGGACTGATGAGCACACCAAACGACTTGAGATTATCAAGAAGGTCTTGTTATCTGAAGCTTTACTGACTGCACCAGACATGAATAAGAAATTTTATCTTGAATGTGATGCTAGCTTATATGCAGTTGCAGTCATTTTGACGCAGCGCGACGATCAAGGACGCACAGTCTATGTGGCGATGTTGAGCAAATCTCTGACCAAATCCCAACAGAACTGGCCTGTCCTGAGACGAGAACTGTATGCCGTGTTATTCGGTTTAGTTCGTTTGCGACCCTTATTGTACGGGCATCCTGAGATTGAGGTTATGACAGATCATCGAGCTCTGATTTATATCTACACATGTAAAT